TGAACTTTTAATGAACTCCTATAGGCGCCAAGAAGGCGGGCAGATAAAGAAGAGCATAGAAACAAAGAACTGAGTAGAAGGTTACATGTGGGAAAAGAAAGTTTGTTTTGCATTGCATTCTTTCTGCTGACGTGGGGTTTATGGAGTATAAAAGTGCGGCGGAGGCTCTGGGCGTGGCCGCCATGTTCTCTGTGTGTCTTTGTCTTTTGTGTGTTCTTTCATTCTCCACCACCCCCGGCACGGACCCCAACAAGCAATGCTGGGTGGAGCCTTGGCAGGCCGCATAGGAGAATCACACTGTAGACTTTTAGGATTCTGGTGTAAAGCCCTGACATTGTCTGCGGATAATTACTCTTTTTTTTTTTTTTGTACTTCAACATTTTACAACAATAGAGAGTAGCAGAAAATACTACATGCTAACACGGACAATATGATACACGACTTCGTGGGAGAAGTTAGCAGGGAGCACGTGGCAGAGGCCACAGGTTTAGACTAAGAGCCTTTCAATGGCCTGCTGAATGGATTGAACTGCTGTTTCAGTTGTGAGCTTTCTTTGATGGTGACAGAACAGGTGATGACAGGCCTGGAGACCCCACAGTCTCTCCCCAGGGCCTGCTTCGAGCGCACAAATACGTAGGGCACGTTCTTGTCTTCACACAGCAGTGGAGGTGCAGAATGATCTCCAGTGGCTCGGTGTCTGCAGCTATCACGATGAACTCAGAGATGCCCCCATTAAGGGTTTTGGTGGCCTCTTTGGCTCCTTTCTGAAGCTGCTTGTAGTTACATGACTACTGAACGAGCTCCAGTGGTTTCTTGGTGAGGTGGGCATCGGCGAGGGGCTAGGCCTTCGGATTCACATTGGTCTCAGTCATGGCTGTGGTTCCGCGGGCTCGGCACTCCTAGGGCAGCGCAGCTGAGGTCTGAGAAGCGCTTGCCTCCACCCAAACTCTTCTTTTGACAACCAGCTTTTGGCTTGCTACTGGACAGTATTAGGGACTGAATAATTAACCGGGGACCACCAAGTTACTGCATGACCTGAGCTGCTCATCACGAACTCAGTGTTATCTGACCTACCAAGCCATAAAGTGTGGCATACAGAGTAGCATTCCATCATCATGCAATGACTGTGCCAAAACTCACAGAATGAGTGGACTCACAGAATGCCTTATCCACTGTTGTGGCGATAGAGAAAGCTCTGTCTACCAGGTCTCTGGTTTAATAAAACATGACTAGAATGACTCTATCTTAAGGTGAGTAGCTAGGCACTCACAAGGCACCTGTAAGGTTGTTATGGTGTGAAAATAGCCACATTCTAAGCTGACCACCAATTATAATTGCAGAAATATTTATGATCATACGGGACATCTCCCACCAAGCCTGCAGAATGTCCAGATATCCTAAGAGTGCAGCCCACTTTACTCAGAGAGAACCTTAATGAGCAGGCTTGGGTTGAAGGATTAATGGTCACTGATAGCACCAATAGCCTTACCTTTAGTGAGCACATCTGCACATTCCAGGTTTAATTGTAGCTCCTTAAGAGTTTCTGGTACAGCGTTCCTCCTTCTGCTTTCTGAGGCTGCCTTATTCTGTAACAGAGTAGATTCTGATAAACTTGCTTCTTTCACTGTGCTCAGTGACTCCCCTCAAATTCTTTCCTGTGTAAGATCTAAGAACCCTTTCATGGAGCCTGGACTGGAACTCCTCTTTTTCCTGTAACAATGGCATTGCTTAGGATGAAAGTACCCACTTCGGCCGGGCACGGTGGCTCAAGCCTGTAATCCCAGCACTTTGGGAGGCCGAGACGGGCGGATCACGAGGTCAGGAGATCGAGACCATCCTGGCTAACATGGTGAAACCCCGTCTCTACTAAAAAATACAAAAAAAACTAGCTGGGCGAGGTGGCGGGTGCCTGTAGTCCCAGCTACTCGGGAGGCTGAGGCAGGAGAATGGCTAAACCCGGGAGGCGGAGCTTGCAGTGAGCTAAGATCCGGCCACTGCACTCCAGCCTGGGTGACAGAGCGAGACTCGTCTCAAAAAAAAAAAAAAAAAAAAAGAGAAAGTACCCATTTCACAGTAAATGAGGTACACCGTGGGCCCATGCTCATGGAATTCATGGGTCATGCTGTGTTCTCCATCATCCTAACAATTTTGGTTCTGTTTTTCTGGTGGAACTCAGACTGAGACAAATATATAGTGAAAGGTAAGTCTTCATTACCCCCTTGACTTCAAGTCCATGTTCCAGAGGAAGCCACCGCCATTTCCTTGTGTATCCTTTCTAGAGAGATTTTCATAAACATATTTGTATGTACACATTGTCAGTTAAAAGAGTCAAACTGTACAATATTTGAAGAGGTTTATTCTGAGCCAGAAGTGAGTGATCACGGCCCAAGGCACAGTCCCAAGAGGTCCTAAGACCCTGTGCCCACGGTGGTAGGGCTACAGCTTGGTTTTATACTTTTTTTTTTTGAGATGGAGTCTCACTCCGTCAATAGACTGGAGTGCAGTGGCACGATCTCAGCTCACTGCAACCTCTGCCTCCTGGGTTCAAGCAATTCTCTGCCTCAGCCTCCTGAGTAGCTGAGATTACAGGCATCTGCCACCACGCCCGACTAATTTTTTTTGTACTTTTAGTAGAGACGGGGTTTCACCATCTTGACCAGGGTGGTCTTGAACTCCTGACCTCGTGATCCACCTGCCTCGGCCTCCCAAAGTGCTGGGATTACAGGCGTGAGCCATCGCACCCGGCAGGTTTTACACATTTTAGGGAGAAAGGTCATAGACGGAGTCAAAGATTTTCTGATTGGCATTTGGTTGAAAGAGTTATTATCTAAAGACCTGGAATCAATAGAAAGGAGTGTCTGGGTTAAGATAAGGGAGACCAAGGTTCCATTTTATTATTTTTTTTGACAGGGTCTCTGTTGCCCAGGCTGGATTGCAGTGGCACAATCTGTGGTTTACCGCAGCCTCAGCCTCTTGGGCTCAAGGAATCTGCCCACCTCTGCCTCCTGAGTAGCTGGGACGATAGGCATGTGCTGTCATCACGCCCAGCTAAGACAGGGTCTCCCTATGTTGCCCAGGATGGTGTGGAACTCCTGGGCTCAAGCAATCCACCCACCTCGGCCTCCTAAAGTGCTGGGATTACAGGCTTGAACACCACCATCCTGGCCATTCTTATGCGGATGCAGCTCCAGGCAGCAGGCTTCAGAAAGAATAGATGGTAAACGTTTCTTATCAGAATTAAAAAGGTGCGAGACTCTTACGTTCTCTCCTGGATCAGGAAAAGATGTGGAAAAGGAAGGAGATTCTCTACAAAGTAGATTTCCCCCAGGAGACAGCTCTGCAGGGCTATGTAAAACTACGTTAAAGAAACGCATGTCTGGGTAAAATACTTCGTTTTCTTCCAGGGCCTGCTATTTGTCATGTGATGTATTTTAATACTACAGTCTGTTTGGTCAGCCTTAAGGTGTCTGTTTTAATGGCGATGCTGGTCAGTTATACCTGAATTCCAAAGGCAGGAGAGTATAATGGGACATGTCCAAACCCTGCTTCCCATCAGGGACTGAACTGGTTTTTCAGGTTAACTTTGGCATTGAGAGAATCAGTTCATTCAGTTGGTTGGGGGGCTTACAAATTTATTTTTGGTTTACAAGGTATAGATAACTATGCCTAAGGGAGGAGACCACCCCTCATATTGTCTTACGCCCAATTTCTGCCTCCAAAGAAAGAAAAAGTAAAAACTAAAAGGCAGAAATGAAATCCACAGGCAGATAGCCCGGCGCCGCACCCTGGGCCTGGTAGTTAAATATCGACCCCTGACCTAATTGGTTCTGTTATCTATAGATTACAATCATTGTATAGAAAGGCACTGTGAAAATCCCTGTCTTGCTTTGTTCCGATCTAATTATCGGTGCAAGCAGCCCCGTCATGTACCCCCTGCTTGCTCAATCAATCACGACCCTCTCACATGCACCCCCTTAGAGTTGTGAGCCCTTAAAAGGGACAGGAATTGCTCACTCGCTCGGCTCTTGAGATAGAAGTCTTGCCGATGCCCCCGGCTGAATAAACCCCTTCTTTAACTCGGCGTCTGAGGAGTTTTGTCTGCTGCTCGTCCTGCTACACGCCTATACCTATATATACAAATGTTTATATATGCATATACGTGTGTATATATGGTTTGTTTTTCACAAATGGATGCCGAATTTTTTTTTTTTTTTTTTTTTTGGTAGCGATGAGGTCTCAAGCTAATCTCGAACTCCTGGGCTCAAGAGATCCTCCTGCCTAGGCCTCCCAAAGCACTTAGATTACAGGCATAAATCACTGCGGCGGGTCCTGCTTCACCCTTTTAAAACCGCACTTGGGGGCTCCTCCTCAGTGCAGACATTGGCTGGTTCCTTCAAACCGCACAGACTGCCCCTGCGTGGACGCACCTCGCTGTGTTTACTCCGCTTTCGCCAATCTTTCACTTTCAGGGAATACCCTCCGGCGCCCTTCTCTGGAGCACACGCGTGAACGTCTCGGGATTCCAAAAAGTGGGATACTGAGGTAAAGGGTACGCGCTTTCAGAACGGGAAGACACCGCAAAACACCCGCCAAGACGTGGCCCCGCGTCCGCCCTGCCCACAACGCAGCCGCTCCCACTCCTGGAGCGCGCCCTGTGCTTCAGACTTCGGATCTGTGTGATCCGCTGTGTGCAACTGTACCGAAAGGGTCTCCACGTGCACTACCTCGTGACAACTAAGGTGGACCGTCTTCTACTCCTAGGACTCATCCGCAGCTCAGCGGGGCTTTCAGAACCCTAAGGGCTTCCAATCCGGAAGTTCCCCGTCCCTTCTGCCCCAACATAACATGGCGCCCACCGCAGCCACTTCCGTGATCCGCAGGCGACGAAGTCTCCCAGCCAGGACCAAAGATGGCCGCGCGTCCGCCACGCGCCTACTCTCGCTGGCCACTCCCGGCTCCGCTCTAGCCGCCGCTCTAGGTGAGCGCCGCCGCCAGCCAATCGCGGGGCGCAGACGCCGCTGGCCCCGCCCCGCGGATCAGCTGAGGGAGCCGCAATGTCTGTTGACAGCGGCGGCGGCGCAGCCGGTTCCGGGTTCGACGCGGGGCGGGGGTAAGCACGGCTGGCGAGAGGGCTGCGGCGGACCGCGAAGGGGGACCTGGCTGCGGCCGTGGGAGGGGGCGCCCGCCGGCGTCTGGGCCGGGCCGCGGGGCTGCGTGGGCGCGGGCGGCCGGGCCAGGGCTCGCGGGGTGGGGCGGGCGCCGAGTCTCGGCCTCTGGGGTCGGGAGTCTCCACGGGCGTTTCCGGGGTCTCCGCAGATGTGAATCCCGATGGAGCGGCCCGAGGAAGGCAAGCAGCCGCCGCTGCCGCAGCCCTGGGGACGGCTCCTGCGCCTGGGCGCCGAGGAGGGCGAGCCGCACGTCCTCCTGAGGAAGCGGGAGTGGACCATCGGGCGGAGACGAGGTGCGGGGCGGGGGCCGGGGCGGGGGCAGGGGGCCGGGGGCCGGGGCCGGGCAGAGCCACCCGGTTGCGGGCAGGCCACAGGGGCGGCGGTGCAGTGACCTCCAGATTTTTCGGTGGAGTGAAATCTCGCGTAGAACTGGTGTTTATTCGGCGTTCTGCCCACTCTTGCGCATGATTCATGCACATCATTTAGCCCTCGTTACAACTTTATAAAGTAGTTGTGTTAATATACTCTCCGGAATGCAATATTGTCACATTCGTTGCAGTACAGAGTATCTTTTCTGATTATAATGGAACAAAGTTAAAAATAACAGAAGGAAAAGTGGAAAACTCACAGATATATGGACATTAAACACCGCACCCTTAAAGCAAGCGATGGGTCAAGTAAGTCTTTACAGGGAGAAACCTTTAAAAGTATTTTGAGACAAATGAAACAAAAATAGAATACACCAAAAGACGTTTAGGATGCAGCCAAGGCAGTACTCGAGGGAAATTTATAGCTGTAGTGCCTACATTAACAAAGATCTCCAGTCCCAGCCCCTAGAATATTTATTTATTTAATGAACCTGGAAAGCTAAGAACTTGAACAAAGTCATACAATTAGTGAGAGGAAGTTCCCTCAGCCTCCACATTCACTGCCTCCAGGCTCCCAAGTAACCATCTGGTAGTTTGATTTTCTCCTGTAGCCTTTGTATGGGGAGGGAAATGCACTGGTCCTGTCAACAAAAATGTTTAGTTTGTGTGAAAATTAATAAATTAGCTCTGACATTATACTTTAAAAAGGAGCGAGGATGGGAAATATGTGCTGTTTGGAAGCAAATTTTTTTTGTTTACTGTCACCCCTTATAATGTGTTTGCACCTGTTTATTTTTGTTTGTTTGTTTGTTTGAGTTAAGAGTCTTCCTCTGTCACCCAGGCTGGGTTGCAGTGGTGTGATCTCAGCTCACTGCACCCTCTGCCTCCTGGTTCAAGTGATTCTCCCGCCTCAGCCTCTGGAGTAGTGGAACTACAGGCGTGTGCCACCATGCCTGGCTAATTTTTGTATTTTTAGTAGAGACAGGATTTCTCCATGTTGACCAGGCTGGTCTTGAATTCCTGGCCTGAAGTGATCCGCCCGCCTTGGCCACCCAAAATGCTGGGATTACAGGCGTGAGCCACTGCGCTGAGCCTTTTTTTTCTTTGAGCCAGAGTCTCGCTCTGTGGCCCAGGCTGGAGTACGGTGGTGTGATCTCGGCTCACTGCAACCTCCACCTGCTGGGTTCACACGATTCTCCTGCCTCAGCCTCCCATGTAGCTGGCATTGTAGGCACGCACTACCACACCCGGCTATTTTTTTGTATTTTTAGTAGAGACAGGATTTCACCATGTTGGCCAGACTGGTCTCAAACTCCAGACCTTGTGATCCACCCGCCTCGGCCTCCCAAAGTGCTGAGATTATAGGTGTGAGCCACATCTCCCAGCCCAGAATTTATTTTTCTTTCTTTTTTTTTGAGAGTCTCGCTCTGTGGCTCTGTTGCCCAGGCTGGAGTGCAGTGGCGCCATCTCGGCTGACTGCAAGCTCTGCCTCCTGGGTTCACACCATTCTCCTGCCTCAGCCTCCCTAGTAGCTGGGACTACAGGCGCCCGCCACCACGCCAGGCTAATTTTTTGTAGTCGTGGTAGAGACGGGGTTTCACCATGTTAGCCAGATGGTCTCGATCTCCTGACTTCGTGATCCACCCGCCTCAGCCTCCCAGAGTGCTGGGATTACAGGCGTGAGCCACCGTGCCTAGCCCAGATTTTACTTTTGGCGAACCTCAGCTTACTATTTTTTTTCCTGGTTTGTGCTTTTTGTGTCCTGTCTGTGAAGTCCATGCCAGACCCAACAGCACTAAGATTTTCACCTGTCTTTTCCACTGGAAGTTTCATAGTTTTAGGTTTTACATTTGTCTCTGGCCATCCTTACACGGCTACAATACTGTATTGATTACTATAGCATGATGGTAAGTCTGTTAAGTAATGTGAGTCTTCCAACTTCATTCTTTTTCAAAATTGCTTTGGTTATTCTACAGTTTTTTTCTGTGAATTTTAGAGTCAGCTTGTCAGTGTCTACAAGCCCTCTGGGATTTTTATTAGAATTGCCTTGAATGTATGAAACAATCCTAGGGGACAGCTGGCATCTTGACAATATTGAGTCTCTGATTCACACACCCATAGGTCAGTGATGGGAGCAAGGCTCAGGCCAAAGCAGATTCAGGGTGTCATTGTATGTGGAACATTTGGGAAAAGTACATTTGCATGGCACTGTCGCCTGACCAAACCCTTCACTTTTTAATTGCCTTTAGTGTCTTATAGTATCTTTATGTATCCTTATAGATTATTATAAGCAGTAATGATTAATGATGAGATATTAAAAAGCCTTTGTTCTTTTTTCTTTTTTTTTGAGACGGAGTTTCACTCTTTTTGCCCAGGCTGGAGTGCAATGGCATGATCTCAGCTCACAGCAACCTCCGCCTCCCAGGTTCAAACGATTCTCCTGCCTCAGCCTCCCAAGTAGCTGGAATTACAGGCGCCTGCCACCATGCCTGGCTAATGTTTGTATTTTCAGTAGAGGTGGGGTTTCACTATGTTGGCCAGGCTGGTCTCGAACTCATGACCTCGTGATCCGTCTGCCTCGGCCTCCCAAGGTGCTGAGATTACAAGTGTGAGCCACTGTGCCCGGCTGTAAAATTGCCATTTGAGAGGCTGTGTGTAGCTGGAGGTGTTGATGGGTGTCTTTGAGAGGGTGGGGATTCAGAAAGGTTCAGGACGGGCCGGGCACGGTGGCTCATGCCTGTAATCCCAGCACTTTGGGAGGCCGAGGGGAGTGGATCGCGAGGTCAGGAGATCGAGACCATCCTGGCTAACACGGTGAAACCCCATCTTTACTAAAAATACAAAAAATTAGCCAGACATGGTGGTGGGTGCCCATAGTCCCAGCTACTTGGGAGGCTAAGGCAGGAGAATGGTGTGAACCCAGGAGGTGGAGCTTGCAGTGAGCCGAGATTGCGCCACTGCACTCCAGCCTGGACAACAAAGCAAGACTCTCTAAAAAAAAAAAAAAAAAAAAAAATTTTTTTTCCGTAACTGTCTTGGTTAAGTGTTTTTCTTACATATGTACAAGGGGGATCCTGAATTTGAACCACATACTTTGCTAAAGCAAAGGGCATTAGGGTTCAGTTCCCACGGTCATATTCCATGTCATCCCACCCTGTCTTTTTTAGGTTGCGACCTTTCGTTCCCCGGCAATAAACTGGTCTCTGGAGATCACTGTAAAATTGTAGTGGATGAAAAATCAGGTCAGGTGACACTGGAAGATACCAGGTGAGTATGTTCTGAGCTGCTTTTGGTGTTTCTTCTTGTACCTTAAGAAGCCTGACTCCGTGCTGGTGTGCTGTGTGCCACGGCTGAGGAGGAGAGGAAATGCTGTCTTTGGTGTGATAACAGCAGCTCATTTTTATAACACAGCACAGTCATGTGTCCCTTAGCAACACGGATACAGTCTGAGAAATGTGTCATTAGACAATTCCATCATCTTGCAAACATCGTGGAGTGTGCTTAAACAAACCTGGGTGGTGAAGCCTGCTACATACCTAGGCTACGTGGTGCAGCCTGTTGCTCCCAGGCTGGAAACTGAACAGCGTGCCACTGTACTGAATGCTATAGGCAGTGGTAACACAGTGGTAAAAGTATTTATCGATCTAAACATAGAAAAGGTGCAGTAAAAATAGGATATTTTAGTCTTATGGGACTACTACCGTATATGCATCTGTTGAACAAAACGTTATTATCAGGCCGGACGTGGTGGCTCACCTGTAATCCCAGCACTTTGGGAGGCTGAGGCAGGCATATGAGGTCAGGAACTCGAGCCCAGCCTGGCTAACATGGAGAAACCTCATCTCTATTAAAAATATAAAAATTAGCCGGGCATGGTGGCATGCACCTGTAATCCCATCTACTCGGGAGGCTGAGACAGGAGAATCACTTGAACCTGGGAGGTGGAGGTTGCGGTGAGCCTAGATGGCGCCATTGCACTCCAGCCTGAGAAGCGAGTGAAACTGCGTCTCAAAACAAAACAAAAATTGTCTGGGACATGACTGTAGTTAATTAGGCTCCCAAGGTATAAGAAGATGTATTTCCTGGTTTCCAGGATGGGACACTTAGTGACACTTTGGTATCTATGACCCTTCTTGAATGTATTCAAATTAAATATGTCTCAGAAATAAGACTTAAAAGATGCTCGTAATTTTTAGTTCTTGCGAGCCTATTCAGGTTTGATTTCTTTCCCTGAAATCCAAAAATCGTTTTTTAAAACTAATAAATTCTCGTTCTTGTACAACTTAAGTACAGATTGAGTATCCGAAATGATTGGGACTAGAGTGTTTAGATTTTGAATGTTTTCAGATTTTAGAATATTTGCATTATAATTACCAATTGAGCGTGTCTGATTCAAAATTCTGAAATGCTCCAGTGGGTATTTTTTGCGTGTCTTATTGGTGCTCAAAAAGTTTAGGACTTCAGCTTAGGGATATTCAACTTAGAAAGTGGAAAGCTTTCCAAAATCCCGTTCATGCATTAGAAATGCATGTGTAGGTATATATATTTTGCATTAATGCGATTACACTACGCATACTGTTGTAGCGTCAGCTTTTTTCTTCTTTTTTTTTTTTTTTTGAGATGCAGTTTCACTCTGTCACAGGCTGGAGTGCAGTGGTGCAATCTCGGCTCACTGCAGCCTCCACGTCCCAAGTTCCAGTGATTCTCCTGCCTCAGCCTTCCGTGTGGCTGGCATTATAGGCACGCACTACCACACCCAGCTAATTTTTTTGTGTTTTTAGTAGAGACGGGATTTCACCGTGTTGGCCAGGCTGGTCTCAAACTCCTGATCTCGGGTGATCCGCCTCCAAGGTGCTGGGATTACAGGCATAAGCCACCATGCCCGGCCAAGCTTTTTTCACTTACAGTGTCGTGTGGAGCGCTTCACATGTCCCTGCGTCTGCATCTATCTCATCTTCTTGTCATTTTAGGATAGTTTCTTTGTCACTTCCCTTATTGGTGGACATTTATTGTTTTGACTTTTTCTTACTATAAATAACACTGCAGTGACTCTTTCCCAAACTCTGCTTTCATGTCTGTTTTCTTGGGATGATTCTTGAAAGGGAAGCCTGTGTCAGTGTCACTCAGAATGTGCAGAATGTGCCTATTCCGTTTTTTTTTTCTTTTTTGAGATGGAGTTTCGCTCTGTGGCTCAGGCTGGAGTGCAGTTGGTGTGATCTCGGCTCACTGCAACCTCTGCCACCCGGATTCAAGCGATTCTTCTGCCTCAGCCTCCTGAGTAACTGGGATTACAGGTGCACGCCACCATGCCCGGCTCAGATGGGGTTTCACCATGCTGGCCAGGCTGGACTTGAACTCCTGGCCTCAGGTGATCAACCTGCCTCAGCCTCCCCACGTGCTGGGATTGCAAGCGTGAGCTCCCACACCCAGCCAGAATGTGCGTCTTTTAGATCTGCTGCAAGTGTCAGGCCGTCTTCTAGCAGCATGTGGAGAGTGTGCTGTTCTCACGGCAGGGTTGGCAGGTGGTCTTCTAGCAGCATGTGGAGAGTGTGCCACGTTCCTGGCAGAGGTGGGCTGGAGGGGAGGGTTGCTCAAGCAGAAGGAACTATGTGTATGGGGGCCCCTGAGCATGAGCAGGGCCATGTGGTCAGAGCGTGTGGTGAGCAGCAAAGTCGCATGAGGGAGCTTGGGCTTTAGCCTGAGAGCAGCGAGGAGTCATCGAAGGGGTGTAAGCGAAGGAGTGAAATAATCAGATTTTTGTTTGGAAAGAGCAGGAGGATGAGTGATGACTGCAGTCGCCCCTCGGCATCTGGGGGGATTGATTCCAGTGCCCCTGGATGCACCCAAAATCCATGCGCACTCCAGCCCCGTAGCCAGTCCTGCAGAGCATGAGAACACTAAGTCACTCCAGCTCCAGTGCCCTGATGCATCCAAATCTGTGTGTACTCGCGCCCCGTAGCCAGCCCTGTGGAGCACGAGGACACAGAGAGTCAGTCCAGCATGTGTGTGGGGTTCACTCCCTCTCATGGAAAAGAACCCATGTATAAGTGCACCTGCACCTGTCATTGAAAAGAATCCGTGTATAAGTGCACCTGCGCGACTCAAAACCGCATCTTCCAGGGTCAGCTTTGTACTGCAACAGCAGAACTCAGGCACACACAGCCACTGCCTGGTTTTGAAGGTTTTACGGGGAGACGGCCATGGCAATTCATTTACTTACTGTCTGCATTTGCTTTCCTGCTACAGACGGCAGAGCTGAGTAGTGGCAGTGGTGACCAGGTGACCAGGTGATGGCAAAACCTACACTGTTTATCCTCTGTTTACAGAAATAGTTTGCCACTCCCATACCTCAGCAAACTGTGGTGGTCACTTGGATGTGAATTCTGTCCACTGCTGGGGCCTCGGGAGTGAGGCTGCAGAGCTGAGGCCTGTGTGGTTTGGCTGAAATCAGTCGTTTTGTTTGGTTGCCGTTTTGTGTGTCGGGTATGCTGTGCTCTTGGACCTTCGTCACCTGACCAACACCTGATTTCCTACCAGGTCTCTGCTCAGAGGTCCCCAGGAGGCACTTCCTGCCCCACCAACTTAGCCTCCTCCTGTCTGTCCCTGGGTCAGCAGCATCTGAATTGGCCTCTCCCAGGGTAGAGCGCCTCGAGGGGTTTGGCAGCCAGACCACAGGCTCTGAGCGCAGGCCTGTGTCCTGCAGCTAATGGCCTGGCATTTATTCCGCTTCTGCCCAGAGCCAGTCTCTTGGGAGGGATCAGTACTTATTGGAGGCATGAGCTCACCGGGGTCGTGACGGCTGCAGGAAACAGAACTGTGGATAGTGCAAGTCCAGCTCAGGGGAGGCTGGAGGTGGAAGCCCCACACTGCAGGCGAGGCCTCCGGATCCATTAGGAGGCAAACAGGAGAGAACCCAGGCCTGCAGCAGCAGAGCTGCCAAGCACGTGAGGAGGTGTGGTGACTGGTTAGGCTGTCAGTCAGGGAGAAGTGGGTGAGCCATTTCTCGAGAGAATGGTGAGGGGTGCATGGATGTGTGCATCGTTACATATTTATGCCGTTCTTATGAGTATTTCCAGAATGGTCATATAGAGCTGCTTTGCTGATGGTGCTAGAAAAAAAATCTCGTAACTCCAAGTTACTTTAAGTAGAGTAAATTGTGTTTTTGTTTTTTTACAGCACCAATGGAACAGTGATTAACAAGCTGAAAGTTGTTAAGAAGCAGACGTGCCCTTTACAGAGTGGGGATATCATCTACTTGGTGTACAGGAAGAATGAACCAGAATACAGTAAGAGAGAGGAAGGCTTGCCAGGGTCATACCCCCACAGAGGTGCATTCGAGGGCGTGCTCTGAACGTTCCTTCTGGCTACACCGCTTCCCATAGGAATGTTCCTCCCCTTTCTTGCTCACGTGGGTTCCTGTTGTGAATAGTGTCTGTTGAGGAGTGGGAGTGTCGATTTTGCAGCCTGAGTCCAGCCATTCCTCAGGAATACCGCCGTGGCCTTGAGCAGCCAATCCCAACATGGCAGCCACGGAGAAACTCATGGGGATGTCTTAGGTTCTACAGGAGAAGAACTTGAGTTATGGGGATAAAACCTAGGACCAGGGGTCTGGAGGCCACTGATGGTTCTGCTTTTGGAGACCTTACAAGAAACATCAAAGGTTAGACTGGATTCTAGTAAGTTTTTTCAGCTCCAGAAGTCTGCGTTTTTGTTTTGTGGAAGAACGGTATAGGACAAGGAAAGTTATGGGAGTCCTTCCAAGGTCACCCTTGAAATCCTTTTTTTTTTTTGAGATGGAGTTTTGCTCTTGTTGCCCAGCCTGGAGTGTAATGGCGTGATCTCATCTCACCACAATCTCCACCTGCTGGGTTCAAGCGATTCTCCTGCCTCAGCCTTCCAAGTAGCTGGGATTACAGGTGCCCGCCACCACACCTGGCTCATTTTTGTATTTTTAGTAGAGATGGGGTTTTGCCCTGCTGGACAGGCTGATCTCAAACTCCTGACCTCAGGTGATCCACCCACCTCAGCCTCCCAAAGTGCTGGGATTACAGGCGTGAGCCACCACACCCGGCCAGTACTTATTTAATTTTTTTTTTGAGACAGAGTCTCACTCTGCTCTGTTGCCCAGGCTGTAGTGCAGCGGTGTGATCTTGGCTCACTGCAGCCTCCACCTCCTGGGTTCAAGCGATTCTCCTGCCTCAGCCTCCCAGGTAGCTGGGATTACAGGTACATGCCACCACACCTGGCTGATTTTTGTATTTTTAGTAGAGACAGGGTTTCGCCATGTTGGCCAGGCTGGTCTCGAACTCCTGACCTCAGGTGATCTGCCTGCCTCGGCCTCCCAAAGTGCTGGGATTACAGACAAGAGCCACCGCACCTGGCCACCCCTGAAATACCTAAAGACCACAGTGGTGAGGAAGAATGGGGCAAATATGTCTTAGGCATCTTCAGTATAAACTTAACCAGCCCCTGCCACACAGAAGGCTCTTGTATCTGCTCCTTTGTGTAGTTTGAAGTTATAAGTGAGACATAGATTCTTCACCTTCTTCTGCCTCTTGATGCCATTTTTCCCCGAGGCTTATTTCTTTTGAGTTGGAAAAGATGTTTTAGATTACTTCTTTTAAAAACTCTTGAACTGATGAATTTGTTATTAGCTGATGAGTCAAAATAATCAACAAAAACAAATGGACTGGAGAACAGAAGAGAAAAATGAGTTCTCAGTTTGCACAGGGGCCACCACGTTTCTGATTTGATTAATTTTCTTTTAGACGTGGCATACCTCTATGAATCTTTAAATGAAAAGCAAGGCATGACACGAGAATCCTTTGGTAAGTAAGATTATAGCAAAGAAGCGGATGCATATTAGGGGCTGTAGCATTGCTTTTTTTTTTTTTTTTTTTTGAGATGGAATCTCGCTCTGTCGCCAGGCTGGAGTGCAGTGGTGCGATCTCAGCTCACTGCAACCTCTGCCTTCTGGGTTCAAGCGATTCCCCTGCCTCAGCCTCCCGTTTTTTTTTTTGAGATGAAGTTTTGCTCTTGTTGCCCAGGCTGGAGTGCAGTGGTGCAATCTTGGCTCACTGCAACCTCCACCTGCCAAGTTCAAGAGATTCTCCTGCCTCAACCTCCTGAGTAGCTGGGATTACGGTTGCACCACCACACCCGGCTGATTTTTATATTTTTAGTAGAGATGGGGTTTCACCATATTGGTCAGGCTGGTCTCGAACTCCTGACCTCAGGTGATCCGCCTGCCTTGGCTTCCCAAAGTGCTGTGATTATGGGCGTGAGCCACCGTACCTGGTCTTGGGGCTGTTGCATTCTTAAGAGCGTTTCAATCCCTAGAGTGTCTCCCTGAGCCCTGGATGTATGCTCCTTCTGCTCCTTTTGGGTTACAGAAGCTAACAAGGAAAATGTGTTCCATGGGACCAAAGATGCCTCAGGTGCAGGTGTGGGTGCAGGGCCAGGGGCCGATCCCTGGCTCCCTCCGTTGTCACCCACCGCTCAGGTGTGCTTTGAGGAACCACGGCCATCAACATCGACGTCAGACCTCTTCCCCACAGCCTTGGCCTCTTCCACGGAGCCGCCTCCTGCAGGGCGAGAGCATTCCTCCAGTTGCGGTGAGGTCACATCTCATGAGGTCTTGGTGCTGGTTGCATAGTTTTTGTTCACTACTCTTTGCCTGTGTTGTTACACGGACAGATAAGCGACTGAGGACTGGCATGAGGTTCTCAGTAGTAAGATTTCTGTAAGAGTCAATATTGACTGTGTTGTTCCCTTTACTTCCCAAGAGAAGTGAAGATCAGGGGCTCTAGTACCATGGTGTATTTTACAGTTTCATTGAGATTATAATTTACATACCATAAAAGTCATCCAGCTAAAGCGTACATTTCAGTGGTTTTTAGTACATCACAAGGTTGTGGGACCATCACCACTCATTGACACCAAAAGGAAACCGGTGCCCATCAGCAGTCACTCCGCATGTCCCCTTCGCCTCGGCCCCATCAGCAGTCACTCTGTGTGTCCCCTTCCCCTTGGCCCCTGGCAGCTGTGTGTGCTTTTGGCCTCTGGATTTTTCTGTCCTAGACACTTCACAGACATGGAATCATGCGTGGTCTATTGTGACTGGGCTCTTTTTTCTATTGCTGAGATGGAGTCTCGCTCTGTCTCCCAGGCTGGAGTGCAGTGGCGCGGTCTCGGCTCACTATAAGCTCCGCCTCCCAGGTTCACACCATTCTCCTGCCTCAGCCTCCCAAGTAGCTGGAACTACAAGCACCCGCCACCACGCCCGGCTAATTTTTTGTATTTTTAGTAGAGACGGGGTTTCACCGTGTTAGCCAGGATGGTCTCGATCTCCTGACCTCGTGATCCACCCGCCTCAGCCTCCCAAAGTGCTGGGATTACAGGCATGAGCCACTGCTCCCAGCCGTGACTGGCTCTTTTCACTTAGCATGATGTTTTCAGAGTTCATCAAGAAGAGGATGTTATTTAAAACCAGTTTTGGCCAGGCGCGGTGGCTCACGCCTGTAATCCCAGCACTTTGGGAGGCCGAGGCAGGCGGATCACAAGGTCACGACATCGAGACCATCCTGGGTAACACGGTGAAAGCCCGTCTCTATTAAAAATACAACAAATTAGCTGGGCATGGTGCCGGGCGCCTGTAGTCCCAGCTACTCAGGAGGCTGAGGCAGGAGAATGGCGTGAACCCAGGAGGCGGAGGTTGCAGTGAGCCAAGATTGCACCACTGCACTCTAGCCTGGGCGACAGAGCAAGACTCCATCTCAAAAAAATAGAGGTCTCGCTCTGTTGCCCAGGTTGGGAGAGTGGCGTGATCATAGCTCACTGTAACCTTGACCTCCTGGGCTCAAGTGATCCTCCCACTTCAGCCTCCTGAGGAGCTGGGACCACAGGCTCGTACTGTCACGCCTAGTTAATTTTTTCTTTTTTGTATTTTTTGTAGAGATGGGGTCTTGCTTTGTTGCCCAGGCTGGTCTCAAACTCCTGGGATCAAGTGATCCTCCCACCTTGGCCTCCCAAAGTATTGGGATTACAGGCGTGAGCCCCATGCCCGGCCTCTGACCTCTATTTTTTATTTTTATTTTTTTTCCCCAGAAGGAGTTTCGCTCTTGTTGCCCAGACTGGAGTGCAGTGGCATGATCTCGGCTCACTGCAGCCTCCGCCTCCTGGGTTCAAGCAATTCTCCTGCCTTAGCCTCTTGAGTAGCTGGGATTATAGGTGCATGCCACCATGCCTGGCTAATTTTTTGTATTTTTAGTAGAGTTGGGGTTTCACCATGTTGGCCAGACTGGTCTCGACCTGACCTCAGGTGATCCACTTGCTTCAGCCTCCCAAAGTGCTGGGATTACAAGTGTGAGCCACCGCACTGGGCCCAAACCTCTATTTTAACACAGTTTATGACACGGTGTGCATCATATGACCACAAATATGTGGATTTACCCTGAGTTAGACTTGTTGCCCGAGGGCTAAACCTGGTCAAAGACATTTCCGCATTTGTTTCTCTGCGAATGCGCTTCTTGCCCCCAGCTCCACCCCACACAGAGATGGGCACAAATACAGTGAAGATGTGAGTTGAGTGAGCACACACTCCTGGTAAGCCACTTGTCATTCCTAAACTATGACATCTTAGGTTGCCAGCTGCACTGGGTTCCAGTCAGTGATACCCTACAGTCGTGGTTCTCTCCTGAGCTGGATGGATCAGCCCTTGTCTTGTTTGATTCCTCTCACAGAGTCTGGGGGTGGTGGCATCTCCCCTAAAGGATGTGGTCCCTCCGTGGCAAGTGATAAAATCTCCAGCTTTGCTTCAGCTCTCTCAGACAGAAAGCCTGCATCCTTTTCGTCATTGGAACCCCGGGATCAGGAGGATTTGGAGCCCGTGAAGAAGAAAATGAAAGGAGGTTAGTATCTGGTTGTGTGTGTCCTCTGCCCTAGCATGAGCTCCCGGGGCGTGCAGGGGCCGCTGCCATGCTCTGTGCTGTGGGGCGCTGCTTCCTGCAGAGGCATGTGGGCCCTGCCTCAGGTTGATGCCTGTGAACACCTCTGGCATTTTCATTCAGAAAACCTGGGCCTGTTTTTTGTGGTTTGCATAATCCCGATAGCACTGTGGTTTACTACAGGCTATTCTCTTGGTCTGGAAATAGTCCGTTCTGAGTTGCAGAATTAATCTCAAAGTCCTCCTTCCTGGCCAGTTGCAGTAGTTCATACCTGTAACCCTAACACTGGGAGACCAAGGCAGGAGAATCTCTTGAGGTCAGGTGATCAAGACCAGCCTGGGCGACAGAGCAAGACTTGGTCTCTAAAAATAAAAATCAAGCCAGACGTCATGGCTCACGCCTATAATCCCAGCACTTTGGGAGGCCAAGGCGGGCAGATCACCTGAGGTCAGGAGTTCTAGACCAGCCTGGCCAACATGGTGAAACCCCGTCTCTGCTAAAAATACAAAAATTAGCTGGGTGTGGCAGCTCATGCCTGTAATCCCAGCTACTTGAAAGGCTGAAGCCGGAGAATTGCTTGAACCCAGCAGGTGGAGGTTGTGGTGAGCCAAGACTGTGCCATTGCTCTGCAGCCAGGGCAACAAGAGCAAAACTCTGTCTCAAAATAAATAAATAAATAAATAAATAAATAAAAATCATAAAAGAAAGCCCTCTGTCCTGGTAGGACAATAATTTCTAAAAATGTAGCTTAAATCTTCACATTCACAGGTTATCTGACACATAGAGTTGATCGGCATGGGGAAGGTGTGGAAAGAATCAGCAACAGTTACATAGGAAAAATAAGCACAGGAGTGAGGAAATTTTAATTCTAGCAAACATGAAAAATCGTGTAAGTCCTACAACAATCTAGTACACTACTTGGCTCAGCAGTGAATACTTGCATAAGCATAATACAAATACAATATCATGAACTAATGGTTGTGTTAACATAATGTTGGTGGGGGGGGTCTCAGTTCAGAGTTTTGCTCTACGTTAATAGATGTCAGGGATGATGTCTAAAATTGATAGATCAACATGTACCATGATAACTTAGAAACACAGAGGTAAATACCAGAAGAAACAGCTCAAAGACATGAAAGTAGTTTTCCTCCAAGGAGGGAAATCAGGTGAGGAGCGGCTGAGGCAGAAGGTGACTGCCTTTGTTTTCTTCTAAATATATTATCTATACATTTTTTTAAGAGACAGGATCTTGCTTTGTCACCCAGGCCAGAGCGCAGTGGCTCAATCTTGGCTCACTGCAGCCTCCGCCTCCTGGGCTCAGAGAGTCCTCCCACCTCAGCCTTCCGAGTAGCTGGGACCGCAGGTGCGTGCTACCATACCTGGCTAATTTTTTTTTTTTTTTGTATTTTTTGTAGAGATGGGGTTTCATTATATTGCCCAGGCTGGTCTCGAACTCCTGGGCTCAAGTGATCTCCCTGCCTCAGCCTCCCAAAGTGCTGGGATTACAGGCGTGAGCCACTGCATCTGGCTTCTTGTAAATATTTGGCTTTTTAAATTGTGTTCAGTTTATTTAACTAAAAATAAAAATTAATTGATGATTACCAACATCTCAGCATTATAGAAAAATGAAAACACACCCGAAGAGGGTCAGGTGTGGTGGCTCATGCCTGTTACCCCAGCACTTTGGGAGGCCGAGGCAGGCAGATCACGAGGTCAGGAGGTCAAGACCATCCTGGCTAACACAGTGAAACCCCATCTCTACTAAAATACAAAAAATTAGCCAGGCGTGGCGGCGGGTGCCTGTACTCCCAGCTACTCGGGAGGCTGAGGCAGGAGAATGGTGTGAACCCAGGAGGTGGAGCTTGCAGTGAGCTGAGATCGCGCCACTGTACTCCAGCCTGGGCAACAGAGCGAGACTCCGTCTCAAAAAAAAAAAGTTAAAGAAAACTCAAGATGTTACCTTCTCAACTCCAATGACATTGGAATTGCTAAGCAATTAAACCACACAAAACCGTTCGTATGCTTGTTTCAAGTAAAGAAATCAACAACAGATTTTTGAGACTCCATCTCAAAAAAAAAAAAGACAAACACACCAGAAGAAAAAAATATGAGCTACTGTTGACATCTTCAGTCTTTGTTTTCAGCCTTTTCCTCTGTGACACAAATGAGTGACATCATACACCCTGACAGCTGGCCTTCAACACTAACTCACATCCTGAATGTCTTTTTTAATATTATTAACCATGTCTCTGAAACAAAACTTAAACCTATTGGAATATGAGATTTATTTTGGACCTTCTGAAAAGTACCCTATTTATTTAATTATTATTTGTTTGAGACAGGTCTCACTCTGTTGCCTAGGCTGGATTGCAGTGGCACAATCTTGGCTCACTGCAACCTCTGCCTCTCAGGTTCAAGCGATTTCCGGCTAATTTTTGTATTTTCAGTAGAGACGGGGTTTTCCCTGTGTCAGCCAGGCTGGTGTCAGACTGCCTCGGCCTCTCAAGGTGCTGGGATTACAGGCGTGAGCAACCTCGCCCAGCCAAAGGTGTGCTTTGGAAATACAAAGATAAGGCAAGGCCTCTGTTTTCTGCTTCTGGTTCTGAACATCTGTGGCCTGGAGATTTTCTCTTTCTACAGGTGAAGATGTTTGTCAGCTCAAAAAACTGCATGTGCCAGGCGCGGTGGCTCACGCCTGTAATCCCAGCACTTTGGGAGGCCAAGGCGGCTGGATCACGAGGTCAGGAGATCGAGACCATCCTGGCTAACACGGTGAAACCCCGTCTCTACTAAAAATGCAAAAAATTAGTGGGGTGTGGTGACGGGCACCTGTAGTCCCAGCTACTTGGGAGGCTGTGGCAGGAGAATGGCGTGAACCCGGGAGGCGGAGCTTGTTGTGAGCCAAGATCGTGCCACTGCACTCCAGCCTGGGCAACAGAGCAAGACTCCGTTTCAAAAAAAAAAAAAAACGACTGCATGTATTTCCTCGGTTACGACAGTCAGAACACATCCCTTTCTCTTGTAGACGGGGACCTTGACCTGAACCTGCAGTTGTTGGTCGCACAACCGCGTAGAAACGCCCAAACCGTCCAGGAGGACGTCAGAGCAGCGACTGGGAGGCCAGACAAGATGGAGGAGACACTGACATGCATCATCTGCCAGGACCTGCTACACGACTGCGTGAGGTGCGACTGTGTTCACCCTTGCCTCATGGAACATGGCACTGCAGGTTCCTCGTCCAGTGTGGGGCGGGGCTGGGCATGAAACAAGCCTCCAGGTTCTGTTTGGCCTGGCATCTGCTGAGGTTACCATTTTCTTTTTCTTTCTTAGACAAGGTCTGGCTCTGTCACCCAGGTAAGAGTGGGCGTTATCTCAGCCCACTGCAACCTCTCCCTACCAGGCTCGAGCGGTTCTCCCACCTCAGCCTCCTCAGTAGCTGGGACTACAGGTGCACACCACTATGCCTGGCTGACTTTTTTTTTTAATGTTCTGATTTTATTGTTATTTATGTTTTTATTTTTTATTCCTTTTTTTTTTTTTTTAGATAGAGTCTTGCTCTGTCACCAGGCTGAAGTGCAGTGGCACGATCTTGGCTCACTGCAACCACAGATTCCCAGGTTCAGACGATTCTTCTGCCTCAGCCTCCTGAGCAGCTGGGACTGCAGGCGTGTGCCACCAGGCTAATGTTTTTGTATTTTTTGTATTTTTTAGTAAAGCAGGGTTTCACCATATTGGCCAGGCTGGTCTTGAACTCCTGACTTCAGGCGATCTGCCCACCTTCGCCTCCCAAAGTGCTGGAATTATAGGCGTGAGCCACTGCTCCCAGCCACCCTGCTGATTTTTGTATTTTTGTAGAGGCAGGGTTGCGCCATGTAGCCCAGGCTGGTTTTTTGTTTTTGTTTTTGTTTTTGTTTTGGAGTTGGAGTCTCGCTCTGTCGCCCAGGCTGGAGTGCAGTGGCCGGATCTCAGCTCACTGCAATTTCCACCTCCCGTGTTCAAGTGATTCTCCTGCCTCAGCCTCTCAAGTAGCTGGGATTACACGCGTGCGCCACCACGCCTGGCTAATTTTTTTGTATTTTTAGTAGAGTCGGGGGTTTCACCACGTTAGCCAGGCTGTTCTCGAACTCCTGAACTCAGGTAATCTGCCCGCCTTGGCCTCCCAAAGTGTTGGGATTACAGACGTGGGCCACCGTGCATGGCCACCACTTTCATTTTAGTTGTGGCGCCAACAAGGAGGAAACCTGGAACCCTGAGCTGGAGGCTGTAGACCCCACAAGTTTTGGGGGTGGGTCGTGTGTGACCCAGTGAACTCTGCAGACAGATGGAAGGAACTGTGCACATTTTAAATGTTCCTTAGCCGGGAAGGTGTATTCAGCATGGAATGAATGCAGGGGCAGCTGAGGAAGGGCCTCCTTGCTTTTCCGTGGGAACTCAAGAGTAAGAACCTTCCAGCTTCTGTTCCAGAAACACTTGGTGTCTCGTTGTTTGTGTTCCTGAAGTCATAATCTCACCTCTGTCCCTCCTGAAAACACAGAGGCCATGTGGCCTCTGATTTACATTAACGAAGACTGAGTTAAAGGGTTTTTAGGTTGAACGATGGCTGGGCTCCTGTAGGCCCTTCCGTGGTGGGGCTGCTGTGGACCTTGGCTGAGGGTGGTGGTTGCGTCTGTGGGACTGTTTGGACGCTGCTCCTCTCACGCTTTCAGTCTGCAGCCCTGCATGCACACGTTCTGCGCGGCTTGCTACTCGGGCTGGATGGAGCGCTCGTCCCTGTGCCCCACCTGCCGCTGTCCTGTGGAGCGTATCTGTAAAAACCACATCCTCAACAACCTCGTGGAAGCGTACCTCACCCAGCACCCAGGCAAGTGCGGGCGGTCCACCCACCAGCACCCAGAGAAATGAGGGCGGTCCACCCAAAATGAGGGCGGGTCCACCCACCAGCACTCAGAGAAATGAGGTGTTCACTCACCAGCACCTAGGAAATGAGGGCGTGTCCAACGACTGCAGCACCCAGGCACGGAGGGCGGTCCACCCACCAGCATCCAGGCATGAGGGCGGTCCACCCACCAGCACCCATGCAAGTGAGGGCGGTCCACCCACCAGCACCCAGGCACGTGAGGGCGGTCCACCCGCCAGCACCCATGCAAGTGAGGGCGGTCCACTCACCAGCACTCAGGAAATGAGGGCGGTCCACTCACCAGCACTCCAGGGAAATGAGGGCGGTCCACCCACCAGCACCCAGGGAAATGAGGGCGGTCCACCCACCAGCACCACGGTGAGGGTGGTCTCACCGCCAGCACCCAGGCACATGAGGGCAGTCCACCCACCAGCACCCATGCAAGTGAGGGCGGTCCACTCACCAGCACCCAGGGAAATGAGGGCGGTCCACCCACCAGCACCCAGGCACGTGAGGGCGGTCCACCCACCAGCACCCATGCAAGTGAGGGCAGTCCACCTACCACACTCCAGGGAAATGAGGGCGGCCCACCACCAGCACTACGTGAAGTGAGGGTGGTCCACCCACCAGCACTCAGGCACATGAGGGCAGTCTGACTCACCAGCACCCATGCAAGTGAGGGCGGTCCACTCACCAGCACCCAGGGAAATGAGGAAGTGTCCACCCACCAGCACCTGTGGCACGTGAGGGCGGTCCACCCACCAGCACTCCATGCAAGGAGGGCAGCCCACTCACCAGCACCCAGGGAAATGAGGGCGGTCCACCCACCAGCACCAATGCAAGTGAGGGCAGTCCACCCAGACGCCTCTTCCACAGCACGGTGCACACAGGCTCCCAGTGTCTGCCTGTCGTGTCTCACTGCTGGCCAATGGCGCTGTGTTCTTTCAATTCTAGACAAGAGTCGCAGTGAAGAAGATGTGCAAAGTATGGATGCCAGGAATAAAATCACTCAAGACATGCTGCAGCCCAAAGTTAGGCGGTCTTTTTCCGATGAAGAAGGGAGTTCAGAGGACCTGCTGGAGCTGTCAGACGTTGACAGTGAGTCCTCGGACATTAGGTAAATCATGCCCCTGGCTCAGAGCAGAGTGTGGGAGCTGGAGAAGCATCAGAACCAGGACCGAGAGCTCACCACCGGGTGGACAACGCGGGTCCTGAGTTCCGGTTCTGCCCCTGAGCAGCCAAGCTTTTAAATGGCTTCAGCTTGTTTTCTGGTATTGGATAGAATTAGCACCTCCCCTGAGAGGGCGTGGCAGGGACTGGGTGAACACTTACGGGGGTAGTCAGGTAGCCAGCAGAGCGCCAGCCGCAGGCGGCTGCCGGGACATCTGCACCCTTGGCCGACACCCTTCCCTTGGCTTCAACTCGCCATGGTCTGGCATCTCTGGCTGTGACAGAGGGAGTTTATTCCATGTTATTTTTTCCCACATAAGCACATGTGTTCTTTGTAGCTGATCTAGTGACTGTAAAGTCCTGTAGTATAGATTGCAACGTTTATCATTTGTCAGGATGTTATTACGGAAGAGGCCCCATCACCTGGACCGGACAGTCCCGGCCTCAGAGACCTTGTTTATCGGCTGCCATGTTGATGTTTCCTAATGCACAAGTCCAGGGTCTGAATGTTGGGTCAAGGCCATGATATTTTAAAAGACAATGAACACATAAAAAAACCCAAAACTTACCTTTGTTTGCTTTTGCCAAGTTTAACATGTGACTGTTAAGCAAAAAGAAGGGAACAAAAACCACTTTAGCTTTAAGATTTTGTTGCATTTTCCCAGCTTTTCGTACATGCGTCCTATTCATTAACAAAATGAAACGTAATATACTAACAGGTTTTTTTTTTTTGAGACAGAGTTTCGCTCTTGTCGACCAGGCTAAAGTGCAATAGCATGAATTTTATTTATTATTTTTTTATTTTTATTTTTATTTTATTTTTTTTGAGACAGAGTCTCGCTCTGTCGCCAGGCTGGAGTGCAGTCGCGCGATGTTGGCTCACTGCAACCTCCGCCTCCTGGATTCAAGTGAGTCTCCTGCCTCAGTCTCTTGAGTAGCTGGGACAACAGGCGCCTGCTACCACACCCAACTAATTTTTTTGTATTTTTAGTAGAGACAAGGTTTCACCACGTTGGCCAGGATGGCCTCAATCTCCTGACCTCGTGATCCGCCCACCTCGACCTCCCAAAGTGCTGGGATGACAGGCGTGAGAAACAAATGTTTTTATGAAGCTGGGATTCGGCTGCACATACAGCTCGGTAACGTCCCCAGCATTTGGATTGGGAAGCACCTGCTGTGCATTTCTTACGTCCGTGTTTGTGCACATGTGCGGTGACGCCAGCATTTAGACGTGAAGCGGTCGAGTCACAGAATGTGACTGGAATTGGACCTGGACAGACGTTTGATAAGTTTGTTACCCCCACACCAACAGGAAAGGGCGCGTCTAGTGCACTCCACAAGGTCTGCACGAGGGGCGCTTTTTGCCAGTTTAGTAGGGAAAATAGGTAATCTCATTTGCATTTACATTTTTTCCTTATGAAAAATACGTGTCTTTTCACCGTGCTTTGTTTTTTAATCTGGTCAGGTCTTACCCGCTGGCCTTATTGGCCCCTGGCCTTGGTGTCAGGCGCAGAAAAGCCTTTCAGATGGAGAGGAGAAGCCTCGTGTATTTTTTCTGACAGGTTCTTTTTTTACAGTTTACATTTTTATCTGCTCGTTTGTGAAAACGAAGTGTAGAAAAGTGTAGAAAAGACAAGTGTAGAAAAGACAAGTGATTCGGGGCCTTGCAGGCTCCTGGTGTGACTCCCGGTACCTTGTCCACCGTGCTCTACTTTTAACGGGAGAGTAGGTGCGTCCTGAGGAGCATGAGGTGTGTTCGCATGTGCTGGCCTTTGCCCTGCGCTGGCATCGCCTCCTGGGAGCACACATCAGTGGGGACTGAGTGGTTCCGGGGATGGCGCTCCAAAGCGTGGGGGCTGAGCTGGGGATGTAGAGCAGCGTATCCTTGCCCTTCGACTCCTGTTCTGGTCCCACTCCTCTAACACAGTGGTGCTGGGCAGGAAGGGGCCTGGCCCCTCCCCTCACACCAAGCAGCTGAGCGAGGGTGGAGCTGAGCTGTGATGGCTGTCGACCCGCGTTGCACTGGCCCTGCCTGAGAGAGGCTGGGGTCCTGCACACAGCTCGGCCCTGTGCTTCCTTGCAGCCAGCCATACGTTGTGTGCCGGCAGTGTCCTGAGTACAGAAGGCAGGTGGTGCAGCCTCCCCACTGCCCAGCACCCGAGGGTGAGCCAGGAGCCCCGCAGGCCCTGGGGGATGTACCCTCCACGTCTGTCAGCCTCACGACAGGTGAGCCACGCCGCCCTTAGGCCTCAGCCTTCCCGCGAGTCACTTTATGGCTGTGCCCGGTGCTGACGTGCACGTGGCCACACTCTGCCCACCTCCTCTCTGCACCCCTTGCCCCTTTGGGCCCTGGCCTCAGTGGTCTCCCTGCACTCGCAGTTTGTTGCTTTTTGTGACTGATTTTCGGTTGGGAAATCAGATAAGTAACTGTTGATTCATAGCCACTCCTGAACACTCCTGGGAATTAACAACCCTGACCTTAATACTTGGCTCCTCCCCAACCACTGCCTCAGGGCAGCTCACATCCCCCAGTGGGTTTGCCAGACCCAAAGTGATGATCGCGTATCTGTCCCTCAAGTAAGAGGCGGGTTTCTCCTCAGCAGTGGCAATGTCTCCAGAGTTGGCTTTGTGCGAAATGTTTTCCCGTCAGGTGCCTGTTTCCGGCAAGGGGTGTCAGGTGCCATCCAGGAAAGCAGAGGAGAGCTGGGCAGGGTGTGGAGGCTGCACTTCTCTGCCCTGCTCACTCCGGACTCATAGAATGGGAAGATGGCCCTCGGGGTCCTGGCTTCCTGGCCACAGGTCAGGGCTGAGCACATCACGAGGCCACTGGCCTGGGATGGATGCAGAGCCACATCCTTGTGCTGTGTTCTCAGTGGCTTCTTGTAGAACCTGTGGACAGAACAGACAAAAGTGTCCACCTGGACTCCTGTCCACCAGCCTGGGTTTGCCTCCGCCACTCAGAAGCTCCGTTTGGGTCACTGGACAGACTCCTTCCTTTGCAAGGTGGGACCAGCGCCTCCCTCTGGGGTCCTGGATCCCTCAGTGGGCGCTCGGTGAACCTAGGTGGTGAAATTGCTGTCCTTATGGCCAGCATGTTGACCTCGCAGGGTCTTTCCTGTGTGGGTGGTGAGTGTCCAGGGAACTTGGCCAGGTGGGCTCAGACTTCTGCTGCTGCATCAGTTGGTCTTGTGCAACTAGCCTGTCCCTTGTTGATTTGAGAGATGGCTGTTCTCTCACCTGAGCGGACATTGAACACAAAACTTGTTTTATTCTATATCATAGGTTCTATGGGCTATCCTCCCTTTATAGGAAATAGTAGAAAACCTTCAACAGATCGGCCGGGCGTGGTGGCTCATACCTGTAATCCCAGCACTTTGGGAGGCCGAGGCAGGTGGATCACGAGGTCGGGAGATCGAGACCATCCTGGCTACCACGGTGAAATCCCATCTCTACTAAAAATACAGAAAAATTAGCCGGGCGTGGTGGCGGCTGCCTGTAGTCCCAGCTACTCGGGAGGCTGAGGCAGGAGAATGGCATGAACCTGGGAGGTGGAGCTTGCAGTGAGCTGAGATCATGCCACTGCACTCCAGCCTGAGTGACAGAGCAAGACTGCCTAAAAAAAAAAAAAAAGAAAAACCTTCAACAGATCTTTGAAATCTTGCTCCAGTCGCTAAACCAGTCATTATTGTTAATCCGTTTGGACTCCCCGAGTTTGGGTGGCAGAAGGTCCCTGGTGGTTTAGCAGGGTAGGTCTGTGTCTTCCCCGGCTATCTCAGGTGCACCTCCTCACTGTGCTTCCGGGCGGCGTCTCTAACCTGCTGTCTTTCTGCCCTGGGTCCCACGTGCTCCTGCTGAATGTCGTGTGCTTCAGCAGTCCAGGATTACGTGTGCCCTCTGCAAGGAAGCCACGCCCTGTGCACCTGCTGCTTCCAGCCCATGCCCGACCGGAGAGCGGAGCGCGAGCAGGACCCACGTGTCGCCCCTCAGCAGTGTGAGTGCCCGCGCCATGGAACGCAGGCGGGCTCCCTCTGTCCTTCGGGGCTCAGGTTTCAAAATGGTGTTGGCCTTAGGGTACCCCATGAAGTAAGGATGCCGTTTCTTTTTTTCCATCTGTGTGATTAGTTGTCACCACGTGACCATATTTAATAATCCATCTTTTTCCAGCAGCTAGTTGCACTGCCCCTTCACAGGACACATCTCCATCCAGCAGGGGCTCGGCCTGGGTCTGTGTCCGTCTCCTGCCAGCACTGTGGTTGCTTTATAATGTGTCACTGTTAAACCTCCTAGATGAATTTTGATGCTTTAATATACAACTCTAGCCAGGCACAGTGGCTAACGCCTGTAATCCCAGCACTTTGGGAGGCCAAGGTAGATGGATTTTCTGTGTCCAGGAGTTTCAGACCAGCCTGGGCAACATGGTGAAACCCCATCTTTACAAAAATTACAAAAATTAGCCAGACATGATGGTGTACACCTGTAATCCCAGCTACTCGGGAGACTGAGGCCAGAGGATGGCTTCAGTCTGAGAGGAGGAGGTTGCAGTTAGCTGAGATCATGCCACTGTACTCCAGCCTTGGCGACAGAAGGAAATCCTGTCTCAAAACAAAACATATATATATGCACGCACATACAGTTCTTACTGTTAAAAACGGAACTTGTCCTTTATTTCATGGCTGTTTTAATTTATTCCTGCAGAAATGTCTGTTTATGTCCTTTGCCTTTTTTTTAAATGACTTCCTAATTTGTCAGAGCTTCTTATATGCTGCTGAGCACCACAGTTGGCTCCTGCCACACGCACCCGTGCTGCTGTGTGCACCGAGCCCTGCGTGAGCAGCACGGCCACAGCACTGGTTCTGTCTGGAATGGCTTAAAATGTTCTGGGCACTCAGGAAACCAAACAGGTTACTTCTGGGGGCTGTACCCTGAGACTGGGCTTGGCAGGGGTGGGGCCTGGCCTGCAGCGTTGGGACACACCCGGTGAGGTGACCTGGACGGTCGCTGCCTCAGGGGTCGTCCACGGCAGGCACTGGCCACTGCGGATGCTGCTTGCGGGAGGGCAGGTGAGAAGCTGCAGAGAATAGCTCACCCCGTGCCTAACACACATGGTGGGCAGCAGATGGCAGGTCGGGCCAGCTTTTCCCCAGGAGCCCAAGCTCTTGACTCTAATTTAATAGAGAATGCTTCGTATACAGAGGCATTTATGAAGTGGCCGTAGGCGTTAGAAGACTTAAGGACTCAACCCTGTGAGAATTTTAGCGAGGGTTTAACTAATATTATATTTTAGGGATTTCCATTGTATAGAATATCAGACAATTAAAAATAATTTCCTTTGGGAGGCTGAGGCAGGCGGATCATGAGGTCAGGAGATCAAGACCATCCTGGCTAACATAGTGAAATCCCATCTCTACTAAAAATACAAAAAATTAGCCAGGTGTGGTGGTGGGCACCTGTAGTCCCAGCTACTTGGGAGGCTGATGCAGGAGAATGGCGTGAACCTGGGAGGTGGAGCTTGCAGTGAGCCGAGATTGTGCCATTGCACTCCAGCCTGGGCGATAGAGCGAGACTCTGTCTCAAAAAATAAATAACGTCTACAAAACCAAGGTGACGACATGAAAAAATACCTAGGTAGAAAAAGGCCACCTAGACTGGGTGCAGGGGCTCACGCCTGTAATCCCAGCACTTTGGGAGGCCGAGGCAGGTGGATCACCTGAGGTCAGGAGTTTGAGACCAGCCTGACAAACATGGTGAGACCCCGTTTCTACTAAAAATGCAAAAATTAGCCAGTTGTGGTGGGCACCTGTAATCCTAGCTACTGGGGAGGCTGAGGCAGGAGAATCGCTTGAACCCAGGAGGCAGAGGTTGCAGTGAGCCAAGATTGCACCACTGCACTCCAGCCTAGGCCACAGAGTGAGACTCTGTCTCAAAATAAAATTTAAAAAGCCACCTAAGTATGTGCAGTTGGGGGCAAACATGTTGCATGTTCAGAGCTAGAAGGAAACCCATCGAAGCTGTGTTAGGGGGATGGAGGAGGTGAGATTTTTTTCTTTCGTGGCTCTCACTGTTTCCCTGGGACGAGCATGCGGTGTTCAATGTAAGAAACATATGTGTCTGGGGCTGGGTGCAGTGCCTCATGCCCGTAATACCAGCACTTTGAGAGGCTGAGGTGGGAGGATCACTTGAAGCCAAGAGTTTGAAAGCACCCTGGGCAACATAGTGAGACCCTGTCTCTACAAAAATAAAAAACAAATTAGCCGGGTATGGTGGCATGCACCTGTAGTCCTAGCTACTTGGGAGACTGAGGTGGGTGGATCCCTTGAGGCCAGGAGGCGGAGGTCACACTGTGCTCCAGCCTGGGCAACAGAGCGAGACTCCATCTCTAAAAAGTAAAAAACCAGAAAACATGAGCCTCGCCTTTTTTCAGGGCTACAACTCCCTGTCATCACAGTCCTGGGATGTGGCCCTGCCCCGAGTTCCATGAGACTCCTCCTGAATAATGTTTCCAAAGCGAGTTGAGCTCCTCAGCCTGGTGCTGATGAATTGTGTCAGAGACAGGACTAACGAGTGCCTCTCTCCACAGGTGCCGTCTGCCTGCAGCCTTTCTGCCATCTGTACTGGGGCTGCACCCGCACCGGCTGCTTTGGCTGCCTGGCCCCGTTCTGTGGTAATACCGGATCTTCAGGCCCCAGTTGCTTTGACCTTTGCATGTTCTCTTGGTGAACTTGAGGGCAGGGGATGGTGGGGTCCATAGCCTGATGTTTACAGGGGTGAGGCCACGGTTGGTCATGTCATCAGATGGTGACATTTTCCTGCTGATCTGCAGAGGTGCGTCAGATTCGTGTTGGCTCAAAATCAAGCCTTAATGGAAGGATTAGGAGAAATACTCCCAGGACGGAATCCTTGCTGCAGGGTTCTGGTGTCACGATACCAGACCAGGTGCTGGGGTGACTCGAGAGCTGATCTTTTTAAGGAGGGAGTGGAATGGAAGTCATTTCTACTTGTCCTCTGTTTAAAATTGAGTTTTATCACTGAACTTCTTATTCCTTCTAGAATCTGTAATGAAAAGAAATGTGTTTATCCTCAGTGTGGGGCAGACAGTGCTTTCCTGCGACGTCTTTATAAACAGGTAACATTGCACCTTCATCTCGGCAGAGCTCAACCTGGGTGACAAGTGTCTGGACGGCGTGCTGAACAACAACAGCTACGAGTCAGACATCCTGAAGGTACTGGCCCGCCGCGGGCTGGGGAGCCGGGATCCGCGTTTTCTCACTAGTGCAGCCAGCTGGTTCTCTGCATTCCATTGGTGTTTATCTGTTTTTCCCGCATTCCAAAAATAGGTGTTTCCTTTTTGTGCCTCCTGCCGTGGATCCATAGGAGCCGCCTCCCACAGCTCTCGGGAGGAACTTGGAAGTGCTGCCTGGGACCAGGGCGTTTTCTCTGGTCCCTTTCTCTTCCGGCCATTTGCTTTCCTGCGTCTAGGAAGCTACCTCGGCTTCTGGGGTTTCTGTGTGTAACATGCGCATCTGCCCGCTTGCCGAGAGCACACACAGTGGTGGGGCCTTGACGCTTGCCACAGACACACCTGGCAGGTGCCCGCTCAGCCGCACACTCTGCTTTGATGCCCACAGAAGGAGCTCAACAGCTCGTGTGTGTTTAAAGGGCACGGAAAACAGATGCCTAGTCCTCAGCTTTTCTTGTCAAACAGACTGGGCTCGTTGTGGGGCTGTGTGCACTGTGGCTAGGCTTTCGTGTCTCATTCACACCTGGGCTGTGAGGGTCTTGGCAGAACTTTTGAGAGCCTCTGATAACTCTTACACTGGAAGGTCAGAAGTGAGCCTTCCTTTTGGGACTTCCAGGAGGCTCTTGGACAAGACTTCTCGTGCCGCAGGCTGTGAACGTGCAGCCCTCTGCAAATGCCACTCGTAAGGGGCTGAGCTTCGGCTTTCCGCACCTTCAGGGATCTTATTTATGAGATGTTTTCTATCTCGTTATTTCAGTGTTTCTTCCTCTAAACCAATATTGCTTATTCCTCTTTTTTTTTTTTTTTTGCGTCACAGAATTACCTGGCAACCAGAGGTTTGACGTGGAAAAACATGTTGACCGAGAGCCTCGTGGCTCTCCAGCGGGGAGTGTTCCTGCTGTCTGGTGAGTTCTTCTCTTGCCTCCTGCTCTAGGGTGCGTGTGACTTTCCAGGGCTGCACCTGCCTGTCTGCTCTCCCAGTGACCACTCTGACCTATACCCATCCTGGAAGAGAAGAAAAAAGATCCTGATGCTTTCGGGTTGTTTTTTGTTTGTTTGTTTTTTGAGATGGAGTTTCGCTCTTGTTGCCCAAGCTAGAGTGCAGGGGCGTGATCTCAGCTCACTGCCACCTGCGCCTCCCGGGTTCAAGTGATTCTCCTGCCTCAGCCTCCTGAGTAGCTGGGATTACAGGCGCCCACCACCACACCCGGCTAATTTTTTTTTTTTTTTGAGATGGAGTCTCGCTCTGTCACCCAGGCTGGAGTGCAGTGGCCGGATCTCAGCTCACTGTAACCTCTGCCTCCCAGGTTTACGCCATTCTCCTACCTCAGCCTCCCGAGTAGCTGGGACTACAGGCGCCTGCCACCTCGCCCAGCTAGTGTTTTGTATTTTTTAGTAGAGACGGGGTTTCACCGGGTTAGCCAGGCTGGTCTCGAACTCCTGACCTCGTGATCCGCCTGCCTCGGCCTCCCAAAGTGCTGGGATTATAGGTGTGAGCCATTGTGCCTGGCCGATATCTTTGTTAATTAAGGGTATAGCACGTTTTGATTTGTGTTGCAAATGTTTACGCTATAGTAGTAGCTCACTTTTGTTGTATTTATTTTCATTTTGAGGTTTGAATTGTTGTCAACTGTACAAATCCTTCCTCTGTGCAATTTGGTGTTCAAGACATACTTAGAAATAGCTAATTTTCTGATTTTCTTCTTAGTAATTTTTTGAGAGTTTTAATATTTAAATTTTATATCCACGTGGGGCCAGGTGGCGGTGGCTCACACCTGTAATCCCAGCATTTTGGGAGGCTGAGGCAGGCAGATCGCCTGAGGTCAGGAGGTCGAGACCAGCCTGGCCAATGTGGTGAAACCCCAACTCTACTGAAAAAATACAAACATTAGCTGGGCGCGGTGGCGCATGCCTGTAGTCCCAGTTACTCGGGAGGTGAGGCAGGAGGATCAGTTGAACCCAGGAGGCGGAGGTTGCAGTGAGCCGAGACTGCACCACTGCACTCTAGCCTGGGCAACAGAGTGAGACTTGGTCTCAAAAAATAAATAAATAAATAAATAAAATGTTATATCCATGTGGGATTTTTTTGCTGTAAGAAAATAAATTGGTAGGACTGGGTGCGGTGGCTCACGCCTATAATCTCAGCACTTTGGGAGTCTGAGGCGGGTGGATCACGAGGTCAGGAGATCGAGACCATCCTGGCTAACACGGTGAAACCCCGTCTCTACTAAAAATATAAAAAATTAGCCGGGCGCGGTGGCGGGCACCTGTAGTCCCAGCTACTCGGGAGGTGAGGCAGGAGAATGGCGTGAACCCGGGAGGCGGAGCTTGCAGTAAGCCGAGATCACGCCACTGCACTCCAGCCTGAGCGACAGAGCGAGACTCTGTCTCAAAAAAAAAAAAGGAAAGAAATTGCTGTCTAGGTTGACTTTGTTGTTGTTTTCTGATGGTGTAGCCCGTTGTCTTCACCCCACTTATGGTCAGTGCGTTAGTTTCCCACTGCTGTGGTCTGTGTGTGCTGCTGTCGGGAAGGTGGCGTTGCTGGGTAACTGCCTGTGTCTGCATGAGGCTGTGTTTTTTCCAGATTACAGGGTCACGGGGAACACCGTGCTGTGTTACTGCTGTGGCCTGCGCAGCTTCCGAGAGCTGACCTACCAGTACCGGCGGAACATTCCTGCTTCCGAGTTGCCAGGTGAGGACCCCAACCCCACACGGCTCTTGTTCTGTCTGGGTTGGCTTCTACACTCTTTTTTTTGTTTGTTTGTTTGTTTTTTGAGATGGAGTTTCGCTCTGTTGCCCAGACTGGAGTGCAGTGGCACAATCACGGCTGACCGCAACCTCTGCCTCCTGGGTTCAGGCGATTCTTCTGCCTTAGTCTCCTGAGTAGCTGGGATTCCAGGCACCTTCCACTACGCCCGGCTAACTTTTTGTGTTTTTAGTAGGGTTGGCCAGGCTGGTCTCAAACTCTTGACCTTGGCCTCCCAAAGTGCTGGGATTACAGGCATGAGCCACCCTGCTGGGCCAGCACTCTCTTCTTAGCAACAACCTGTTTGCACTTTGCTTTGCGTTCTAAGCAGAATTTGGCCTCAGTCGGGAGCCAGCAGGACAGACAGGCCATGCGGGGCCGTGGTTGTCTTAGGCCTTGCGTCTATTTGCAGTTATTCATGAGTGTAACGTGGGTTTCTAAAACTGAGTCGTAAAGACATCCAATAGAAAGCTGGGGTAATTTTATTTCCTTAATTGGGTTTTTACTTTTTAATTTTTATTTATTTTATTTATTTATCTTTGAGACAGAGTCTTACTCTGTCGCCCAGGCTGAAGTGCAGTGGCGCAATCTTGGCTCACTGCAACCTCCCTCTCCCGGGTTCAAGTGATTCTCCTGCCTCAGCCTTCCAAGTAGCTGGGATTACAGGTGCCCACCACCACACCTGGCAAATTTTTTGTATTTTTAGTAGAGACAGGGTTTCACCATGTTGATCAGGCTGATTTTGAACTCCTGACCTCAGTTGATTCACCCGCCTCTCCTCCCAAAGTGCTGGGATTATGGGCATGAACCACCGCACCTGACCCTCAATTGGGTTTTTAGTTAAACATGTGTTTCCTTTCCTGAAATCTCAGAACGGTCCAAGGAAACTAGTTGTGGAGGGACCAGAGGCTGTGCGTTTCCGCCGCAGCGTCCGTCTTTGGGTCTCTGCTGAAATGCAGGTAGCGGAGTGGGTGTGTGCAGTCCATCTCATAGATGCGTAACCTTCTGTTTTTCCAGTGGCTGTAACATCCCGTCCTGACTGCTACTGGGGCCGTAACTGCCGCACTCAGGTGAAAGCTCACCACGCCATGTGAGTGCAGCTGGGGGCACAGGCGTCAGCTGCAGGGTGATGAATGAGTTCACCGCCTGCTTACAAATACGCTGATATGGTCATTATCCTTCTCCCAGGTTGCATCCTTTAGGAACCACATCTTCATTTAGAAATCCTGCTCTTCCTTTATCCCTTCATTTCATGCAGTCTTATTTCCATCTTCCACCTCTGTGTCTTCCTGTCTGGAGTTGGTTTATCTGTCGTCTGAGGCATCCGGGGCACACCCCATCGTTTCAGGCTTAGCCATTTCTAAGTCGGAGGCTGTAGTCTCTGACGGCCTCAGGTCCCCTCGCATAGCGCTGCGCAGCTGGGTTCTCGTCCGTACCGTGAGCAGGCATTTGTGATCGCTGTCACATTGTCACCCTCACGTGGCGTCTTTCCCAGCGTCCTTAAAGGAGGTTCACGGCGCCATCTGCATTGCCCTGGGAGGTGTAAGTCAGGAAGCATCTCTTAGGTTAGGTGATTGTGTAAATCACTCCTGTGGCCAAGGAGTTCAGATAAAAGTGATGGAGACAGTGCCGTCAGGACGAGATGCTGCGAGGACTCAGATAAAGGTGCCTTCCTCGCAGGGATTTTGTGGAATACAAACCTTTCTTTGTGTTTGAGCACAAACAGCACATGGAAGAGACCATGTTCTTACAAAAAAAGAGTTCACTGTTGACTGGCAGACAATTTTCAGTAGAAATGTGCATCAGGAGAGCAGAGCCATGCTGGTCCTCCTTGACCACGGTCTGTGGAGAGCAAAGGTGGCCACAGGCCTTCCAGCTTGGTGTGTCTGCCTCAGCCCTGTCAGCAGATGCCACGGGGATGCCCGAGGAGGTGCAGCTTTTATTCTCTTCTCTTAAAAAATTATCTAAGATGTTTACAGTTCTTTCTCTTTTTTTGAAATGGAGTCTCGCTCTGTCTCCCAGGCTGGAGTGAAGTGGTGCGATCTCAGCTCACTGCAACCCCACCTCCTGGGTTCAAGCGATTCTCCTGCCTCAGCCTCCTGAGTAGCTGGGACTACAGGCGCTCGCCTCCACATTAGGCTAAATTTTTTTTGTAGTTTTAGTAGAAACGGGGTTTCACCATGTTGGCCAGACTGGTCTCGAACTCCTGACCTCAAGTGATCTACCCACCTCGGCCTCCCAAAGTGCTAGATTACAGACATGAACCACTGTGCGTGGCCGGATGTTTCACTTCTGTTTCAAAATTTTAAAAGGGAAAAAGAAGTTTACCTTTGGGGGTTAGTTGCTTTGATTTTGTAGAAAGCACACACACTTTCTCAGGTAGCTCTTTCTGTGTATGGTTTCAGAATGGGTTTATTTGAATGCCTCTCCAGTGCGCTCGTGTAATTTATTTGAATGCTTCTCTGATGCTCTTTTGTGTAATTTGGCCATTTTCTCCCGGCAGGAAATTCAATCATATCTGTGAACAGACAAGGTTCAAAAACTAAGCATCCAGAGGCCCCGAGCAACTTTCAGCACTGAAGGCGAAGATAGCGTGTTTTTAAAATACAGAGACAAACATGTCAGGGCGTTTTCACGGCCCCCTGAGAGACGCAGGGTCTCCGGCAGGTGCTCTGGGGTGACTCTTCTGTGGAGCTTTACCCTCTGAGTGAGACCCTCCCCAGAGCCCTGGGGGCCACAACCCGCCCTCCTGGCGAGTGCTGGGTGGGGCTTGTGGTGGCGTCAGCAGCAGAGACGAAGCCTTTCCAGGACACGCAGCCGTCCCGCTGAGAGGGGCAGTTTTGCTCTTTTGTATGTTTTCCGTAACTACAGGTAAAGCAGAAGTCTGTTTTCAGGAAGAGTTTCAAGGGAGAAAGGGGAAAGTTTATCAAAAACATTGTTTCAGGAGAAGGGAGCATAAGTTTACAGCCTACAGGATGTACACAATATTCTGCTGTTGGGAAAACCACAGCATTTTATATATTTTTTATTTTAATAGGTTTGGTGCTTATCTTCTAATAAGATTTAAATATCACAAACTGTAGCACAAATAATATAATTTATAATTTACAAATTGACTAAAATTGGGTATAGTATGGTATTTGAAAGAATAAGCATATGCTTCTGTTTATTGAAAAAAAACTTCCAGTGTCCAAAACTGCTAACCTTCGACGTGGCCGTCAAGTTAGTCGCTCCTTGCTAACCTGTGGGTGACCACGGCCCCGAGCCCGGGGCTGGACGCAGGGCCCAGGACGCGCCGCTCCCTTCACGGCCCCGAACCCGGGGCTGGACGCGGGTCCCAGGACGCGCTGCTCCCTCATGCTGCCCGGGCCCTTCCTCCAAGACCCTACAGAGCCTGAGGGGCACCTTGGCTTCCGCCTGTGCTAGGTTTGCCATGTCAGCTGGAATAATACTTGAAATTTTGATTTTTGGAAAAAAAAGTTTCTTATCTTTTGTTGAAATCACCTGTTATCCTTGTTTGCAAACTGGTAACTTTTTTGCTTCTCAGGAATACAGTTTTCAACTGTTGACTTGCTCTTGATAGGAACTGAGAAGCAGCACTCTGTGTCTCTGCATTTGTGGAGGAAGCCCTCTCTTTTGCATATTCTAATAAATGAGCTGCCTTCGCTCCTCCCCTCTTGTGTTGGGCTCGTGTGTGGGGCTGCCTCACTTCTCCACACAAGGCAGGCAGGCCCTGTGCAGAGTGAGCGCCGAGCACCTCACTGCTAGTGATGGTTACTCTGTCGCCTGCTGTCCCTCAGTGTCTCCATGGAGTCACGCCTGACCTGAGGTTGGGGCCTGAAGTCCGAGCATCCTGTGAAACCTGCTCAGGTCTCTTCATTTGGCCAGTGCTGGGAAACCACAACCTGTTCATCCAGTGTAGAGGCTTTGTCTTCAGCTGAGCACCAGATGAAGCCGCCATGCAGAGAGCCTGAGTTTGTGCAGGGGCGAGGCCGAGAGGGGTGGTCCTGAGTTTGTGCAGGGGCGGGGCCGAGAGGGGAGGTCCTGAGTTTGCAGGGGTGGGGCTGAGAGGGGCGGTCCCGAGTTTATGCAGGGGCGAGGCTGAGAGGGGAGGGACCTAGTTAGTGCAGGGGTGAGGCCAAGAGGGGAGGTTGCGAGTTTGTGCAGGGCTGAGGCTGAGAGGGGAGGTTGGCATTCACCCATGAAGTCGGCTGGGGCTGCCCTGTGTCTGTGTCTTAGATATTCTTAGATATTCACTCTACCCCTTCCCATCTCCAAAAAGTAGAAACAAGAACACTCGCCCTGTAGAGGATGCAGAGCTTTCCTCAGGAAGGGCAGGGCAGCTCAGAGAGCCTCAGGGCTCCAGGTGTCCTAGGGACTCACTCCTGCTTCCTCAGTCCTTCAGAGAAGTCCATTTCCTGGCCCACTGCGAAGGGCGTTTCTGCCTGGAGCAGTCGGAACAGAGCTTGGGTTTGGCTCTGATGTGAGGGAGGAGGCCTTGGGACCAGGGCAGTTATCCCCCGGGTGTGGTAAGGAGCCGTGTTTTATGGAGGCAGGTGGCCGTGAACTCATCCCGTGTTTTCATGAGCTTCTGTACTTCCTTGTCCTCAAGACCCAGCCATCCCACCCAGCAAGACTGACGCACTGTGGTTGTTTTGGAGCCCTGCTGTCCTCATGGGGTGGCTGCTTGGGTCATCCACAGGCTTTCTGGAGGACAGCCTGGCAGCCGCTGCAGATCCCACTGCTTCTGCCTGGCTCCTGGGCCCAGCCTTGGAACAAACCCAGGGCAGGGCTGCAGCTGCCCGCTGGCCCCACGGACTGTCGCCCCACGGACCGTTGCCCCACGTGCTCCTCACCTGCGGCTCCCGCTGTGCTCCCTGGTGCCCCTCAGAAGCAGGGGTCAGCCCTGCCCACCCCTCCGTGTGCTGACCAGGCTCCAAGCCAGGGAAGGGGGCCTCAGGTTCTAGGTGAGCCCATCCACCCCAGTGAGACCTCCCTGAGATGGCCTCTGTGAGGGCTCTCGACTGCAGGCAGGAAGTCCGGGCAGATTGGCTTAAAACAGACTGGGGGATTCAGGCCAATCCTCCTCCCTAGGGCAGCTACAAAGGCTGTTTTAAATCTGCTTTAAGTCATCTTAATGATCTCAGGGCCAGCAGGATGGGAGAGATTGGGCCCAGGTGCGAGAGAGCCAGGGGTCCAGGGGCTGCTCCCAGCACAGCGCGGCCTTCACCCCAGGTATGTGGCCAAAGCAGAGAGGCAGCTGAGTTTGGAAGGGGCTTCTGCCAGCCAGGGGTTCCTGGTGACAGCCCCCCCAGCTTGAGGTTGGCAGCCTGGAGAGAGCAGAGCAATGCTGGCCCTGAGGCAGCTGCAGCTGCCTCCCTGAAGAGGCCCCAGTGTCACTGCCAGGGCCACTAGGTCGCTGGGAGCCCTGCACTGGGAAGGCAAGGAAAGCATGAGAACGAGGGGATTTAGGAAGCTGGGAGTGGATCGTCCCTCCCGCCTGGCTTGATGCGGAAACCAGAAGGCTGTCCCCGGGGCCGTCCCTGCCCTCTGCCTCCACGTGGGCTCTGCTTTGGTGTGCACGCCTGGTCCTGCGCCTTCGGACGCAGCTGTGTGGAGAGGCCGGGTCTTGCCTCCCTGAGGACGGACGGCCACGTGCAGAGTGCAGCCTAGCTCTGCAGACCTGCGCACTGACCAGACGGGCAGCAGGACGGAGCCAGGTGATCTTCGCGGGAGCCACCTCCAGGAATGCCTAGTGCTGCTAACTGGTAGATGCCGTTGTTCAAGCATCCTCTACACTTAGAATTAAGTTACACTGAAAACAAAGGCAATGAGTGCTCAGGATGCACCACTTTCTAGTTAGTTCACCGCACCTGCCTGTTACTGCCGCCCGAGGCTGTGTGCTTCTGGGGCCGGTGTGGAAGGGCGTCCCTTCCAGCCTTACCACTTGGCCTGGTGGGAATGGGCCCTGGAAGGAGTGTTTGCACTGTGGAAATTGGTAAATGCTTCAAATCAGGGTGGTTTTTAATTGCTTTTGTTTTCTTCTGGAGAGAAGATTGTTAAACACCAGCACAGTGCTGCACCAGGCAGCCAGCATATACTCATGAGAAACAAGCAGTTGTTTAAACCACTGCATTTGGAGTGGTTTGTTACATGGTAATGAATAACCATCTCATGGTCCTGGAAGGCCCAGCACATATAACCCCTGCCTCCACCCGTCAGAAAAACCTCTTCTCCCTACCTGCTCCTCCTGGAGCCCCTGGGGTGTTCCTCTGCTTCTCCATCCAGCCAGCTCCTTCCCACAACCAGCCCCAGGTGCCGGCCTCTCCCCCTCCTGCAGCCTCTCCTCATTCAGGTTCCAGCTCAGCCCGACTCCTGCAGGGCTGCCCCCACCCCGCCAGCCAGTCTGGTTCCCCCCCAGCACCTGTCACTATCAGACAGGAAACATCTGTTTACCATTTGTCTCCCCCCCTCAGAAAAATAGAGCAGGGATCTTGCCTGTCTGCCCGCTGTTGTTTATTTGTCTGAAATGTTTGGCCCCAGGGCGGCACCCCCTGATCCCTGGGTGATTAGTTGGCTGCCAAACGGTGAAGGTCCTGATGAGCCGTCCCCTGGGCTTGAAATCTTTCCCACGGCACAGTCGCTCCTTCCTCTGTTGCTCATTTTTTGTGGTTGTCTCCTGAGGCGGTGAGTCTAGATGGTGGGGTCTTTTATCTGTGTTCCTTACACAGAGCAGACACTTGGTTGTGCATGTGTGTGGAAGGGATGGACGCAGGAGAGAATGTTGAAGGCCATTAGACCAGGAGTGAGGGCTGTGCACTGTGCTGGGAACCTGGCATTGTAAGAGCCTTGCGCTGTGCTGGGAGCCTGGCATTGTGAGTGCCGTTTGCTGTGCTGGGAGCCTGACATTGTGAGGGCTGTGTGCTGTGCTGGGAGCCTGCATTTGTGAGCCACGCCTCGCCCAGTGGTGGCCTTGAATGTGGGTCCACTCCGGCTGCTGGATCAAAACGCCGCAGAACAGGCGGCTTAAACAACAGAAAGTATTTTCTCACAGTTCTGGGGCCTGGAACTCTGAGATCAGGGTGTCAGAGGGGCCGGTTCCTCTTTGGTCTGTCTCCTTGGCTTGTGGACAGTGTCTTCTCCTTGAGTCCTCACATCGTCTTCTCTTCATGCGTGTCTGTGCCCTAATCTCTTCCTGCGAGGACACCAGTCCTATTGGATTAGGGCCCGCCCCAGTGGCCTCATTTTATCTTAATCATCTCTTTAAAGACCACACATACTAAAACTGGATACAGAGAAGATTCGCATGGCCCGTGTGCAGGCATGACACACAAATTCATGACGTGTTCCATGTCTGCAGATACAGTCACCTCAGGTCCTGGGATTTAGGACTTGAACATGCTGTAACACTCTGCCATGAAACCTTGCACGCCACGGGGTTTTGTAAAAATGGGGTGGTTTTGTTTGTTGTTTGGCAAACCCCACATGCTGGATACTGTTGACACCCTGTGGTGGGCTGAGCCATGTCCGCCTATCCCGCCACCATGGATGTCTGTATCTGATCACTTGAGTCTTGCACAGTAAAAGGGGCTTTGCAGATATGGTGGAATCAAGGACCTCGAGATGAGCGGAGGATCCTGGATTATCCTGCGGGCCCCGTGTGCAATTGCAGGAGTCGTCGTAAGGAGGAAGCAAGAGGCCGGGCGCGGCGGCTCACGCCTGGAATCCCAGCACTTTGGGAGGCTGAGGCGGGCAGATCAAAGAGGGAAGCAAGAAATGAAAGGCAGGAGGCAGGGAGAGGAGGCTTGGTGACAGCAGAGGCCAGGGGCTTGGCGACAGAGAAGAGGCGGGAGGGATGCGCTTTGCAGGGGGAGCAAGGGCCTTCAGTGGGAGAGGAGGGCAGGATGTCGAAACAGAAAAGAAAACAGATCTCCCTGCAAGGGCCTCCAGAAGGAACCAGCCCTGCCTGCCCCTCCATTTTGGACTTCCGAGCTCCAGAACTGCAAGAGAGTAAGTCTAGTTTAAGCAGCAAAGTTGGTGGTAACTTCTTAGAGCAGCCACAGGAAGCTCACCCCCCCCCCCCCCACACTCTTCCCATTGGTTTTTGTTTTCAGGAAGGGTCAAACTTCAGGAAGTGTTCAAACATCCCAGATTCATGTTGTCAGAGAGAGCTGTTTCCAGCGGGGACCCCAGGCCCACCAGGTGCACCCCACAGACCTGCCCTCTCCACTGTCAGAAGGTGGTATGGCCTCACTGTGGCTCAGGCCAACCCCTAGGAGTCATCCCTGCTGGCTCCTCAGTGCCCCAGGCTTCTCTTCAGGGGCTTCTTGTGGCTCTGATTGTTGCCCCCTCACCTCGATGCTTTTCTCCCAGATCTGTGCGTGCCTGGGTCCTCCTTGTCACGCAAGTTCAGCTCAAATATTACTTCCTCAGAGATGCCTTTGAGTACTCGCTCTCCTTGCCTTTCCCTCTCCTGGGACACTGTTCCCACCAGTACCTGCATGATTCCTTTTCTTTCTTTTACCTTTTTTTTATTTTTTATTTTTTTCAGACAGGGTCTTGCTCTGTTGTCCAGGCTGGAGGGCAGTGGCGCAATCTCAGCTCACTGCAGCCTCCACCTCCTGGGCTCAGATGATCCTCCCACCTCAGCCTCCTGAGTAGCTGGGACTACAGGTGCACACCACCACGCCCAGCTAATTTTCCCATTTTTAGTAGAGACGGGTTTCACCATGCTGGCCAGGCTGGTCTTGAACTCCTGAGTTCAAGCGATCTGCCCGCCTCCACAGCCCACAGTGCTGGGATTCCAGGTGTGAACCGCCGCGCCCAGCAACTCTGTTTCTTACTTTGTTGGCTCACATTTTCCTGAGAGGTTCTCCCTCAACCATCGACCTGAAATAGCAGCGAGCCTCCCCAGGGTTGCCTCTGTCTCTTCTTGACTCTTCCTGTCACCTTCTGTGCTTGTTGTCTGGTCCCCACTAGAATATATGTTCTGTAAGAGCAGGGACTTGAGACAGCGCCTAGAATAGTACCTGCACACAGTAGGCCACAATCAACAGGAACCACGGCCCCATGTAGATGGCAGCCCCTCTGGCTCAAACACTCCATCCAGCTTTATTTTCTTTTCATCAGTTAACGCCCTCTGAAGGTCTCCACACAAACATGAAGCTGGACCAAAGCAGGGACTCCCCGCACGCAGCATAGTGCTGGGCTCGCGTAAGGCACCTCCGTGGGTCCATCGGCTGATGCATGGACAGACACATGGGTGTAGCCGGACACTGAAGTATCGTGCAGCGAGGAAACGTGCTCAGTGTGGAGGGACCTTAAACACACCACGCTAACTGAAAAGGTGTCCCAGAAAGCCACATACGATATGATCCCATTTATATGAAATGTCCAGAAGAGGCACATTCATAAAGACAGAAGGTGGCTGAGTGGTTGTTGGGCTAGCTGGAGGGGATGGGGAGTGAATGCAAGAAGGATCCCTCTGAGGTAACGGAAGTATCCGGAAACTGGGTCGGAGTGATGGGTGCACAGCTCTGCACATTTACTACAGTTGCTGAACTGCATACACAACACGGGTATATTTTATTGCATATAAATTGTACCTTAATAAAGCTGTTAAGAATTTTACTTAGATTAGCATTTTTCCCACACTGTGCCATCAATTTAATATATAATTAGATTCATTGTTTCTGCCTGTATTTAAATTGAGCATTTGTCCCATTTTGCTTGCTAATGTTTAAAATTTTAAATTATTGTGGGTACATAAAAAGTGTATATATTTATGGGGTACCTGGATTTTTTTTTTTTTTTTTTTTTTTTTTTTTTTTTTTGAGACGGAGTCTCGCTCTGTCGCCCAGGCTGGAGTGCAGTGACCGGATCTCTGCTCACTGCAAGCTCCGCCTCCCGGGTTCACGCCATTCTCCTGCCTCAGCCTCCCGAGTAGCTGGGACTACAGGCGCCCGCCACCTCGCCCGGCTAGTTTTTTGTATTTTTTTAGTAGAGACGGGGTTTCACCGGGTTAGCCAGGATGGTCTCGATCTCCTGACCTCGTGATCCGCCCGTCTCGGCCTCCCAAAGTGCTGGGATTACAGGCTTGAGCCACTGCGCCCGGCCTGGATGTTTTAATACAGACATACAATGTATAACAATCAACTCCCAGTAACTGGGGTATCCATCACCTCAAGCCTGTACCATTTCTTTGTTAGGAACATTCCAGTTCCATTCTTTTTGTTATTTGAAAATATACAATACACTATTATTAACTATATTCACCCTATTGTGCTATCAAATACTGGATCTTAGGCTAATTAAATGTTTTCCCGATTTCTCCCATTGGCTACACCTTAGGATAGTGTAATACAAAAACCAGGAAACTAAGCTTGGTGGAGTGTTTTCTTCATTCTGTCGTTTTATCACCCGAGGACACTTACGTAACCACGGTCACAAAATACAGAATAGTTCCGTCACCACAAAAATCTCTCTCCGTCTACCCCTTTATAGTCATCTGACCCCCACAACCACTCTGTGATTCTGTCATTTTGTGATGTAAGTGGACATGTCATACAGTTCGTGCAGTGTAGACCTTTGGAGATGCTTTCCTCCCTGGGTGTAATGCCTTTGAGCTTCATCCGAGTTATTGCGCACATCAGTGGTCAGCTCCTTTTTCTTGCTGAGTGGTGTCTATGGCATGGGTAGCCATGGTTGGTTTAACCGCCTCAGAGGACATTTTGGTTGTTTCCAGTTTGGGGTCAGTAACGTACAGGCTTCTGTGTGGACATAAGTTTATTTCTCTGAATGTCTAGGAGCCCAGTTGCTGGGTCATAAAACTTTACTTTTTAAAGAAACTGCCCAACTGTATTCCAGAGTGGGTGCACTATTGCTGTTTCTATCAGCAATGTAGGAGAGATTAGTTACCCCAAACTAGATTATTCCCAGCATTTCATATTGCCACTGCTGTGTATTATTTGAGAGATTACTCTGAACTACATTACTCCCAGCATTCCATATTGCCACTGCTGTATATTACTTCAGCTGTTCTAACAGGTGTATACTAATATCCCAAGGCGGCCTTTTTTTTTTTTTTTTTTTTTTTTTTTTTTTTTTTTTTTTTTTTGAGACAGAGTCTTACTGTCACCCAGGCTGGAATGCAGTGGTATGATCCCAGCTCACTGCAGCCTCCACCTCCCAGGTTCAAGCGATTCCCCTGCCTCAGCCTCCCACGTAGTTGGTATTACAGGTACCTGCCACCATGCCCAGCTAAGTTTTGTATTTTTAGTAGAAATGGGATTTCACCATATTGGTCAGGCTGGTCTCAAACTCCTGACCTCAGGTGATCCACCTGCCTTGGCCTCCCAAAGTGCTGGAATTACAGGCGTGAGCTTCTGCACCTGACCTCAACATAATGTGCATTTCTGTAATGGCTAGTGACGCTGAACTTGGTCACAAGCTTATTTGCCACTCATATATCCTTTTAGTGAAATGTCTTTTCATGTTTTTTGCTTGTCTTGTGTGTGTGTGTGTGTGTGTGTGTGTGTTGGAGATGGAGTCTCATTCTGTCACCCAGGCTGGAGTGCAGTGACATGATCTCATGATCTCAGCTCACTGCAACCTCCACCTCCCAGGTTGAAGCAATTTTTGTGCCTCAGCCACCCAAGTAGCTGGCATTACAGGCGTGCGCCACCACACCCGGCTAATTTTTATATTTTTAGTAGAGACAGGGTTTCTCCATGTTGGCCAGGCTGGTCTCAAACTCCTGGCCTCAAGTGATTTGCCCGCCTTGGCCTCCCAAAGTGCTGAGATTACAGGCATGAGCCATTGTGCCCAGAATAATTGTTTGTTTATTTTTTTTCTGTCAAGTTTTGAGAGTTCTTTATATATTCTAGCTACTAGTCCTTCAACAAACGTGGTTTGAAAATATTTTCTCAGTCTGTAACTCATCTTTTCATCCTCTTAATGTGGTCTTTCTCATAAGGTTTGTTTGTTTGTTTTGAGACAGTCTTGCTCTGTCACCCAGGCTGGAGTGCAGTGGCACGATCTCAGCTCACTGCAACTTCTGCCTCCCAGGTTCAAGTGATCCTCCTGCCTCGACCTCCCAAGTAGCTGGGACTAGAGGCACGCACCACCACACCGAGCTAATTTTTTTGTATTTTTCGTAGAGCTGGGGTTTCACCATGTTGGCCAGGATAGTCTCCATCTGTTAACCTTGTGATCCACCTGCCTCAGTCTCTCAAAGTGCTGGGATTACAAGGCGTGAGCCAGCGTGCCTGGCCTTTTTCTTTTTTCTTTTTTTTTTTTGAGACGGAGTCTCGCTCTGTCGCCCAGGCTGGAGTGCTGTGGCACGATCTTGGCTCACTGCAAGCTCCACCCCCTGGGTTCTCGCCATTCTTCTGCCTCAGCCTCCTAAGTAGCTGGGATTACAGGCGCTCGCCACCACGCCCAGCTAATTATTTTTAGTAGAGATGGGTTTTACCATTTGGCTTGGCTGGTCTGAACTCCTGACCTCAGGTGATCCGCCCGCCTCGGCCTCCCAAAGTGTTGGGATTACAGGCGCGAGCCACCGCGTCTGGTGAAAAGTTTCTAATTTTTTCATGAAGTTTACGCTATCAACTTCTTTTGTGAATTGTGCTTTCTTGTCAGATCTAGGAACTCTTTCCCAAGCTCTAGATGTCAGAAATTCTGTTTTCTTCTAAAAGTTGTATAGTTTCATTCATACATTTTACGCCTCAGTCTGTGATCATTTTGAGTTAGAATTTGCATTTGCAGATAATATCATGACCCATGTAAAAAATACAAGGATTTTACAACAGTCAACTGCAAAACATCAAATAAACCCTCAAACTAATGAGTTCAGCGAGGTCTCAGGATAACAAAATCAAGATAGAATTCATCACGTTTGTGTAGACCAACAGTGAACACGTGGAAAACGATGTCAAAAACGCAGTGTCACAGTTGCTTGACGTGAAATACTATACACTTCAAAGGTGCAGAATCTGTATGCTGAAATTACGAAATGCTGGTGGAAGAAATCAAAAGACCTAAATAAATGGAGAAGCCACCAGGGATGCAGATGAAGGACCGAGTCAGCGATGCCCGTGCTCCCCAAATGATCTGCAGCAGTTCCCATCAAAATCCCAGAAAGGTTCGTAGACAGAAGCGTATTCCAAAATCCGCAGAGATGAGCGCAACATCACAGGCCGCCTCCTTCCTCACAGCTGGAAGAGCGGCCTGGCGGACGAGGGAAGGTGGAAATCCGTTCCCCAGCGCCCCGCGCCCCGCGCCGTCCAGCTTTGCCTTTTAAAGGGGAAGCAAACAGGGTCGCAAGCAGCGTCGCCCTTGAACTGGCACCTGAAGCGCAAAGGGCGCCGGCCGGGTGGAGGTGCGGGGTTGGGGCGGGGACCCGCGTAGGGCGGGCGGGGAAGTCACGCCCACACCGAGGACGGCCGCGCCCCCGCCGAGCCCCGGCCACGCCACTTCCGCCGGAAGCTCAGTTCAGCTTCCTGAAGGAGTTGGTCCTGCACGTCCGGAAGTTGCGTTTCTACTAGGGAAAGGTCCGCAAACTCTTAAGGTCACTTTCTGAAGCCAGCCTCAGGACATTCCGAGGTGAGCTCGATCCGGACCCTGCGGCCAGAGCGTCCCTGGCTCTGGGGTGGCCGCTGGCAGAAGAGGAGGACAGTCTCTGTTCCGGAACGAAGGCGGCGCGTGCAGGCTGTTTCCGGGGACCCGAGGCCGCTGCACCGCTCGCCCCGCCCCCCGCACGGCCACGTCTCTGCCGGAGCATCCGGGCCGGGCGGCCTCCTTGGCTGCAGCAGCCGCAGGGTGAGAGGCGTGGGGGCCGCGGCGCCTCGGGGCTCTGGTTCCCGCCGTGCTTGGGCCGGGGAGGCCCAAGGGGCGGCGGCGGAGGCTGGGCGTGGGGCGGCGGGGCCTGGGCCCGTCCCTGCAGCGTTGCGGGACGGCCCCGTTCCAGTCGCCCCCTCCTCGCTGCGGTGGCCTCGGGCCTGGGCGCCCCGCTTCAGCTGCAGCGGAGGTGACTCTGTACGTGCCGGTGCCCGCGAGCCCTCCTGAATGCTTGTCTGCGCCTGACGAGCGCGGCATGTCCTGAAGCTGTCCACTGCCGCCACTCGGGCAGTGCTTGTGCCTTTAGTCTGGCCCTTTGCAGCTGACAAGCGTGACTTGGTGTCGGGTGGTTCGTGGGAAGCCAGGGTTTCAGGAGTCCGAGCACTTCCTTGTTTGCCTTTGTCGCTGGCGGACTTGTCTCCATTCCAGGTGCCCAGAGCGAGTGGGGCCGGGCGTTGTCACGGGTATGAACCCGACGAATGTCAGTCGTGTGGCGGGTCCTGGTCATTGTGGGCCTGGGTCCCTGCCCCCGCCGAGCTCACCTAGCACAGGGACGCCCAAGGTCGCCACCGAGAGGGTACCGGGCGGTGGTTGGTGTGTGGGAGTCTCGGGGGCGGGCGACTTCTGTGCTAAGGCCTCTATGACGAGAAACAAGCCAGCCAAAATTGTGAGAAAAACACGTCTCAGGCAGAAAGTTTGAAGATCCTGAGGGCGGAGAAAGTTTGGCGTTTTAAGGCGGAGAATGTGGCTGGAGTGTACTGGCACAGGGGGAAAGCGATGGAGGTAAGGATGTTGGTGTAGGCAGGTGCTGGATTGGTAAGAGGTTGGAGTTTATTGTCACTGGGACAGTGTAAGCCATTTACAGGTGACTCATGGATTTTTTTTTTAAGAGACTGGGTGTGTTGCTGTATTGCCCAGGCTGATGTGGAACTCCTGGCCTCAAGCGATTCTCCCACCCCAGCCTCCCTAAGTGCTGGGACTACAGTTGTGAGCAGCCACACCCGTCGTCGTGGATTATTTTGAATTGTCTTTTAAATGACATGAACATAGCTCTTTATAACCCTTTAATAGCTTTCCGGGCAGTATAGAAGGAAATAAATCATCTGACTTTACTCAAATTGAAGAGGAGCTTTTCCCCCCTCCCCTCCACCCCATTGCCTTAAGAAATAGTAGCATGGCCGGGCGCAGTGGCTCATGCCTATAATCCCAGCACTTTGGGAGGCCGAGACCATCCTGGCTAACACGGTGAAACCCCGTCTCTACTAAAAATACAATAAATTACCCGGCCGTGATGGCGGGCACCTGTAGTCCCAGCTACTCAGGAGGCTGAGGCAGGAGAATGGCGTGAACCCAGGAGGCAGAGCTTGTAGTGAGCCGAGATCACGCCGCTGCACTCCAGCCTGGCGACAGAGTAAGACTCAGTCTCAAAAAAAAAAAAAAAAAAAAAAAAGTAGCACTTTTCCACGTGAGAATGCCTTAGGTTGGCTTTTACTTAGCGATCTTGACAAGCAACAACTAAAGGGAAAATCATAATTACTGCCATTTTATTGAGGACATGGGACAGACTCTGTGCCTTGTTGTATTTAATCCTGGCAAAATTTTGCACTCATTTTCTCGTTGTTTTACGGGAGGAGACAGGCTAAAAGTGGTTAAATCTTTAGCCCAGGATCTCACAGCTAAGTGGTGGAGGGTCAGGAGCTGAGGCCGGAGTCCCAACCTCCAAGCCTGCCCTTTACGTCTCTGCAGTGACGTGAGGCTTGCTTTTGGTTTTCACTTTGTGTATACATCTCTGTTTACTTTTGGATACTAGCGTGTCCTCCACCAGGTACTGTCTTCCTGGGAAATCGTGTTTGGTCTTTGGCTGTGCTCTGTTGTTTGTCATACCCGATAGGACAGCTGAGACGGGTGAAGCAGATGGAGCCATGAATGTCTGTGTACAGAATTCAGGTGTGGGGGAAGCAGAATGTCCTGTAGATGCCTGAGGTGGTGGTTTTGCAGTGTGAAGTCCCTTGGTGTTACCCAGCTGTGAACCTAGGGTTGTGTGTACCTTTCCAAGTTCTAAGTGACAGCTTTGTGCCGTCTCTTCCCTCTAGAGATGTAGGAGTGCAAGTGATCATAAGTGAGACTGATTAGACTGGCCTCTTTATTTAAAAAATAAAATCAAAAGGGAGTCATGTTCCTAATAACAGCTTTCTGTGATGCACTGGCAACTGGCTGCTCCTCCTCCTTGCTGCCCGGAGATTGGCTTTTGTCAGTCGTCTGAGGTAATGAGGCCCTGATGACTGAGTCATTCCAAATTTTAACTAAAAATCAAGCAAGACTGAGGATCGACCAAGACTGCCAACTTATTGCCCTACAGGGAGAAGTATCGCTGTCAGCAAACTCCAGGCAGTTAGTGAATTCTCTCTCTGGTCCAGCTTCAGGAGGAGCTGCCTATGAACAGGGGCCGTCTTTGTGACTTACAGTCGCTGTCTCGGGGTCCCCGTTCTGGGGGGGTGGGCTGCTTGGACGCCAGCAGGGGCATTACGTGAGCCGAATCTGTGACTGCACTGGACTCAGAGAGCTCGGTGCAGCTGGCTGTCACCGTGTTGGCGTGCCCTCTCGCTGGACCCTGAGCATCGTTGGCTATGTTCCTCCTCCTTGGTCAGTGTAAGGCCCGGGCGTCGTCACTGTGGGCCTCTGCAGCAGTCCTCTGCATGTTCTGCCTGTAATGACTGAGTCGCGTCCTGCTGGTCGTCCCATCCTTTCTGTTCAGGTGGTGGTGCCTGGGCTGTGGTCGTGATGCTGCTCTTCCAGTTTCTTTTTTTTTTTTTTTTTGAGACGGAGTCTCGCTCTGTCGCCCAGGCTGGAGTGCAGTGGCCGGATCTCAGCTCACTGCAAGCTCCGCCTCCCGGGTTCCCGCCATTCTCCTGGCTCAGCCTCCCGAGTAGCTGGGACTACAGGCACCCGCCACCGCGCCTGGCTAGTTTTTTTGTATTTTTTAGTAGAGACGGGGTTTCACCGTGTTCGCCAGGATGGTCTCGATCTCCTGACCTCGTGATCCGCCCGTCTCGGCCTCCCAAAGTGCTGGGATTACAGGCTTGAGCCACCGCGCCCGGCCTAATTTTTTTTTTTTGAGATGGAGTCTCACTCTGTTGCCCAGGCTGGAGTGCAGTGGCATGATCTCGGCTCACTGCAAACTCCGTCTCCCAGGTTCAAGCGACTTTCCTGCCTCAGCCTCCCGAGTAGCTGGGATTACAGGTGTGCACCACCACGCCCAGCTAGTTTTTGTATTTTTAGCAGAGATGGGGTTTCACCATGTTGGCCAAGCTGGTCTTGAACTCCTGATCTCGTGTGATCTGCCTGCCTCGGCCTCCCAAATTGCTGGGATTACATGGGTGAGCCACCGCACCTGGTCCAAATTAATTAATTTTAAATTTAAAACTCACGTCCTCAGTTGCCCTGTGTGACGGCTACTCCGGGACAGAAAGCCGCACTGTCCCGGTAGAATGTTCTTTAGTTGGCACCGACACAGACATTAAGCTCCTTCAGGAAAGGGCCCAGTGTGGCTGGATCAGCATTTTAGCCTCAAAACCTAGGACATTGTAGGTGCTCCAGGATTATTTGCTGAATGAAAAAGTCTGTGTTTGTTTCTTGTATGTATGCAAATTGGGAACCAAATGTTAATTTTGTAATTGATACTTGAAATCTGACGAGTAAAAGTTTCATAATACATTTTTTCTCTTTCTCTCCTGTCAGGTATCATGATATTAGCTGGTTTGACCTCAAGCCATTTGAGTCATTCGATCTCCTGAAAATGGGAGACACAGTGGGGCCCCTCCCAGGAGCTCTTGGCTGTTGCTGATGGCAGAAACTACGCTTGACCAAGGCTCACTTGTAGCCCCACGGCGTCAGTGCAGCTGGTGTCGTCCTGACCATGGACGGTGTGTCGGCCGAGCGGGATGGCCTCCAGGAGGACAGATCCCACGGTGGCCCCTTGGCTCTCCCCGAGGGCCCCCTGAAGCCCCCGGGCCCAGTGGTGCCACCTGACCAGGACCCACTGGTGCCACCTGACCAGCAGGACAAAGCCCAGCGTAAGTCGTCAGGTTCCTCTGTGTGCTGGTCACAGGAGGACGTGGTGTTGAGACCACTGTGAGCTTTTCACTTCATTCAGAGTATGTTTTAGTAACTGAATGATGCCACCTTTAGATCAGGCACATTCCTGCTAAACAGAACGCCATTCGACACCTGTGGGGCAGCAGCAGTGTTTCCCTGAAGGGATCTATGGGTCTTTGTCGTGTTCCCTGCCCAGAATTCTACCTTTTTTTTTTTTTTTTGAGTTGGAGTTTCGCTCTTGTTGCCCAGGCTAGAGTGCAGTGGCAAGATCTCGGCTCACTGCAGCCTCTACCTCCTGGGTTCAAGCGATTCTTCTGCTTCAGCCTCCTGAAGTAGCTGGGATTACAGGCATCCACCACCACGCTCAGCTGTTTTTTGTATTGTTAGTAGAGATGGGGTTTCACCATGTTGGTCAGGCTGGTCTCGGCAAACTCCTGATCTTAAGTGATCCACCCACTTGAGCCTCCCAAAGTGCTGGGATTACAGGAGTGAGCCACTGTGCCTGGCCAAATTCTGCCTTTTTTGATTGGTCAGTGGCCAAATTTTTAATAGCTAGAATTCAGAACTATTTCAGTAGAGATCTAAGGATTACTGAGCACAATTTTATGTTAGCCCCCCGGGGCTATGCACGTGTCAGAGGGAAAGGGTGAGTTAGTTATTCACTCAGTTCTCCTGCCTCTTTCTGGCCAGGAGGTTCAGTGCTGTAAAACAGTAGACTATAGATGTGCTAATTTACTATCAGAAATCACAGTCTAATTCCTGTAAAATGATACTCAGGCACTTATGATGGCTTTGCTGGTCCTTGCTACGAAAACATCAGGTGAGGCAGATAACAGCTTGGAGGCCCAAGGTCAGGGGTTCTGAGACCCACAGCCATGGAACCGGCTCTTAGATCTGCCACTCGGGAGCATTGTGCCCTTGAGCAAGATGCTTGATTAATCGCAGCCTCTACCTCTTTATTTTTCTGTTTCAAAAATTTTATTACTGTTTTTAGAGTCAGGGTGTTGCTCCATTGAGCAGGCTGAAGTGCAGTGGTGTAATCATAGCTCACTGCAGCCATGAGCTCCTGGGCGTAAGCAATCCTCCTGCCTTGGACTCCTGGGCGTAAGCGATCCTCCTGCCTTGGGCTCCTGGGTGTAAGCAATCCTTCTGCCTTGGACTCCTGGGCGTAAGCGATCCTCCTGCCTTGGGCTCCTGGGCGTAAGCGATCCTCCTGCCTTGGGCTCCTGGGCGTAAGCGATCCTCCTGCCTTGGACTCCTGGGCGTAAGCAAGCGTAGCGATCTCTGCCTTGGGCTCCTGGGTGCGATCCTCCTGCCTTGGGCTCCTGGGCGTGCGATCCTCCTGCCTTGGGCTCCACCTGAGCGATCCTCCCTCCATGGGCTCCTGGCGTAGCGATCACTGCCTGCCTTGGGCTCTCAGGCGTAAGCGATCCTCTCTTGGGCTCCTGGGTGTAGCGATCCTCTGCCTTGGACTCCTGGGTGTAAGCGATCCTCCTGCCTTGGACTCCTGGGTGTGATCACTCCTGCCTTGGGCTCCCTGGGTGTAAGCGATCCTCCTGCCTTGCATTCACAGGCGGCCAGCGATCCTCCTGCCTTGGGCTCCTGGGCGCCTGTGATCCCCTCCTCCCACCTTGGGCTCCTGGGCGTCGCGAATCCTCTGCCAGGCTCCTGGTCAGCAATGATCCTCCTGCCTTGAGCTCCTGGCGTAAACGATCCACTCCTGTGGCTCCTGGGCGTAGCGTCCTGCCTCCTGCCTTGGGCTCCTGGGCGTAAGCGATCCTCCCTGCCTTGGGCTCCTGGGCGTCGCGATCCTCCTGCCTTGGCTCCTGGGCGTAGCGATCCTCCTGCCTTGCCAAACCACCAAGTAAGCGTCACTCCTGCCTTGGACTCCTGGGCGTAAGCGATCCTCCTGCATGAGACCTGTGGCGGCGCGATCCTCCTGCCTTAGGCTCCTGGCGTAAAGTCACTCCTGCCTTAAACTCCTGGCGCTGCCAATCCTGCAGCCCATGGCTCTGGCGTCGCAATCCTCCTGCCTTGACTCCTGGCGTAAACGTCCTGCAACGCCCGGCTCCTGGGCGTAGAATCCTCCTGTGGCTCTGCGTGTCGCCGTCTCCTGCGCGGCTCTGTGACCGCGATCACTACCGCCCGGCTCCTAAAGCAAATCCTCCTGCCTTAGGCTCCTGGCGTCGCGATCCTCCTGCAACCTTGGCTCCCTGTGGCGCTCGCGATCTCCTACCTTGGGCTCCTGGGCGTAGCGATCCTCCTGCAGCAGCCGGCCTGGGCGTAAGCGATCCTCCTGCAACCGAGGCTCCTGGCGTCGCGATCTCTACTCCTGCCTTGGGCTCCTGGCGTCGCGATCCTCCTCTGCCCAGGCTCCTGGCGTAAGCGATCCTCCCCTGCCTTGGGCTCCTGGGCGTCGCGATCCTCCTGCCGCGCCCAGGCTCCTGGGCGTAAGCGATCCTCCACGCTTCCAGGCTCCTGGCGTAGCGATCCTCTGCGTGGGCTCCTGGCGTAAGCGATCCTCTGCTTAGGCTCCTGGTATGTAGTCTCTCTGCCCGAGCTCCCCTGATAGCGAAATCCTCCTGCCTTGAGCTCCTGGCGTAGCGATCCTCTGCCTTAGGCTCTGGCGGCGGCAAATCCTCCTGCAACCAGAGACTCCTGGCGTGGCGATCCTCCTGCAACCAGACTCCTGGGCGTAGCGATCCTCCCTGCCTAGTCTAGGAAATGCTTCATGACTTCAAATGATGTATGCTCTGTCTAACTGAGCCTTCTTTTTTCGGAAGCAGAATTTACTCACCCTTCCCCCAAACAAATGCAATGGGTGGGTCAAACAAGTGTAGCCTCTGCTCCTGGGTTCAAGCGATTCTTCTGCCTCAGCCTCTGGCGATCCTCCTGCCTTGGACTCCTGGGCGTAAGCGATCCTCCTGCCTGGTCTCTGGGGTAGCTGTGACTACAGATGTGTGTCAGCACGCCTGGCTGATTTTTCTTTTTTTTCGAGACAGAGTTTTGCTCTTGTCCCCCAGGCTTAGTGCAGTGGTGCGATCTCGGCTCATCACAACCTCTGCCTCCTGGGTTCAAGCGATTCTTCTGCCTCAGCCTCCTGAGTAGCTAGGATTACGGGCATGTGCCACCATGCCCAGCTAATTTTGTATTTTTAGTAGAGATGGAGTTTCCATGTTGATCAGGCTGGTCTCGAACTCCTGATCTCTGGTGATCCACCCGCCTCGGCTTCCCAAAGTGCTGGGATTGCAGGTGTGAGCCCCCGTGCCCAGTTGCCTGGCTCATTTTAAAAACTTTTTGTAGAGACAGTCTTGCCGTTGCCCAGGCTGGTCTTGAATTCCTGGCCTCAAGTTATCCTCCCACCTCCGCCTCCAAAAGTGCTGGGATTACAGGCGAGAGCCACTGCATGTGGCCAACCTCTTTTTTTGTTGTTTTTTGTTTTTTTGAGACAGAGTCTTGCTCTGTCGCCAAGGCTGGAGTGCAGTGTCGCGATCTCGGCTCACTGCAACTCCCACCTCCCGAGTTCAAGTGATTCTCCTGCTTTAGCCTCCCAAGTAGCTGGGATTACAGACGCGTGCCACTGTGCGTGGCTAATTTTTGTCTTTTTAGTCGAGATGAGGGTTTCACCATGTTGGCCAGGCTGGTCTTGAACTCCTGACCTCGTGATCCACCTGCATCGGCCTCCAAAGTGTTGGGATTACAGGCGTGAGCCACCGTTCCTGGCCTAACCCATTAACTTTTATCTGAAATGCAAGGTTCCCCCTCTCCCAGCAGTGGAGCTCCCAGGTCCTTTGCATGAAAGGCGTCTCAGTGCGTTGGCAGGGTCCCCTTGCTCTGGCTTCCTGTCTGTGGCACCCCTGCTTTTACTCTGGTTTTTCTTTCAGGAGGCATGACAGTAAGTAGCTGTGTTTGGACTCACATTTGCAAGTGAAAGAAACCCATTTTTAATTTGCTTGTGCAAAAAGCGAATTTACTCTACTGCATGCACATGGGATCCGAGGAATGCCGACCACTGTGAGAGGTGGGGGTGTTGCCAGGCCTCGAGAGCCACTGGAACCAGGGCCAGAACCCCCTGAGGACCCTCCCTTCCCCCTCACATGTCTTGGTTCTTTGAACTGACCCACCCGCCAGTCAGCAGTTGGGGGCAGGGAAAAGACTGAAAATCACTTCATTGAAAGAAGTCTGTCTGTCTTCCGTTTGATGAGGAAATATGTTTTAGTTTGTGTTGTGGGTAATTTATATATAGTCATGTTAGTGGGTGAACTGAGGTAACACGTGGGTTTAGAATTGTCACTGGTTCAACCCAGGCCTTTACCCGGCAGGCGGTCTTCGAGCAGAAGCGCAGTTCTGGGTTGTCTCTGCTTCGCGGGTGGTGTTCTGATGACATAATCCACCTCTTTGCCGTAGGGTCCTCGCCTTGGAGGATAGGCTTAGGCTTTGAAATGACTCCAGAATCAGCCTTTGTAAATGTGAGGTTGTGACTCTGACTATCACTGCTGTTCCCAGTGCCTGCTAGAAAGATTGTCAGCCGTGTTTTAAGCGTTTGTGGTTTTTGCTTGTTTTAAACAGTCAACTTTCATAAGATTTCTTACTGGTTTCACTTAAATGGAAAGGAAACATTGGCTGGGTGCAGTGGCTCACGTCTGTAATCCCAGCATTCCGGGAGGCCGAGGCAGGTGAGCGGGTCACTTGAGGCCAGGAGTTTGAGACCAGCCTGGCCAACATGGTGACAACCCCATCTCTACTAAAAAGACCAAAAATTAGCCGGATGTGGTAGTGGGTGCCTGTAATCCCAGCTCCTCGGGAGGCTGAGGCGGGAGAATCGCTTGAATCCGGTGGGTGGAGCTTGCAGTGAGCTGAGATTGTGCCACTGCACTCCAGCCTGGGCACTAGAGAGAGACTCCATCTCAAAAAATAAAAATAAAAAGAGGAAATGTTACTGTGGTTACTACATAAATTCTACAGCCAGAGCAGAGGCGTGGAGGACGAGTTCACCTTACAGGGAGGACATGACACCAGCGGGGCTGTGGGCATTATCCTGGCCACCCCGCCTGTGGGACGGGGCCCATGGGCTGCTCTTCTCAGAGTGAACGCCTTTGTGGGGTGAGAAGGTACTGTGCTCATGAGTCCGGATCCTCTTCTCTCCTACTCCAGCTGCGTGTCTGAAAAGTGACATCACTTGTTGTTAAATCCACGGTGGTCCAGCGTACTCTGTCTTTCCAGGTGCTGAGGTAAACAGAGCTTCCACGGAAGGAGAAAGCCCGGATGGACCTGGCCAGGGAGGCCTCTGTCAGAACGGGCCAATGCCACCCTCGCCAGACCCTCCGTCATCTCTCGACCCCACCACAAGCCCAGTGGGCCCTGATGCCTCTCCAGGTGTGGCTGGTTTCCATGACAACCTAAGGAAGGCTCAGGGAGCTAGTGCTGAGGGCAGTGTTAGAAAAGAAGCTTTGCAGTCTCTCAGACTCAGTCTTCCTATGCAAGAAACGCAACTGTGTAAGCATCCGTTCCCGCTGCTTTTCCCACCCTCCATGTTCGTGTCGCTCAGCCCCTTGGGAGCAGGTGCCCTGCGCACTTGCTCTCTGAGCCGTTGTGTGCCTGTGCCTGCCGTGTGCCATCCAAGTCCCATGCAGGGCTGCGCGTTTAGCAAAGGGAGCTTCACATTAGAGAGTGAAGATGCAGTTGGAGTCCAGGCTCTGCTACGGTCTGACTGGCAGCGGTGCTGACGCTCTTGCGTTAAAGGCCGGCCTGCATGTCCTGTGTCACCCAGGTGCTTGGTAAGCAGACCATGGGCATCCAGCCTCTTTTGTTCTTTTAATTAGAGTCAGGATCTTGCTCTGTCGCCCAGGCTGGAGTCCAGTGGCACAGTCAGAGCTCACTGCAGCCTCTGCCTCCCAGGCTCAAGGTATCTTCCTGCCTCTGTCGTCAAGTAGCTGGGACAACAGGTGCACGCCACCACACCCGGGTAATCTTAATTTTTTTTTTTTTTTTTTAATAGAAACAGGGTCTCACCATGTTGCCCAGGCTGGTCTTGAACTCCTGGGATCAAGTGATCGTCATACCTTGGCCTCCCAAAATGCTGGGATTATAGGCATGAGCCACTGTGCCTGGCCTGCAGTATATTTTTTAAAATTTCTTAAAACTAAATAAAAACAACAAAAACCCCCAAATTACTGAAATCAAACTGCATTTCACATGTGTTTATTTGAAACAATTCTGAAAACTCATTGCCAGCGTTTAAGTTGAGAAGTAGCATGTAAAAAAGTCTAGAGTCCTGATTTTTTTCAACTTAGTTTATTTACTTTTGGGGTCCTAAAGTTACAGATGTGTGAGCTCTGGCCCCGGTGCCCGTGTGACAGCAGTGCTGGGTCTGCGTGCACGCCTTTGTGGGATGCCCCAGTCACCTGTTCCTGCTGGCGCCTGGCTCTGAGCCTGTCTCCTGCGTCAGTGTTTGGTTGAAACCCTACTCATTTTGCCGACTTGTGTAAATATCTGTCTGATGGCCATAGACCTGCGTTTGCCACTTACAGTCTGGCCATCTGGGCCACTTTGCCTCGTGAAAAGGACGAGAGATCTTTTCAGTGATAAAATGTATAAACTAATAATGGTACATTTACAGTGAAATTCTTGGTGACTGCTCAGATTTTAGGGATGATTTAGGACAGTAGCTGCTCATCTCCTCAGCATCCACATGTAAGGAGGGTGCCGTGTGTAAAGTGTTGCTGCGTGATTATGCTTCCCTTCTCTGGTCGGCACCCAGGCCAGCGGGCCGTGTCTGCTGTTGGCTTAGGAAGGACAAGGGCCACACACTCAGCCCTGGGAAGTGGAGCCCTGGGTTTGTAACTGTAACACGTTGGCACGCACCATGCAACCTTTTCATCACCCAAAATGAAAGGTCTGGGTTTTAGACATTTTAAATTCTGGTTTTGGCTAAAACGTTACAATTTTCCCCTCCTGTCCCGGAGCATGACCTCGGATTGGAGTCTCGTCTGTCTGGAGACTGAGGTAACCTGCTTCCAGCCCTGGAGGGCGGAGCCTGTGCAGCATTTACTCTGCAGTGAGGCCTGGCGCCAGGCTTCAGCCGTTTGAGTACCGCCAGAGCCTTTTCGTAACGTGACTTGTGACTGTAGGAGCTGAGATGAGCTGTGCGTCGAAGCGGACCCCAAATGTAACTGCGCAAGGAAATGCACGTGGGGTCTCGTGACCCAGCGGCGGCTGAGCTCCTGTGGCTGGGTACTGCCTGTAACTCCACAGTGCCGGCTTTTCACATGCTCCTCCCAGCGGGGTCAGGAGAACCTGCTGTGAAGCCAGGGGAAGTTGCAGCGTGGTGAGAGCTGAGCCTGCCTCAGAGCGCTCAGCACGGCTCCAGCTTTGAACCCAGTTCTTTCTGTTGTTAAAAGGCACTTGCTGCCAGGCGCGGCAGCTCACGCCTGTAATCCCAGCACTTTGAGAGGCTGAGGCGGGCGGATCACCTGAGGTCAGGAGTTCGAGACCAGCCTGGCCAACATGGAGAAACCCCCATCTCTACTAAAATACAAAATTAGTCAGGTGTGGTGTTGCATGCCTGTAATCCCGTCTACTCAGGAGGCTAAGGCAAGAGAATTGTTTGAACCCAGGAGGCAGAGGTTGCAGTAAACCAAGATCGCACCACTGCACTCCAGCCTGGGCAACAAGAGCGAAACTCCATCTCAAAAAAAAAAAAAAAAGGCCGGGCGCAGTGGCTCACGCCTGTAATCCCAGCACTCTGGGAGGCCGAGGTGGGCGTATCATGAGGTCAGGAGACCGAGACCATCCTGGCTAACACGGTGAAACCCCATCTCTACTAAAAATACAAAAAATTAGCCGGTCGTGGTGGTGGGCGCCTGTAATCCCAGCTACTCGGGAGGCTGAGGCAGGCGAATTGCTTAAACCCGGGAGGTGGAGCTTGCAATGAGCCGAGATCGCACCACTGCATTCCAGCCTGGGAGACAGAGCGAGACTCTGTCTCAAAAAAAAAAAAGTCACTTGCCGCGGTTTCCTGTTTTACCAGGGGATGCCCCCAGGCGGGGTGTACTCGTCATGGGATCACAGACCCAGTGCCTGGCCAGTGTGTCTCCTGTGAGGTTGTTCCCGTCTGTGGTCAGTGTCGGGGGCTCACAGTTCTCTCTTGATCTAGAAATTGTCCTTCCAAACAAGATGGCTCTGCATTGTTTAGGTGTAAAATATATGGGTAATTAAATACAAAATGACCAAGTTCTTGTGCCTGATTGTTCTGCATCCTGGTATTTGATGAGTTTCCAAATGGCCATTTTCCCACTGCAGGCTCTACAGATTCTTCCCTGCCACTGGAGAAGGAGGAGCAGGTCCGACTTCAGGCTCGGAAGTGGCTGGAAGAGCAGCTCAAACAGTACAGGGTGAAGCGCCAGCAGGAGAGGGTGAGTCCTCTCTCCCAAACAAGCTCATGGAAAGCTTCCTGCCCTAGAGACAGCTGTTGGTCCCACATAACCCTGGGACCTGCCATTGGCTTCTCTGAGCTGCCATGGGCTCAGGGGCCTCTGCAGCGGTTGACTCTGCTCCTGTCGTGTGGGTCCCACCTCTGGGGGGACTCCACAGGAGCCTGGCTTGTGCCCCCTGCCTGGTCCTGCTTCTTTTGCAACAAGCACATTTTATTTCTAAATCTGCCAATTGAAAAGCAAAGAAAGCAAACACAGGTGACCTCAGAGACACTGTGGGTTCAGTTCCGGACCACCACAAAAATGTAAACATTGCAATAGAGCAAGTCCTACATGGTTTTGGTTTCCTAGAGCATAAAGAAGTTATGTGTGTACGCTACTGTAGTTTACTAAGTGTGCAGTAGCACTGTGTCTGAATAAAACAGATGTACCCACATTAATTTGAAAATGCTTTATTACTAAAAATGCTAACGATCATCTGAGCCTTCAGCAAGTGTAATCTCTGTGCTGTTGGAGGATCTTGCGTCAAGTTTGATGGCTCCTGACTGATCAGGGTGGTGGTTGCTGAAGTTTGGGCTGTAGGAATTTCTTCAAACCGCACTCAAGTTTGCCATGGTGATTCACTCTCTTATGAAAGATGTCTCTGTAACATGCAGTGCTGTTTGATAGGATTTTACCCATTCGAGTTTTTTTTTTTTTTGAGATGGAGTCTTGCTCTGTCGCCCAGGCAGTGGCACCGTCTTGGCTCACTGCAAGCTCCGCCTCCCGGGTTCACGCCATTCTCCTGCCTCAGCCTCCTGAGTAGCTGGGACTACAGGCGCCCGCTACCACGCCCGGCTAATTTTTTTGGTGTTTTTAGTAGAGACGGGGTTTCACCGTGTTAGCCAGGATGGTCTCGATCTTCTGATCTCATTATTGGCCCGTCTCGGCCTCCCAAAGTGTTGAGATTACAGGCTTGAGCCACCGCGCCCGGCCCTCCCTTTCAAGTTTTATTGTGAGATTGCAGCAATTCAATCACATCTTCAGGCTTCGCTTCTGATTCTAGTTCTCTTGCTGTTTCCACCACATCTGCAGTCAGGTTCTCCACAGAAGTGTGGAGCCCCTCAAAGTCGTCTATGAGGGTAGAAATCAGCTTCTTCCACACTCCTGTTAATGTTGATATTTTGACTCCTCCAGCCATGAATCATGAATGTTCTTAATGGCATCTAGAATGGTGAATCCTTTCCAGAAGGTTTTCAGTTTACTTTGCCCAGATCCGTGAGAGGAATCACTATGACTATGGCAGTTGTACCCTTACAAAGGTATTTCTTAAGTAATAAGACTTGAAAGTCAAAACTAGTCCTTGATCCATGGGCTGCACAATGGATGTTGAGTTTGCAGGCATGAAAGCAACATTCACCTCCTTGTACATCTCCCATCAGAGTTTAGGTGACCAGGTGCATTGTCAATGAGCAGTTAAAAAATATATATATATATATATATATGTGTATTTTGAGACAGAATCTCGCTTTGTCACCCAAGCAGGAGCGTAGTGGTGTGATCTTGGCCCACTGCAACCTCTGCCTCCCGGGTTCAAGCGATTCGCCTGCCTCAGCCTCCTGAGTAGCTGGGATTAAAAGCATGTGCCACCCGGCCGGGCGTGGTGGCTCAAGCCTATAATCCCAGCACTTTGGGAGGCCGAGACGGGCGGATCACTAGGTCAAGAGATCAAGACCACCCTGGCTAACACGGTGAAACCCCGTCTCTACTGAAAAATACAAAAAACTAGCCGGGCGAGGTGGCGGGTGCCTGTGGTCCCAGCTACTCGGGAGGCTGAGGCAGGAGAATGGTGTGAACCCGGGAGGCGGAGCCTGCAGTGAGCTGAGATCCGGCCACTGCACTCCAGCCTGGGCGACAGAGCAAGACTCTGTCTCAAAAAAAAAAAAAAAAATGAAAAAGGGAAATTGCCCCCCCACCCAGCTAATTTTTTTTTTTTTTTTTGAGAGACGGAGTCTCACTCTGTTGCCCAGGCTGGAGTGATCTTGGTTCGCTGCAACCTCCACCTCCTGGGTTCCAGTGATTCTCGTGTCTCAGCCTCCTGAGAAGCCAAGATTACAGGTGCCCACCACCATGCCTGACTCATGTTTTTGTATTTTTAGTAGAGACGGGGGTTTCACCATGTTGGCCAGCCTGGTCTTGAACTCCTGACCTCAAATGATTTGCCCGCCTCAGCCTCCTAGAGTGTTGGGATTACAGGTGTGAGCCACCGCACCCAGCCTTGAAGAAAGTTTCTATGTTTATTAAAAAAAAAAACTGGAGAGTAGCCGGGAAAGTTTTGTTGAGGAGTCTGATGAGGAGGTTCTTGCTGTTTTGTTTTAAACGTGTTGAAGTCATTCACTGAAGAGTGTGCTTCAGACCAGGGGTGGTCATGCTGGTCACTCGAGTGGGGCCTTGCAGCAGTGAGACCACCGAGGATTGGAGGCCTGGCTGTACCCTGTGTGGTGAGGGCCTGGGGAGGTGGTGCTCTCTGATTGTCAGTGGAGGGAGTGTAGTCGGTGCCACCGTTCTGAATGGCAATTTTAAGAATGCTGCTTGTGGATTTTAAATGTAATTTTTGTACTTTTGTTTTCTTCTCAGTCCAGTCAACCTGCAACCAAAACGAGACTTTCTAGCACGCTTGATCCTGAGCTCATGTTAAACCCAGAAAACTTGCCAAGGGCCAGCACCGTGGCTATGACAAAAGAATATTCCTTCCTGCGCACCAGTGTCCCTCGGGGGCCTAAGGTGGGCAGCCTGGGGCTTCCGGCACACCCTAAGGAGAAAAAAAGTTCCAAATCAAGCAAAATCCGGTCTCTGGCTGATTACAGAACTGAAGATTCAAATGCTGGGAATTCCGGGGGAAATGTTCCGGTTCCCGATTCTACCAAGGGTTCCCTAAAGCAGAACAGAAGCAGTGCAGCATCCGTTGTGTCTGAGATCAGCCTGTCCCCTGACACTGACGACCGTCTGGAGAACGCCTCCCTGGCTGGAGACAGCGTGTCTGAGGTGGATGGAAATGACAGCGACAGCTCATCGTACAGCAGCGCCTCCACCCGAGGGACCTATGGCGTTCTGTCGAAGACCGTGGGCACGCAGGACACCCGCTATATGGTCAACGGCCAGGAGATTCCTGCGGATACGCTGGGCCAGTTCCCCTCTATTAAGGACGTCCTCCAGGCTGCAGCCGCTGAGCACCAAGACCAGGGGCAGGAGGTCGACGGGGAGGTGCGGAGTCGGAGAGAGAGCATCTGCAGCAGGTGGGGGGACAGCAGAGGTGGGCGGGGCGGGTGGAGGTGGGTGGGGCGATAGCAGAGGTGGGAGGGGCCAACAGAGGGCCTGACCTTGGATGTTGCTTCCCCGAGGACTCTCCGCACTGGAACAGGGGATACACAGCTTTTCTTCCTGATTCTATCCTTAGTCTTGACATGAACATTTCATTCATACCAAGTCTGCTGCTTTTTAAGCAGTCGAATTGGATCTAATCAGCAATCGTCTGTTATTAAAATATCCACTCTCCTGTTTACATAGACTTGTCACTAAGCTGCACGATGCCTGTCTCACGTTTCCGTAACAGTTCCCGCTGTGTGAGGTGCCGACTGTTGGCAGGAATGTTCATCCGTGCATTCATGCAAGCCTTAGCTCTCTACTTAATTTAAAAAGATTGGGAGAGAGCAGCAGGGGTACGTGGAATTTGGAGAACATGGAGGAATATGAAGGAAAATCAGGATGGCTCTGGCTCGCACAGGCCTGACCCGTGCTTTTGTCCCCAGCGTGTCCTTGGAGAGCTCTGCAGCAGAACCCCAGGAGGAGATGCTGCAGGTGCTCAAAGAGAAAATGCGACTCGAAGGACAGCTGGAAGCCTTGTCACTGGAGGCGAGTCAGGTAATGGACGCTCTCGACGTCTTAACGTGCGGCGAAGTCGGAAAGCATGTGTGGCTCCTCTGCTGGGTACGAGGTTTCACAGATGGGAATTGGCTGCCGCAGCGTGTCTGGCAGCCGAGTGTTCTGCATCTTTACGTTTTTTGTCTATTGTCAGCCTTAGAAAGAGGTGTGAGTTTCCTGCCTCATCGTGCATGGGTCCATTTCTCCCTGCATCTCACCAGAATATTTCCTAGATGTTAGGTGTCTCACAGGCCTTAAGAGTTAAATTCTCTTGGTGGGTTGCACCTTTTTCTGGCATGGTGAACCTTTTTTCTTTGTAGTACTTTCTGCTTTTTCTGATACTAGTTTTGCTATAGCAGAAAAAGCCATACACACTGGCTTTGGTTAGCATGTGCCAGAAACATCATTTTCCATCCCTTTTTCAGCTCTCCTTTGTCATTTTGTCGTATGCACTTTACCCATAGCAAAGAGCTAGGTATTTACCGTCTGTCGACAGTTGAGTAAATCTGTTCACTGGGGGTCAGCTGTCTGCTTCTGTCGTGGAAGCATGAGATTGCACCCAGGCCCTGAGGTGACGGGGCTGAGGGGGCCTCCTGCAGCGAATGGGGCCGCAGAGCAGGGCCGTAGCTGCTCACCGCGCTGGGAGCTTGCCTTGCTGAATGCACATCTCATGCTGAAGATGGTGTTCTTGTACAACATGGTCCTTGGACACAAACCACCTAAAGCTGTGTCTACGGAAAAGGTGATTTCGGCTGTTTTGAGGCTAATTCTGGTTGTACAGTCGTCACTTCTCCGGCGTTACAGCGTGAGCCTCCCGTCGCCGGACGCGTTTCCCTTCCTCTGTGTAGCCACTCTCTCGAACGGTGGCTTGCTCTCACTGCACTTTGTCTTCTTATCCTCCTGGGGTCACTGATCGGTGCTTTGGTTGCATCCACACCACGATCGTGTGGGTTGTTTCAGGTGTGGTGGTTGCTGGCCCCTTGCTCTAGAGTATCCTTGAGTTTGTGTTTCCTCAGTTGCTTTGGGTGTCTGTTGTCTTGGCGATGTGTGAACTGGATCCCTCCCGTAGGCCTTAGCGTGGGGGCCGGTGGTGGGGTGATTTGCTCCGGCGATTCTCTGCTGCTCCTGGGGCCACACAGCATTGCCGTGGTCACTCAGGACTGTGCTGTGTCCTGTGGCCCTGGCTGGAGCCCCTAGAGCCGCACTTAGGAAGCAGCCACCTTTCCTTGCCTGTGTTTTTTGCCCATTTCCCCCCAGATCCGAATCCACTGTTAATCTCTCAGGGGTCCCTCTACACGTCTGGCATTCTGTGTGTGTGTGCCATATCTATGCCATATCTGGCATGCCCATGTGCACATTTGGTGTTTTGAACACGTTTCCCGTGTCCTCGCAGGAGAAGGGTGCTTCCCCAGCGCTGCCCGAGCGCTGCCCTGTGCAGGTGCAGTTGGGCCCAAAACTAGTGCAGCTCCGTGTGCGTCCTGGGCCTGTTTGGAAAGTCGCCTTCTTCTGGGACGGCTGTGCTGGGAGAGTGCCTGGGGGTCTCGGGGCAGGGTCCCCTGTCAGGCCCTGGGAGAGCACCTGGGGGTCTCAGGGTCCCCCGTCAGGCCCTGACTGACTCGCTAGTTGTGTTCCTGTTAATACACTGGACGGAAGTGACTCGTTTTCTGAAAGTCATTGTGGTTGTTGGGATCTTTTCAGGCACTTAAAGAGAAGGCTGAGCTACAGGCCCAGCTGGCCGCCCTCAGCACGAAGCTGCAGGCACAGGTGGAGTGCAGCCATAGCAGCCAGCAGCGGCAGGATTCGCTCAGCTCGGAGGTGGACACTTTGAAGCAGTCGTGCTGGGACCTGGAGCGAGCCATGACCGACCTGCAGAACATGCTGGAGGCAAAAAATGCCAGCCTGGCATCATCCAACAACGACTTGCAGGTGGCCGAGGAGCAGTACCAGAGGCTCGTGGCCAAAGTGGAGGACATGCAGAAAAGCATGCTCAGCAAGGACAACACAGGTGAGGCCAGGCCCTGGCCACGCCCTCCTCCTTCCCTGACTGGTCCCTGCCACGCCCTGCTCCTTCCTTGACTGGACAACACAGGTGAGGGGCCAGGCCCTTGGCCACGCCTCCTTCCCTGGGACTGGGTCCCTGCCACGCCTGCCCTTCCTGACTGGTCCCCACTACACCCCTCCTCCTTCCCGCCACGCCTCCTTCCCTGACTGGTCCCCTGCCACGCCTGCTCCTTCCTTGACTGGTCCCCCACTACACCCTCCTCCTTCCCTGGCCACGCCCTCCTTCCCTGACTGGTCCCTGCCACGCCCTGCTCCTTCCTCCACTGGTCCCCACTACACCCTCCTCCTTCCCTGGCCACGCCCTCCTTCCCTGACTGGTCCCTGCTGCGCCATCCTCCTTCCTCTACTGGTCCCTGGCCATGTCCTTCTCCTTCCCCGCCGCCGCCCTCCTTCCTCAACTGGTCCCGGCCACACCCTCCTCCTCCTCCTGGCCGCGCCCTCCTCCTCCCCTGACTGGTCCCTACCAAGCTGCCGCGTCCTCCTCCTTCCCCAGCCCCCAATCCAGGCAGGCGCCCAGCGAGCTGGGGCTGGTGCTGACAGCTCTGTTGGCATGTGACTATGCCTGTGGGGGTTGCATTGGTTTGTAATTTACACATAAGGAGGCCACTTTTCTAAAGGAAATACAATCTTTAGTTGAACTTGTGGAATTGTGTACATTTTTGCGTGCACATCCAGGGGAATGAATTAGGTCTTGGAGATCGACCTCGGACCCTGGACTGTCTGTGGTGATGATTTACATGCATCCTGCCTCAAAAGTCCAGTGGTATTTCGGGGGTGTAGAGCTGCCCACTTATTCCACAGAATTGCAGATTCCATTTAAAATATTCAAGAACAGGCCGGGCGCGGTGGCTCACGCCTGTAATCCCAGCACTTTGGGAGGCCGAGGCGGGCGGATCACAAGGTCAGGAGATCGAGACCACGGTGAAACCCCATCTCTACTAAAAATACAAAAAACTAGCCGGGCGAGGTGGTGGGCGCCTGTAGTCCCAGCTACTCCGGAGGCTGAGGCAGGAGAATGGCGGGAACCCGGGAGGCGGAGCTTGCAGTGAGCCGAGATCGCGCCACTGCACTCCAGCCCGGGCTACAGAGCCAGACTCTGTCTCAAAAAAAAAAAAAAAAAAAAAAAAAATTCAAGAGCAGCTCCTTGACTGTCTGTCTGGCAACCTTTTCTCCCTGGATGCAGCATGTCGATCCAGCTGCCTCCCTGTAGGGCTCGCCCAGCGAGTACAAGTAGGACGGTGGACCACAGGAACCACGGCGGGCTTCCATGTGGCTTGGCAGCATGCCTTCTGCCCCCTCAGTCCCCGTCTGGGCCAGTCCCAGAGCCCACACTCCAGTGCCCAGCAGGCACGGAGAAGACTCTGGTTGACCTGCTCAGAGCAGGCGTGAACAGGAGTGAGAAGGAGAGGGCGAAGCAGGGTCAGAAGGTTGAAGACCAAAGCCTGAGGGAGTGTGGAGTGACCTGGGTCCAGAGTCCTCCCAGGGAGACTGCTCGGTGGCCTCATCTCTCAGGCCTTGGGATCGCCTGAGCGAGGGGGCCCTGGTGCAGCCACCGGGAGGGCTGACTCCACGTCAGCCAGTTCGCCCATGAGGCTGTGAGACGGGGTCTTGGATCTGATGAGACAGAGGAAGGTGACAAGCTGGTGTCACAGAGGCTGCGTTCCAATACAAGAAAGAGAAAGCCAGCCGAGAGGCAGTAGTACTCCTGTGATCGCTTTAATGTTTCAGTCGAGCATTTCGTGATACCCAATCCCTTCAGAAAAACTATGAAACCCAAAAAGTTCTCAACACTAAAGTAGTTTGGGGCCCCGTGGGTTGCCATGCTTCACTTGACCAGTAATCGGGGGGCGGCAAAACCAGCCTGAACTGTGGTGAGGCTGCCCAGTCCTGACCAGGGGAGCGACAGATACCCTTGCTGTTTGTTGATGGCTGGTAGACATCGTTAGGTCGAAGACGAGAGCCTTGGCGTCCACGACAATTTTCACAGATTTCATAAGTGTGAATTTGCCGACTTGATTAAATTTGTTTGAACCCCAAGCTCAGTATTCATGGACACGTGTGAAGCAGCAGAGTATGTGAGTCATCCTAGGCGCCCGTTGAGGAGGAGAGGACGCTCTGCCTGCCTTCGTGCTCACCCCGGGCCGGAGTTCTTTCCAGGGCCATGTTTATTTCTTTTGGGGATAATTTTGCGGTTTAAGATGGCCCCAAACACTGTCTAGTGTTTTTTTTTTTTGTTATTGTTGTTGTTTTGTTTTGCTTTTGAGACAGAGTTTCACTCTTGTTGCCCAGGCTGGAGTGCAGTGGTGTGACCTCGGCTCACCGCAACCTCCACTGCGCAGATTTAAGCGATTCTTCTGCCTTAGCCTCCCTAGTAGCTGGTATTACAGGCATGTGCCACCACGCCCAGCTAATTTTGTATTTTTAGTAGAGACAGGGTTTCTCCATGTTGGCCAGGCTGGTCTTGAACTCCCAACTTCAAGTGATCCACCTGCCTCGGCCTCCCAAAGTGCTGGGATTAAAGGTGTGAGCCACCGTGCCAGGCCAACACTGTCTAGTGTTTTTAAACGCAGAGAGGATGTGAGGTGTTCTGTGGAGATGTACTTCATTTTTTTCTTTTGATTTATTTTTTTTAATTCATCCTGTTTCTGTTTTTTTAAATTTTATTTTTGTTTTTAAAAATTCATTTGTCTTTGAGATGGGTTGCTCTGTTGCCCAGGCTGGAGTGCAGTGGGGCAGTTGTGGCTCACTGGAGCCTCGAACTCCTGGGCTCATAGGATCTGCCCGCCTCAGCCTCCCGAGTAGCTGGGACCACAGGTGCATGTCACCCCACCTGGCTAATTTTTTTTTTGAGTGGAGGATCTTGCTGTGTTGCCCAGGCTGGTCTGGATCTCCTGGGCATCCACCCCCATGCCCCCTGCACCCCCATGTCCCCTGATCCGCCATGCCCGGCCATCATTATTTCCTAGAGAATCTCTGCTCAGGCTTGTTGGCCAAGTTGCTGTTGGCTGTGAGCTCAGTGTGAATGAACCGACGCTATGTATTGAATAGGTGTCTTAAATGGAGACATAGAACGGAGGTTATGTATCAATGAACTGGTGAAGATGCTTGAGCAGAGGCCTGCAGGAACTTCACCCTGCATTTCTCCCAGGAGCAGCATCTGTCAGCGTCCACTAGTTCCGTGTTCACGGCGACTTCATGGAGTCAGCTACGGGGAATAACCGGAACTGACTCTTTCTTGGTCTCCGCTGAGAGTCCCGCCTTGTGTCCCGCACGCGCGGAGCTGCAGACTCCGCCGTTGGCTGTCACTGGCCTGAGCTGCTGTGCTTGCCCCATTTCAGTGCACGACCTGCGGCAGCAGATGACAGCTTTGCAGAGCCAGCTTCAGCAGGTGCAGCTGGAGCGGGCGACGCTGACCAGCAAGCTGAAGGCATCCCAGGCAGAGATCTCGTCCCTGCAGAGTGTCCGGCAGTGGTACCAGCAGCAGCTCGCCCTGGCCCAGGAGGCCCGCGTCAGGCTGCAGGGGGAGATGGCTCACATCCAGGTACGGCCCCCGTCTACCTTCCAGGGCAGGTCACGCTTCTTGTCTTCGCGTAGAACGGTGCTTTTTCCAAAGATTTTTCTGTTTTTAGAGTTCACAGACATGTTTTTGTTTTTAACCTGCTGTCTAGCACACCCTGTGTCCCATGTAGGATGTGTCCCGTGGGCCCCCCCACAACCTTCTGACATGGGAGACCCACAGCAGCCTCTGCCAGCATTTTCAATTCCAAAGCCTGTCTTGCTGGGCATGGTGGTGCATGCCTGTAAATTCTCATCTGCCTGGGTCTCAGGACCCTCCCACCCCGGCCTCCCCACTCTGCTGCGATGTCTCACAGGTGTGTGGTGCCAGTGGAGTTCTCTTCCTGGTTGGAGCTTTTCCTGTCTCTGCTGTGTGAGCCCTCAGTGACACACAGGGACCACATCTTTCCAGCGTGCCTCGCATTTCCTACATACTGTCAGAAACACTTTCCTCTCCCATCCACTCGTTAGTGGGCATAGCCCATGTCCAGCTTGGTCCCGCATATGTGGGAGCGTGTGTCTGTCCAGGCCTGCCCCTTGGCCCACACGCTGGAGACACCCGGACTGACAGGCGAATGGTTCACATGCACCTCGATCCGAGTCTCAGCACCTCGCCTAATTAGGATGGTGTCAGAGATGCTGAAGAGCGCCTTTGGTCAGCCTTAGTCTTTTTGTTTTTGTTTTTGTTTTGAGACTGTCTCACTCCGTCACCCAGGCTGGAGCAGTGGTGCGATCTCGGCTCGCTGCAGCCTCAACCTCTCAGACTCAAGCGATCCTCCTACCTCAGTCTCCTAACTAGCTGGGATCACAGGCATGCACCACCATGCCCAGCTAAGTTTTGTATTTTTTGTAGACAGGGTTTTGCCATGTTGCCCAGGCTGGCCTTGAACTCCTGGGCTCAAGTGATGCCCGCCTCAGCCTCCCAAAGTGCTGGGATTACAGGTGCGAGCCACCGCACCTGGCCTGTTATTTTTTAATTAGCTGTGGAATTTTTTTTTCCAGATAAAATATTATATATTTATTAAAACTTTATTTCTCAAGAGGGGAATGTGAAATACTAATTCCACCAAATGTTCCTTTTATATCTAGATTTACAAATATATACAATAGAAGTTTTCTTCAATTTTTGTTACTTTTTTTTTTTCTTCTGAGATGGAGTCTTGCTCTGTCTCCCAGGTTGGAGTGCAGTGGTATGATCTCAGCTCACTGCAACCTCTGTCTCCTGGGTTCAAGTGATTCTCCTGCCTTAGCCTCCTGAGTAGCTGGGATTACAGGTGCCCGCCACCATGCCCAGCTAATTTTTATATTTTTAGTAGAGACAGCGTTTCACCATATTGGCCAAGCTGGTCTCAAACTCCTGACCTTGTGATCCGCCCACCTCAGCCTCCCAAAGTGCTGGGATTACAGGCGCGAGCCACCGCACTCAACCTATTACGTATTTTTTAAGCCAAAGAACCATATGGAAAAGCATTTGTTCTACTTACAACATAACTTGGAAACAAATCAGTATACAAATTAATACAGTTTTTTAAAACTCCAGGGCATTTATATGAGGTAGTATTTAAAGAAGTAAGCCATGCCAGGTGTATTTTAGAAGTATAGTTTGGACCAGGTGCAGTAGCTCATGCCTATAATCCCAGCACTTTGGGAGGCGGAGGCGGGCCAATCACTTGAGGCCAGGAGTTCAAGACCAGCCTGGCTAACATGGCAAAACCCCATCTCTACTAAAAATGCACAAGTTAGCCAGGTGTGGTGGCGAGTGCCTGTAGTCCCAGCTGCTTGGGAGGCTGAGGCATGAGACGTGCTTGAATCAAGGAGGCAGAGGTAGTGAGCCGAGATCGAGCCACTGCATGCCACACTCCAGCCTGGGCAACAGAGCCACACTTTGTCTCAAATAAAAAACCAACAACAAGGAAGTGTGGTGGTGTAGCCTGGACAACAAAAAGAGAGGAAGCTTCAAAGTGATGGTGGCTCTAGAGCCCTATCTGCTTTTTTTTCGGAGACAGGGTCTTGCCCTGTCACCCATGCTGCTGGAATTCAGTGTCACGATCATAGCTCCCTGTAGCCTTGACCTCTTGGGCTCACACAGTCCTCCTGCCTCAGCCCCCCAAGTAGCTGGGACATAGTTGAACACCATCACACCTGGCTAATTGTTTAAACATTTTCTGTAAGGACAGGGTCTTGCTACGTTGCCTAAGCAGGTTTTGAGCTCCTAGGCTCAAGCGATCCTCCTGCCTCAGCCTCCCAGCGTGCTGGGATTACAGGATGAGCCATTGCTGGGCCCTCACTGCTTTTTCCAAATACCTTTGGAATCCAGGTTCAGCATTCCTTAATCAGAGTTTTTAATACATTTTTTTGGTACCCAAATGTATCCCTTCATTCCCAGTAACATTCAGAAGGGAGGAGAATTCCAGGCAGGCACTCTGCTTTCATGGTCTCAAAACACAGTCCCAGCAAAGGCTGTCTTCCCTGGCTCCGTGTACCTTCTCCTGAGGTCCTGGGGCCCGTGGCTTCTGTCACGTCTCGCACTTCGTACTCCAGGAGGCAGCATGGAACAGGCGACGCGGGCAGGTCCAGCTGCAGGCCCCAGGCTGTCCTCACATCTCCTTTCAGTGCTACTTCCCTTGGCTGACGCCGTCCTCCTCAGGGCCATGGGACTGGGCTTTTTCACGAGACGCTTGGCCAGGGTGGGCCTGAGCACCTGGGGGTCTGGGCCGGGCCCTAGCTGGGCTGTAAAGGCTGCGTCCCGGGAATGGCACCTGTCAGGCAGGCCCTGGTGTGTGTCTGGCTGGATTTGGTCAGTTAAGATAAGGCTCCTCACCCACAGGGGCTCAGAGATGCCTCGTCAGTGGGGACTTTTGGGTAGGTCCTGCTACACACTGCAGTCTGATGAGCTACAAACAGCATGATGAGTGCCTGTGGATGGCCTGCCTGCCCTCCCACTCAGGCACACAGAGCCCAGACAGAGCATATTTTGACGTGGGAAGACGTGTGGTGGGTGGTGGGGCTTATGTGGGAGACATTGAGGGGCAGCCCATGACCCTCACCCTGGGGCCTCCAGGGACAGGCTGGTCTGCATTTCTTGCTTGAAATTGAGCAACTTTTTACTTTGTGGGGTTTTTTTTTTGAAGGTTGGACAGATGACCCAGGCAGGTCTCCTGGAGCACCTGAAACTCGAGAATGTGTCCCTGTCCCAGCAGCTGACGGAAACTCAGCACAGGTCCATGAAGGAGAAGGGACGGATCGCGGCACAGCTGCAGGGTATTGAGGTGAGGCTGCGGCCGGGGCCGTGTAAGGTTGGGAGAACATACACATACACAGACATAGATACGGTGTGTTTTTTCTTACATGTTCTATCTCTCTGTGTGTATCTCTTAAATATTCTCATGGATGGCCTGCAGTGACCGCTCATTAAGGCTTTGGGACCCCCGCTCCTCATCCCTCACCTGTGGGGCTTAGTGCAGTGTGACTCTTTCCCTGCCAGCCCCGCCTCGGCCTGGGCCCCGGCCGTCAGTCATTGCCAGTCAGGGATGGCGGTGGGTACAGAGTAGGTAAGGAGGAAGCGTCCGGTGAGTTTGTGCCTGACAGCCTGTCGAAGCCTAGCGATGAGAGGATTTTCTTTGCTTTCTAAGCACTCAACCTGCATTGCCATTTGACCCTCCAGCAACCACACGCTGTTGAGGTCATGGCCGCTGCCTGCCCAGCCATCTCCAGAGGACAGAAATGCAGCAGCCTTGATAGCTGTTCTTTAGCTGTGGGACCCTAGACAATTTCTTCGCTCTCTGAGCCTCGTCTTTTTTTTTTTGAGGTGGAATTTCGCTCTTGTCGCCCAGCTGGAGTGCAGTGGTCTCACTGAGATCAGTGGTGTGATCTCAGCTCACTGCAACCTCCGCCTCCCAAGTTCAAGCGATTCTCCTGCCTCAGCCTCCCAAGTAGCTGCTATTATAGGCACCCGCCACCACACCCTGCTAATTTTTTGTATTAGTAGAGACGGGGTCTCGCCGTGTTGGCCAGGCTGGTCTCAAACTCCCGACTTCAGGTGATCCGCCCGCCTCGGCCTCCCAAAGTGCTGGGATTACAGGCTTGAGCCTCATCTTTATAAAATGGGGATAATGTCACCTACTCGATAGCCTTGTGGAAAAATTAAAGAAGAAGGAATGGTGTAAAACCCCGAGGCAGTGTATGGAGGGAGGTTCTGTGCTGGGTGATGCTGGGCCGCTCTCGTTGCCGACCTTTCCCGTGGTGCAGGGAGCTCTTCGCAGCCTCACATGGTTTCTCGTCTTCTGCGACTGCTCCCACCTCTCTGTGGCGTCAGCTGGGCCACCCAGCTGGGATGACGGATAAGAATCGTGTTGCGTCAGCCATAGTTCTTCAAGGGCTTAGTAGAGAAGAACTGAAAAGAATTTCAACTTAGGAATTTGTGTTTTCCCTAAGAAGTGTACCGCGATGTGAGGGCTCATCCACAGCCAGATGCAGGCTGTGTTCACCGCAGGGGCCTCTCCTCTCTTACCTGGTGGTACCAAGCACTGCTCTTGTGAGAGCATGTCTGGGTCTCACTCCCGAAAGGAGGCACCTGTCACCCGTGTGTTGCCACAAGAGAAAAGCTGGGGAGGTTGTGCTCACCAGTGGATCCGAGTCCTTCACACGGGGTTGTTGGCCTGGGCTGGACCTGGCCTCGGTCTCCTGGTTGGTGGGCGGCCCAGCTGCTCACCCAGGGCCCTCAGTCTGCAGTTGGTAGACAGGATGGGGACGTGGATGGGGCCCATGCCAGGGTGGTAAGTTTCTCCGCAGAGCACGGGACTTGCTGGCTGCTGTTCACTATTACGGTTTCCTGCCTTTTTAAAAACGCGTTGTTTGCTGGGCCCAGGCTGACATGTTGGATCAGGAAGCGGCCTTCCTGCAGATTCAGGAGGCAAAGACAATGGTGGAGGAGGACCTCCAGAGGAGGCTGGAAGAGTTTGAAGGCGAGAGGGAGCGGCTGCAGAGGATGGCAGACTCGGCGGCATCCCTGGAGCAGCAGCTGGAGCAGGTAAGTCCCTGCAGCCCTTCAGGCTGGACCCAGGCCCCAGGTGATCCCGAGCAGCCAGGACTGCACACAAGGAACCCGGGTGGTCCTCTGCTGTGGGGCCGTGTCTGCTCAGGTGAGAGTTGGGCTGTTGGTCAGATGCTGCTGCTGCTGCAGACCTGACTCTTGTTTGCCCTGCTGGTTCTTCTGCACCAGGATTGTGCGTGAAAAAAAGACCTTCCATGGTGTCCATCAAAATTACTTGAAACCTGAACAGGAAAAGGGCACACGTTCTCAGAGTAGGGTCGGCGCAGCCATGTGGGCTTCATTCCTTCTCCAGGTGAAGTTGACTTTGCTCCAGCGAGACCAGCAGCTTGAGGCTTTGCAGCAGGAGCACCTGGACCTGATGAAACAGCTCACCTTGACTCAGGAGGCTCTGCAGAGCAGGGAGCAGTCTCTCGATGCCCTGCAGACACACTACGATGAGCTGCAGGCCAGGCTGGGGGAGCTGCAGGGCGAGGCTGCCTCCAGGGAGGACACGATCTGCCTCCTGCAGAATGAGAAGATCATCTTGGAGGCGGCTCTGCAGGCGGCCAAGAGTGGCAAGGAGGAGTTTAACAGAGGAGCAAGACGCTTGGAAGAAGGTACCGAGGAAACGTCGGAAACTTTAGAGAAGTTAAGAGAAGAATTGGCCATCAAGTCTGGCCAGGTAATGCATTCTGCTGTGCTTTGTTTTGAATCAGAACCCTCCATGCAGGAGTGATGCTTCTTATTTGGTCCTTCCTTCCTGTCTGTCTTTTCTTTTTCCTTCCTTCCGTCCTTCCCTCCCTCCTTCCCTCCCTCCCTTTCTCTCTTTCTCTCTCTTTTCTTTCTTTTCTTCCCTGCTGGGTCGCCCAGGCTGGAGTGCAGTGGCACAATCTCGGCTCACTGCAAGCTCCGCCTCTCGGGTTCACGCCATTCTCCTGCCTCAGCCTCCCGAGTAGCTGGGACTATAGGCGCCCACCACCACGCCTGGCTAATTTTTTTGTATTTTTATTAGAGATGGGGTTTCACCGTGTTACCCAGGATGGTCTCGATCTCCTGACCTCATGATCCACCCACGTCGGCCTCCCAAAGTGCTGGGATTACAGGCGTGAGCCACCGCGCCCGGCCGTGACTGGCTCTTTCACTTAGCGTGATGTTTTCAGAGTTCATCGAGAAGAGAATGTTATTTAAAACCAGTTTGGGCCGGGCACTTTGATCCTTCACGGGGGGGCTCCTGAGGGACCGCCCTCCATGTTGTAGGGAAAAAGGCTCATTCTCCAGTCGTGCTCTAGTGATAACTAGGATTTGCGTGCAGCGTATTCTATATTCAGACAGAAAACCTCGGCCCTCAACAAGCTTTTCCCTATTTCTGGAGTCGACTGCCCCGTGTGTGTGCTGAGAGCTGTTTGCTGAGGTAGAGAAGTGTTTCCACAAACACTTGTGTTCCTGAGTCCTCCAGGGCCCTCTGAGTGCAGATCCCGTGGGGTGGGTCTGCGTGGGGCCCTCTGAGTGCAGTCCTGTGGGTTGGGTCTGCGTGGGGCCCTCTGAGTGCAGTCCTGTGGGTTGGGTCTGCGTGGGGCCCGAGGCTCTGCATTTCTCAAAAGCTCCTGGGCTGAATGGACTGGGCTCCAACAGACTTTGCAGGACAAGGACCAAAGCCTGGGGTCGGCACCCTCAGCCTGTGGGTGCAGCCCAGCACCAGGTTCTGTAACTGTCACTGGAACAGCCCTGCTTGCCCGCCTTTGCAGAGATTGGAGCTGCGTCTGTGCTGCAGGAGCATTGCTGAGCAGCTGTGACTGACATGCAGCCTGTGAGCTGCAGTCGTTTCCTATCAGGCATCTCCAAGAAAGGCTTGCCAAGTCCTGGGCTGGAGTACGCCCTGGCCTCATCCCCTCTCCCACCTCCCTGCCCTTCACTGTGCCTTCATGCTCTCAGTGGTGAGGAGGGAGAGCCCAGGCCTTAGGAACCACCAGTTCCCGTCAGCACACAAATGCTTCTTCCTATAACATCTGAGCAGATGTGTGCCCTCCTGGAGCCATCAGTGTAATGTCTGTGTAGCTGCATCCCCCTCCTGGAGCCCTCAGTGTAACATCTATGCAGACACATTCACCTCCTATAGCCCTCAGTGTAACAACTCTGCAGATGTGTCCTTTCCTGGAGCCCTCAGTGTAGTATCTGTGAGGATGTGTCCTCTCCTGGAGCCCTCAGTGTAGTATCTGTGAGGATGTGTCCTCTCCTGGAGCCCTCAGTGTAATATCTGTGAGGATAGGTCCTCTCCTGGAGCCCTCAGTGTAGTATCTGTGAGGATGTGTCCTCTCCTGGAGCTCTCTGTAACATTTGTGCAGATGTGTTCCCCTCCTGGAGCCTTCAGTGTAACATCTGTGCAGACACATTCCCCTCCTGGAGCCCACAGTGTAATGTCTGTGCACATGTTCCCCACAGGTGGAACACCTGCAGCAGGAGACTGCCACTCTGAAAAAGCAAACGCAAAAAATGAAGGAACAGTTTCTTCAACAAAAGGTAAAAATGTGTTGTTGATTTCTTCACTTGAAACAAGCGTATGAACAGAGTTTTGTGTGGTTTAATTGCTTAGCAATTCCAGTGTCATTGGAGTTGAGAAGAAGATAACAGGTAACATCTTGAGTTCTCTTTAACTCTTTTTTTTTTTTTTGTTTGAGACAGTCTCACACTCTGTCGCCCAGACTGGAGTGCAGTGGCACAATCTCTGCTCATTGCAAGCTCCACCTCCCGGGTTCACGCCATTCTCCTGCCTCAGCCTCCCGAGCAGCTGGGACTATAGGCACTGGCCACCACGTCTGGCTAATTTTTTGTATTTTTAGTAGACATGGGGTTTCACTGTGTTGGCCAGGATGGTTTCAATCTCCTGGCCTTGTGATCCACCCGTCTCAGCCTCCCAAAGTGCTGGGATTACAGGCGTGAGCCACCGCGCCGGCTCTCTTTAACTGTTTTTAAAGGTACTTAATCTGCAAAGTCAAGACGCACTTCCACAGCGGGGTGGGGGTCTTGGCCCCTCAGATCTCCAGGGGCGGCTGTCACTGGAGCGCCTGTCATACCCTGTTGTGCTCACTCTGGGGAGCTGTGTGTTGTGCAGTATTGTTGACACAGGTTGGGTTTGCCATTTAAAATGTCTGAAAAATGCACATGGAGTTCCACCATTGAAACAAATTATGATTACCCAAAAAGACATGGAATATAAATTTTGTGTCAGTGAAGCCAGTACCTCCTGTTGGATTTTATGGGATCTGAGCAAGGGTGACCCCCGAAGCTGTATTGTTCGTGGTGCTGTGTTTTATTTCTGAGCGAGGACAACCCCTGAAGCAGTGTTGTGAGTGCCGTGTTTTATTTTTTTTGAGACAGAGTCTGGCTCTGTCGCCCAGCCTGGAGTGTAGTAGTGCTGTCTCAGCTCACTGCAACCTCTGACTGCCAGGTTCAAGTGATTCTCATGCCTCAGCTTCCTGAGTAGCTGGGACTACAAGCATGTGCCACCACACCTGGCTGGTTTTTTGTATTTTTAGTAGAGATGGGGGCTTCGCCTTGTTGGCCAGGCTGGTTTTGAACTCCTGACCTCAGGTGATCAGCCAGCTCGGGCTCCCAGAGTGCTGGGATTACAGGCGTGAGCCACCGCGCCCGGCCTGCTATATTTTATTTCTGAGCAAGGGCGGCCCCTGAAGCAGTGTCGTGAGTCCTGCTTTGTTTTATTACTGAGCCACAAGCAAGGGGAGTACCTGTTGGAAGCAAAGCAGTGCAGTTGAAGGCTGGAGGGAGCCAGACTCCTTGGAATTGAAGAGACATCTGGGAGGCCGGTGTGACTGCCTCGTGCACCACACACAGATTCGTTTAAACAGGCCGTGATGTCACTTGTGGGTAAATAATGGTGTGTCTCAGTCGATGAAGGCTTAGATTTGATGAAATGTATCTTTACCTCAAAAAAGTTATGTCCCTGGTAAGTGGTAAACATTTTTGTTGAAGCCAGCTTGACCCCCAGAAGTCCCCCGCGCCCACCGCCCAGCGTCGGCTCACAGCTTCTGTCTTTGGCAGGTGATGGTGGAGGCCTACCGGCGCGACGCCACCTCCAAAGACCAGCTCATCAGTGAGCTGAAAGCCACCAGGAAGAGGCTGGACTCGGAGCTGAAGGAGCTGCGGCAGGAGCTGATGCAAGTGCACGGGGAGAAGCGGGCCGCGGAGGCGGAGCTCTCGCGCCTGCACCGAGAGGCGGCCCAGGTCCGTCAGCAGATGGCCGACCTTGAAGGGCATCTCCAGTCGGCACAGAAGGAGCGAGACGAGATGGAAACACACTTGCAGGTCCGTCTGCGTCGGACTGACTCACTTGTTGGGGAGGATTCGGCCAAAGTGCTTGGGGCGCGTGTGTCTGGGGCGGGCCCGCGTCTGGGGAGGGGCCGTGTCTGGGGCGGGGCCGTGTCTGGGGCGGGGCCGAGTCTGGGGCGGGGCCGCGTCTGGGGCGGGGCCGAGTCTGGGGAGGGGCCGCGTCTGGGGCGGGGCCGAGTCTGGGGCGGGGCCGGGTCTGGGGCGGGGCGGTGGCAAGGCGGGAGAGGCTTTTGGAAGAACAGCTGGGAATATGGCCCACCTGGAGCATAGGTCCCAGAGGGGCAGTCAGGTGAGGCCTGGTAAGTCCAGGTGACGATGTTGCATGAAGGGAGGGAGTGAGAAGGCCCCGTGAGGCACCCAGCTTCTCCCCATTGCCATGGGCTCCCGGGATCCAGTATGTGAGGACGGCGGCTGTCATGCGTAAAGCAAGGGTGAGTGTTTTGTGGAGACCCCACGTCAGGGCAGGGCACCGGGGCCCGGGGACCCTGGGAGTCCCTTGTGGCTGGGTGCGGATCTGGGACCGGCCAGAGACAGTCACATTCCTGTGGAAGCTGAGCCTGGGCTGGCTTCTGCACGCAGTGGGTGTCCGGGATGCTGGTGACAGTTTCTCGGCTGCAGGTGGCAGAGCAGGTGAGCCGGAGGTGAGGGGTGAGGGGTGCGGGACGGAGGCCACAGTCGAGGATCCTGTCCAGACATCCAGACTGAGGAACCGGGAGGCGAGATGAGAAATCGGGAGAGTAACAGTAAATTTGGGGAGGGTCGTTTTGCTTATGATGTTTCTGAAGTTGCCAGAGAGGACCGAGCTAAGGTCCCAGCAGGTGGACTGGTCAGCGTGTTTGGCTCATCAGGAGCCAGGCTGAGGCCGGGAGTAGGCGGTGTGGCCAGGCGCCGGTCAGTGTTGGAAAGTAGGAGCCGATGGAGGAGCGCCGGTCGGTGTCAGAAAGTGGGGGCTGATGGATTAACGCTGCTGCCGGGGTGGGGAGGTGGGCCGAGGGCAGCGCCGGCTCCTTGGGTTGCAGGAGGCTTGGAGGACACAGCAGTGGGGGCAGAGCACGTTCAGACCCCACAGCTGCAGGTCTGGGCTGGTTGTGGGGACTCGCTTAGCACACAGGAGCTGGGGAAAGGCTGCGAGGGCAGGAGCAGGTGGGGGACGCAGCCGTCAGTGTTCACAGTGGAGGCTGAGGAGGGCATCCAGGGGGCTCCAGGGAAGGGTCCTGGAGTCTCCAGGGATGAGTCCCAGGGGCCTCTGGGGAGGGGTTCCGGGGGCTCAGGGAGGGGTCCAGGGGCTGTGGGGAGGGAACCCAGGGGCTTGAGGGGAGGGTTCCTGGGGACTCTGAGGATGGGTCCAGGGGTCTCCAGGGAAGGGTCCTGGGGTTTCTGAGGAGGGGTCTGGATCCTTGAGGAGGGGTCCTGGGTCCTAGGGGTTAGGAGGAGAGGTCCTGGGTCCACAGGCTTTCCTATAGACTAGTCATGTCCTGTTGTGCCTCTGATGCTCTGGACACAGTGTTTGGAAACGGTTGTTGGTCTCAATAATGAGTGGTTTGTGGCCGAGCGCAGTGGCTCACGCCTGTAATCCCAGCACTTTGGGAGGCCGAGGCGGGTGGATCACAAGGTCAGGAGTTCGACTAGCCTGGCCAATGTGGTGAAACCTCGTCTCTACTAAAAATAAAAAAATTAGCCGGGTGTGGTGGCGGGCATCTGTAGTCCCAGCCACTCGGGAGGCTGAGGCAAGAGAATCACTTGAACCTGGGAGGCGGAGAGGTTGCAGTGAGCTGAGATCACGCCCCTGCACGCCAACCTAGGCGACAGAATGGGACTCCATCTCAAGAAAAAAAAAGAGTGGTTTGTAAGAAGGTAGATGTCTCGCTCAGGATTTTTCTCAAGGCGCAAGTCCTCCAGGGCGAGCCTGTGCAGTGCCATTGGCAGGGACAATGGGCTGGAGCCTGGGAGGGGAGACAGGCTGGGGCTTTCAGTGCCGCTCTTCACGCCCGCCTTGCCTTCCGAAGTCGTTGCAGTTCGATAAGGAGCAGATGGTCGCCGTCACAGAGGCCAACGAGGTGCTGAAGAAACAAATTGAAGAGTTGCAGCAAGAAGCCCGGAAGTAAGTCCGCGTGTGCCCGGGGGAGGCGGGAGAGCCCCGTGGGCTGCTGCTGTTGTGCGGGGACGCCCTCCCTGGGAGGTGCTGTGGTGGCCTGGAACGTTAAGGTCCAGGTTTGGAGTGTGTGTGGTTTGGTGGCTGCTCATCTGCGAAATGATCCGAGTTGATCGTGGACTTGCTGAAGCTCCTGTAACAGAAGCTCCCCAGGTGTTTTTATGTTTGACTTTTTGTGCAGCAGCATCCCCTCTCCCAGCTCCAACCCTGGGAGATGCTTCAGTGTTCATCCTCACACCTCACACTCACATAAACATGAACACACTGACCTCGCCGGCACACGCCCGTGCATACGTGTGCGCACAATCAGATGCCGTTAGGGGCTGCCTTACCCCAGTGGTGCACAGACCTCGCCGGCACACGTTTGCACACACAGATGCCGTCAGGGGCTGTCTTACCCAGTGGTGCACAGACCTTGCCGGCACATGCCCATCAATATGTGCATGCACACGCAGATGCTGTCGGGCCTTCTTCCTCTGGCATTGTGCCCTGTGCTGCTTTGCTTTATTTTTGTAGAGATGGGGTCTCACCATGTTACCCAGGGTGGTCTCGAACCCCAGGGCCAAGCAGTCCTCCTGTCTCAGCCTCCCAAAGTGCTGAGATGACAGACATGAGCTACCATGCCCAGCTAAATGCATAGTTTTGAGGTATTTTGTTTGTTTTCGAAATAGTCTGTTTCTGTCGCCCAGACTGGAGTGCAGTGGTGCCATCATACCTCACTGCAGCCTCAACCTCCTGGGCTCAAGTGATCCTCCCAGCTCAGCCCCTGGAGTAACTGGGACCCCAAGTGTGCACCACCACGCCTGGCTAATTTTTTAATTTTTTTGTAGAGATGGGGTCTCAGTATGTTGCCCAGGCTGGTCTCAAGCTCCTGGACTCAGGCGATGCTCTCGCCTCGGCCCCCCAGGATTCCAGGCGTGAGCGTCTGTGCTGCTTTGCTTTAATCAGCTGGTGATTTGCTCATGAATCTGATGGTTGAAATTTTTACCGATATTCAAGAACGTTTCTGTTTGGTAGGAGCAGACTCTTTCTCTGCATTCACAGGGTCGTTCATAAGCTGCCCCAAGAGGAGGGCAGGTCTGATGCTGGTGGTGGAAATGGTGAAAATTCACTGAGTGCTTCCGCTGGCCTGGCTCTGCGGGAACACCCGATACGGACTGATCCTTCGCTGTGTGCAGCCCCCACAGGACAGACACACACACACCCGGCTTTCCTAGGGCAGCTGGGTTCTGGGGAGAGCGAGGGTGGGGTGTGAGCGGAGGCAGCCTCCCCGTGGCCCAGGGTCTCGGCCATCGAGCCCGTCCTTCAGGAGGGGCTTCTGAGACGCACTTCCTGTTGCCTGCTGTTGCGAACCAGAATGCCAGACGGTCGCGTCAGAGGATAATTCAGCTTCCTCTTGTGTCTCCCTCGTGACACCCCAGGGCCATCACGGAACAGAAGCAGAAGATGAGGCGGCTGGGCTCAGACTTGACCAGCGCCCAGAAGGAGATGAAGACCAAACACAAGGCCTACGAGAATGCCGTGGGCATCCTCAGCCGCCGCCTGCAGGAGGCCCTTGCGGCCAAGGAGGCTGCGGACGCGGAGCTGGGCCAACTCCGAGCCCAGGGCGGCAGCGGTGACAGCAGCCTGGCTCTACATGTAGGTAACGCCGTGCCATCCCAAGCCAGGGTTGCCAGCCCCTCAGTGTGGGGAAGGGCTCTCCATCAGCAGTTGTCCCCTAAAGCCTTGCGGGGCCGAGCTCACGTGGGAGGCGGCAGCTCTCTCAACTCCGCTCAGCGTTGAGGTTGCCGGGAGCCCGCAGTGATGGAGCATCACCTTGCATCCCCCCATGAACCCTGCACGGTCTGCGGTCTGCGGCCTTCGGCCTTCACCTGATTTTCCTCAAGAAATCTCCTTGGCTCAGAGAAGTTCAGCTGCTCCCTTGGGGCAGAGGGAGGGCCTGCCCTGGTCCACTCGCGTTCCAGCAGCCTCTGCACCGGGAGGAAAAGCAGCCTCCGCACTCGCTGAGAAGCAGGAGTAGGGGTGTGGGGTCAGCGTTTGGCAGGGTTCGGGGAGCGTTTAGAGGTAGCCACACTGCGGTGGCCCAGAACAAGCCGGTGCCCTTGCTGGAGGGCTCTGAGCAGGGCCTTCTGTGGAGGCCGCGGCCCTCTGTGCTCTCTTACCTTACGTGGTAGGCATACCATTCTACCTGAGTAAGTTCATCTGCATTGTATTTATTATTCTCCAGTTCGTGTCCTTGCACGGACAACTTAGTGTTTCTTCTTACATGTGGTTTGTTTCTATTTCCCGTCCACTTAAGAATTTATGGGTAAGAAGAGACTGTATCATAACATGCGGTTTTCTTGTCAAATTAAATAAACTTGGCCAGGCATGGTGGCTCACACCTGTAATCCCAGCAATTAAATAAACTCAGCCAGGCACGGTGGCTCTCACCTGTAATCCCAGCGCTTTGGGAGCCCGAGGCGGGAGGATCGCTTGAGCTCAGGAGTTTGAGACCAGCCTGGGCAACATAATGAGACCCTATGTCTACAAATAATACAAAAATATTACCTGGGCATGGTGGCACGTGCCTGTGGTCCCAGATGCTTGAGATGCTAAGGTGGGAGGATCACCTCAGCCCAGGAGGGGAGGCTGAAACTGCAGTGAGCTGTGATTTTGCTGCTGCACTCCAGCCCGGGCGACAGAGAGAGACTCTGTGTCTAAAATTAAATGAATAAATCAAGTGCTCCCTCTCACCTGATTGCTTTGTAAACTGTTGGGGAGATTGATTCAGTTGCCATTTTCCTTGGGCTCACTAAGGGCTGGGGTGGGGAGGGCGCAAAGGCCAGGCAGAGCCAGCCCCTCGCCGCATCATTGCAGCTGAGGAATAGCACGGCCGTGACCCGATGTCTTGTGTCTGTCCGGGCTTCACCCCTCGCAAGTGGTGGTTTTTGGCAAATTTCTCACCTTTTTGATCCTCAGTGAAATGAGGTCAAACTGAGGTGAATGAGGACCTCCTCATGTGAGGGTTAAGTTAGGTGGTACTGGAACATGCTTGGCAAAGGCCTGGCACCATCGAGGCAACAAGTGGGTGGGGTGTGAGAGCACACCGGTGCCTGCATGTATCCATTCATGTGTGAAGTGTGAGCACGTGTGTGCGTGTGGTGTGGGGTGCGAACATGTGTGGGGTGTGAACACGTGTGTGTGGGGTGAGCACGTATGTGCATGTGTGAGATGTGAACACGTGTGTGGTACGTGAGCGTGTGTGCGTGTGGTATGTGTGTGTGTATGTGATGTGTGGTGCGTGAGCACATATGTGGTGTTGATTACACCTGGTGCTGCTTGCTTGCCACAGGTGGTGATTTATAGCCATTATCTGCAGGTCAGATTTTCTTCTGTATTTTTGAAGCATTGAACTGAAGAGATGATTTTGTTTGTCCCAATTGTCCCCGTGTGTCATCGTGTGCATGCTGTGGTCGGTTAATTCAACTTCTTTAACATAAAGGAAGGTTGTGAGACTGTGTCAGGCAACTGGTGTCTGGTGTGTGCAGCCACACAGCAGGTGCCACGGGAAGTGAGGGGGGTCAGGGCCTGTCCCGTGACCAAGTGCCCGTTCTGTCCTGGCCCTTAGGAAAGGATCCAGGCCCTGGAGGCGGAGCTGCAGGCTGTCAGTCACAGCAAGACTCTGCTGGAAAAGGAACTGCAGGAGGTCATTGCGCTGACTAGCCAGGAGCTGGAGGAGTCCCGGGAGAAGGTGCTGGAGCTGGAGGATGAGGTGAGGCTTGGCTATCTGCTGTGGCGGCAGCGTGGGGCAGGTCACGTGATCCCTGGGCGTGCCACCACTCGTGTGGCCCGAAAAACAAAACTTCACCGTGCGCCTAGCATTGCTGCTTTTGGTGTTGCCACCTTCTGACCGTCAGCCTCTGGCTCTGTGGTGGGGCAGGCCCTGATTCCAGCCCTCTGGGGAGGATCACTGTGGTACCGTCTCTTTGGTGGAATGGTTACAGAATTCATAGTGCAACCCTTCTCAGTTCAAACGCTTTGGTTGCAAGTAAGAAACCCAACTTGGCCGGGCGAGTGGCTCATGCCTGTAATCCCAGCACTTTGGGAGGCTGAGGTGGGCGGATCACGAGGTTAGGAGTTCGAGATCAGCCTGGCCAACTTGGTGAAACCCCGTCTCTATTAAAAATACAAAAATTAGCTGGGTGTGGTGGCAGGTGCCTGTAGTCCCAGCTACTCAGGAGGCTGAGGCAGGTGAACTGCTTGAACCCAGGAGCAGAGATTGCAGTGAGCCGAGATCGCAGTGAGCCGAGATCGTGCCACTGCAATCCAGGCTAGGCAACAGAGTGAGACTCCATTTCAAAAAAAAAAAGAACTCAGATCTGTCTCAGGTTCAGAGACAGTTCTCACTTCAGCGGTGCTGGTGGCAGCTCAGTGTCCCAGCCCCCTCTCCCTCCCCAGCCCCTCTCTGTGGAGCTCCGTCACCCTAGGGCTGCCTGTTCCACTCACTATGTCCTGTCCTGAAATGGTTTTGCTCGTGCCCAGCCTGCTGAGTGGCCTGGCCAGGGCTCAGTGCCTGGACAGGCTTCTCCAGAAGCCCATGGCCCCAGGAGAAGGCTGGGCTCTTGGCCATGGGGAGGAAGGAGAAGGGCCTGGGGAAGCAACTGACCATGACCACAACAGCCTTCATACCATGAAGCAAGCACGGTCCTGTGGTGTCCATTGCTGGCTTTGTTTTTGTTGTTTCGAGACAGTCTTGCTCTGTCACCCAGGCTGGAGTACACGATCTTGGCTCACCTCAGCCTCCACTTCCCAGGTTCAAGTGATTCTCCAGCTTCATTCTCCCGAGTAGCTGGAACTACAGGCACCTGCCACCACACCTGGATAATTTCTGTATTTTTGGTAGAGAGAGGGTTTTATCATGTTGGCCAGGCTGGTCTCAAACCCCTGACCTTATGTGATCCACCCGCCTCAGCCTCCCAAAGTGCTGGGATTACAGGTGTGAGTTACTGCGCCTGGCCCATTGCTGTGTTTTGTTTTTTTTTTTTTGGGACAAGAGTCTCGCTGTGTTGCCCAGGCTGGAGTGCAGTGGCACGATCTCAGCTCAGTGCAACCTCCAGTCTTGGGTTCGAGTGATTCTCCTGCCTCAGCCTCCTGAGTGGGACTAAAGGTGTGCGCCACGACGGTGGCTAATTTTTGTATTTTCAGTAGAGACGGGGTTTTACCATGTTGGCCAGGCTGGTCTCGAAATCCTGACCTCAGGTGATCCCCTCACCTCAGCCTCCCAAAGTGCTGGGATTCCAGGCTGAGTCACCACGCCTGGCCTAAGTTTCTGCTTTTTCTTACTAAAACACCTGTTTCTGGGGTGTGTGAACTCCACTCACCAGTGCGGGTAATTTCACAGTGATGTTGGTATGTTTCAGCTTCAAGAATCCAGAGGCTTCAGGAAGAAGATAAAACGCCTCGAGGAGTCGAACAAGAAGTTGGCTCTCGAATTAGAGCACGAGAAAGGGAAGCTTACGGGTCTTGGACAGTCCAACGCAGCTCTGCGGGAACACAACAGCATCCTAGAAACAGCTTTGGCCAAGAGGGAGGCAGACCTAGTCCAGTTGAACCTTCAGGTATTCAAACTCGTCAAACTCAGGCCAGCAGCGGCGTGAGAGTTGCTGAGGCTGTGTGCAGTCCGAGAATCTCACCCAGATTCAGTCACCTGTGCCGACTCCTAGCCCACCCGGCCTGCAGCCGAGAGAACAGGCTCAGAGGTTGGGGTGACCCACAGGCCTGGGTCCCCGGCTGTTGGTGCAGGGCTGGGCTCTCCGAGGTGAGGCTGGAGCCCCTGTGTGTGCTCACTTCACCTGTTTAGTTGAGGGGCAGACGTGTTTAGTTGAGGGGCAGACGTGTTTAATTGAAGGGCAGGCCTGTTTGGTTCACGGGCAGGCCTGCTCAGTTGAGGGGCAGATCTCCCATGCGGGTGTGGCTGAGTTCCAGTCCCAGGTGGTGACATTGTATGTAGGGGGCACTTAACAAGAGGTTCACGCAGTTCAGAACTGGGACTCGAACACTGACCTGGGTCTCACTCAGCTGCTCAGGCTCCACAGCCTCTCTGGATTGAGGACCAGGCGGGGCATTTCAGGGAAATCCTGGGGGCCACATCAAGCTGCTGGTGTTGACTCTCCCGTCTTAGTTCCATATTTTGCCCTAGTTCCCACCACTTCCGTTCTGTTTGTACCTGGCCGCAATCCCTGATTTATATGTATTTTTTGGGTTCCCAGCCACCACATTCCTTTTTTTTTTTTTCGTTGTTGTTAGTAATACAGAGGCTCACTCTGTCTCTCAGGCTGGAGTGCAGTGGCAGGATCTCGGCTTCCCGCCTCCCGGGTTGAAGCGATTCCCCTGCCTCAGCCTCTAGTATAGCTAGGACTACAGGCGCGCGCCACCACACCCAGCTAATTTTTTATATTTTTAGTAGAGACGAGGTTTCACCATGTTAGCCAGGATGGTCTCGATTTCCTGACCTGGTAATCCACCTGCCTCAGCCTCCCAAAGTGCTGGGATTACAGGCGTGAGCCACCGTGCCTGGCCCATTCTTTTTTTTTTTTTGAGACAGGGTCTGGCTCTTGTCCAGAGTGGAGGGGAGTGCAGTAGCACCATCATAGCTCACTGCAGCCTTGACCTACTGGACTTCAGCAATCCTCCTGCCCCAGCCTCTGGAGCCGTGGGGCCCACAGGCGTGCCACATTCTTGAGTGCGGCCCTGTGGTTGTGCTCCCGCAACCTAAGATTCTGTTTTTGTCACAGATTCTTCAGAGGTGGAGTTTCCTCTGCCTCCCTGGCGTGTGCCTGCGCCTGTGGTGTGGCGTGCGCCTGCGCCTGTGGTGTGGCGTGCGCCTGCGCCTGTGGTGTGGCGTGCGCAGCCTTGTGTGTTTGCCATTTGACGTCCTTATCTGTCCTGCAATCTGATCTAGGTGCAGGCGGTTTTGCAGCGCAAAGAAGAGGAGGATCGCCAGATGAAGCAGCTTGTCCAGGCCCTGCAGGCCTCACTAGAGAAGGAGAAGGAGAAGGTGAACAGCCTTAAGGAGCAGGTACGTGCCACTTTCTGGCTCACAGGGCGTTCCAGAGGACGCTCCGGTGCCTAGAAATCTATGCAGAGTCCTTCACACACCAGCCTCCTTCCGGCAGGTACAGAGAGCAAAGGTGCGTTGCAGTTGTTGGTGATGGAGGCTGCAGAGCACCTGGTCTGGTCCTTAGAAGGTGGTGTTAGATTAAATGGTGGTGCAGCCATGAGGACCTGGGGCCAATGAGCTCCGCGTGCGTATGTATGTATATTGTGCTAGGAACGGTGTCCTGTGTGTCTTGTTGCATTGCAAAAGCAAACTTGAGAAGAGCGTAGGATCCCATTTGTGTTTGGCAGACGAGGGGTGGTTCTGTGGACCCTTCTCTGTGTAGAGAGCTGTCTTTTCCTGGCTGGCCCCTGCCCTGCTTCACCTGTGTTCACTGACACATTGCTCAAGTTGCCAGCAGAGGCCCATCCTGACCCCCAGGTGCCCCATCTGGACCCTGCTCCTCCGTTAGAACGCTGCTTGCTGGCTACCTCTGCCATGCCTGGCACAGAGCAGCTACTCCTAGCACGCTTGCCCTGTGTGTGCACGTGGGGGGTGTGCGTGCACGTGTGTGCCTGGGACGTGGTGTGTGTGTGTGCATTCGATGCTCATGTATATGTAGAAAATTTCTAAGGAACACAAGAAATAACTGGTTTTCTCTAGAGAAAGGCAGGAAAGAACACATCACTTTTCCTTTAAATCCTGTTTGAATTGAACTTGTAAAAAATTACAAGTTATAATTGCTTCAGAATTCAAACTTTTTGGCCTAACAGTAAAGCTTCTTTCATGCCTATGACCTGGCTTTGCCACAGCCTTTAAGAACTTTTTTATGATAATGTAATTGAGATAAAAATAAAAAGCTTCTTGATTTTTTTTTTTTAAAGGGGTGAAACAATAAAGTTTCCTTATAAATACAATTAATTTTAAGATATGGCAGATGGCTGGGCACGGTGACTCACGCCTGTAATCCCAGCACTCTGGGAGGCTGAGGCGGGCAGATCACTTGAGGTTGGGAGTTCGAGACCAGGCTGACCAACATGGAGAAACCCTGTCTCTACTATAAATACAAAATGAGACTGGCATGGTGGCACATGTCTGTAATCCCAGCTACTTGGGAGGCTGAGGCAGGAGAATCGCTTGAACCCAGGAGGTGGAGGTTGCAGTGAGCCGAGATCACGCCATTGCACTCTAGCCTGGGCAACAAGAGTGAAACTCTGTCTCAAAAAAAAAAAGAAAAAAAAAATGTGGCACGATTATTTTAATAGGAGCAGTTAACAGCTTTCTTTTGGCCTCACAGGCCTCATCCGCCCAGCCGTTTAACCCTTGCCTGGGGCCTGCTGCTGGGCCGTGGTTCAGGCTGGGCTCACACAGTGCCCCAGCTCTCCAGCTTTCACTCTGTGGTTAGGTTTCACTTAATTTTTTTCAGTGTTTTTTTTTTTTTTTTTTTTTTTTTTAAAGACCGAGTCTCACTCTGTTGCCAGGCTGGAGTGCAGTGGCGCGATCTTGGCTCACTGCAACCTCTGCCTCCCGGGTTCAAGTGATTCTCCTGCCTCAGCCTCCCGCGTAGCTGGGACTACAGGCGCCCACCACCATGCCCGCCTAATTTTTTATATTTTAGTAGAGAGGGGTTTCACCCTGTTAGCCAGGATGGTCTCGATCTCCTGACCTCATGACCTGCCCGCCTTGACCTTGCAATTAATTTTATTCTTTCTTTTTTTTTTTTTTTTTTTTTTTTTTTTTTTTTTTTTGAGGCAGCGAGGTCTCGCTCTGTCGCCAGGCTGGAGATGCAGTGTTGAGACGGAGTCTCGCTCTGTCGCCCAGGCTGGAGTGCAGTGGCGCAATCTCGGCTCACTGCAAGCTCCGCCTCCCGGGTTCACGCCATTCTCCTACCTCAGCCTCCCCAGTAGCTGGGACTACAGGCGCCCGCCACTGCGCCCGGCTAATTTTTTTCTATTTTTTTAGTAGAGACGGGGTTTCACCATGGTCTCGATCTCCTGACCTTGTGATCCACCCGCCTCGGCCTCCCAAAGTGCTGGGATTACAGGCGTGAGCCACCGCGCCCGGCCTATTCTTTCTTTTTAAATGTATTTATTTTATTTTATTTTATTTTATTTATTTATTTATTTATTTATTTTGAGACAGAATCTCGCTATGTCGCCCAGGCTGGAGTGCAGTGGCCAGATCTCGGCTCACTGCAAGCTCCGCCTCCCGGGTTCACGCCATTCTCCTGCCTCAGCCTCCTGAGTAGCTGGGACTACAGGCACCCGCCACCTCGCCCGGCTAGTTTTTTGTAATTTTTAGTAGAGACGGGGTTTCATCGTGTTAGCCAGGATGGTTTCGATCTCCTGACCTCGTGATCCGCCCGTCTCGGCCTCCCAAAGTGCTGGGATTACAGGCTTGAGCCAACGCGCCCGGCCATTTTTTGTATTTTTAGTAGAGACAGGGTTTCACCGTGTTAGCCAGGATGGTGTCGATCTCCTGACCTCGTGATCTGTCTGTCTCGGCCTCCCAAAGTGCTGGGATTGCAGGCATGAGCCACCGTGCCCGGCCTATTTACTTTATTTTTGAGACCGGACCTCACTCTGTCACCCCAGCTGGAGTGTAGTGGCGCGATCACGCTCCCTGCCGCCTGGAACTCCTGAGCTCAAGTGATCCTTCCACCTCAGCCTCCTGAATACCTGGGACCACTATGCCCTGCTGAGTTTTTTATATTTTGTGGAGACATGGTCTTGCTATGTTGTCCAGGCTGTGAATAAACTGGAAGAAGACTATAAAAACTGTTTAGACCGAAAAATCTTGAATGAATGTTTGTGAATGAATGTTCTCGAATGAATGTTCGTGTTCATTCAACAGACAGCAGTAGCCACATGAGTGTGCCGAGCTCCGGGTCAGGTGGTTTCATCTTTACAAGGAACCTGACAGGCCTGTGGAGAAGCACACGCCAGCAGCCAAGACGTGCACGGGGCCGGGAGTGGATTCACCCACTGCGTCCGGCGCGTTGTAAAGCTGCAGGTGCCATGCAGGGCATGGACAATGTGATTTCCTTCCTCCTAGGTGGCCGCTGCCAAGGTGGAAGCCGGGCACAACCGCCGCCACTTCAAGGCGGCCTCCTTGGAGCTGAGTGAGGTGAAGAAGGAGCTGCAGGCCAAGGAACACCTGGTGCAGAAGCTGCAGGCTGAGGCCGATGACCTTCAGTGAGTGCCCGGGCCCTGCACAGCGGGACCTGGGCCATGCCAGGCCTCACACACGGCTGTCCTGGCAACGGGCGGGGTCTAATTCGTCACCTTCAGCACAGCGAGGGTCATCTATATTTTGCAAATTGCCGAGTACTTGAGTGTGAATCATAGAGGGCACTCAGCGTCTGTCTCCAGAAGCCTGAGCCTCGCTCACTGCCCCGTGTCCTCCCCCAAGAGAGAGAGCACCCAGCACGAGTACTTAGCTTCAGGTCCGAGGCAGAAAGGGGCGGCCCGGCGCGGGCCTGACGCTGTGGCTCTGTGGGCCCCAGGCGCTGTGGTCTCTGGGATCCGTGAGGGGAGCTGGCAAAGGGTGAGTCTCAGACGCTTTGTGAGGACTGCCCGAGTGCACATTGGGGCACCAAGCATGGCTGCAGCTCGCAACGCCTGCCGGGGTGGATGCCTTCCCCAGGCAGCGTTTCCCAGCAGGAGGGCATGGCATGCTGGAGGACTGCGGCAGTTCCCTGCTTTCTTGTTTTTTTACGCTAGGATTCGGGAGGGGAAACATTCCCAGGAGATAGCACAGTTCCAAGCAGAGCTGGCCGAGGCCCGGGTGCAGCTCCAGCTCCTGCAGAAGCAGCTGGACGAGCAGCTCAGCAAACAGCCTGTGGGAAACCAAGAGGTGATGGTTCGCGGGGGCTGGACTCACGGGGCTGGACTCACAGGTGTCCTGGGTGACTTCACGCCATCCTACCTGGCGAGGAATAGTGATGGTTTTCTGAATATGGTATTAAAAGATAAACTAGGCCGGGCGTGGTGGCTCATGCCTGTAATCCCAGCACTTTGGGAGGCCAAGGCGGGCGGATCATGAGGTCAGGAGATCGAAACCATCCTGGCTAACACAGTGAAACCCCATCCTTACTAAAAACACAAAAAATTAGCCGGGCATGGTGGCGGGCGCCTGTAGTCCCAGCTACTCGGGAGGCTAAGGCAGGAGAATGGGGTGAACCCGGGAGACAGAGCTTGCAGTGAGCCGAGATAACGCCACTGCACTCCAGCCTGGGCAACAGAGTGAGACTCCGTCTCAAAAAATAATAATTAATAAATCAAATGAACACGCAGCTAGAGCTGTTTTCCATGGGCGACAGAGCGAGACTCCGTCTCAAAAATAAATAAATAAATCAAATGAACAGACACATAGCTAGAGCTGTTTTCCAAGGCAGTAAAGCTGCTTCAGTATTGTTGGCCATGTGACTTTCCCCTCTTTAGATGGAAAATCTCAAATGGGAGGTGGATCAGAAAGAAAGAGAAATCCAGTCCTTGAAGCAGCAGCTGGACTTGACGGAGCAGCAGGGCAGAAAGGAACTGGAAGGGCTACAGCAGCTGCTGCAGGTATCTGTGTGTGAGGCGCTGGGCACAGGCGGGAGCAGCACTTCCTGGGGCGGCCCTTGGTTCCCGTGCCGTGCGGCCTGTGGCCAGGCAGTGCTCCTGGGGAGCTGGCACCCTCGTCCAGTGGGGCGCTCGCAAAGTCACCTGGTCCACATCACACGGCAGGATGGAGGCAGGGCTGAAGCCTGGGCCGGCTCCGATCCCTTGGCCGTGCTGTGTGACATGGACCAAGAACGTGATTTCATGGAGTCCAGCAAATGGGAGGGTGCGTGGGAAAAATTTGCCAATCTGCAATAAACTTCTCGACAAAGAGCTCAGGGTTCGGTCTTGACTGCTCGGGAAAGGAGTGTAATTGCCGAATCCCCCTCGTAAATGAGGGGCTTGAGTCACAGTGAGAATTTATTTATAGATACAGGCAGAGGAGCATCCATCAGCCAAAAACCCAACATCTGGCCAGGCACAGGGGCTCACGCCCGTAGACCCAGCACTTTGGGCAGTGAGCTGTGGTTGGGCCGCTGCACTCCAGCCTGAATGTCAGAGACAGACTGTCTCGAAAACACAGAACAAAACAAAAACCCACAATTCGAAACTTTGCGAGCGTCAGCTTGACAAAGGAGATGCTCGTTGGAACATTTCAAATGTCTGGATTACGGATACTCAGCTGGTAGGTGTGATGCAAATATTCAAAATTCCAAAGGTTGACACACTTTCGGTCCTGAGCGTTTTGGACCTGGACTGGGACCATCAAGATGGCGCCGAGGAGGACACACATGTGCTTAACCTATGAAAATACAAACTTGGATCTTGGCAGGATGTTTAAGATCTGTTAACTTAAAAAATCTGACTTCATTTTCCACAGAATGTCAAGTCTGAGTTGGAGATGGCCCAGGAAGATCTGTCCATGACCCAGAAGGATAAATTCATGCTCCAGGCAAAAGTGTCGGAGCTGAAGAACAACATGAAGACCCTGCTCCAGCAGAACCAGCAGCTCAAGCTGGACCTGCGCCGCGGTGCGGCCAAGACGGTACTCAGGCCCGCGTCCCTCCCGGGGTAGCCAAGCTGCGCTGTAGATGCTCTTGGACAGGAGGCTGGCAGGCGTGTTAGTCATTCAGACATAAACGGATGTGCGTTTATGTTGTTTAGCCCACGCTGAGCAGCGGCTATATAAAGTCAGTGATAATGAGATGTCCTGCTCAGGTGACAGATGAAATCATTTCATTCTGGTTTCATTCATCTAGCAGCGTTTGCCTCATTTCTGAATTAAAATACCACTTTGTTGGCCGGGTGCGGTGGCTCAAGCCTGTAATCCCAGCACTTTGGGAGGCTGAGACGGGTGGATCACAAGGTCAGGAGATCGAGACCATCCTGGCTAACCCGGTGCAACCCCATCTCTGCTGAAAAAAAGTACAAAAAACTAGCCGGGCGAGGTGGCAGGCGCCTGTAGTCCCAGTTACTCGGGAGGCTGAGGCAGGAGAATGGCGTGAACCCGGGAGGCGGAGCTTGCAGTGAGCTGAGATCTGGCCACTGCACTCCAGCCTGGGCGACAGAGCGAGACTCTGCCTCAAAAAAAAAAAAAAAAAAAAGGCCGGGCGCGGTGGCTCAAGCCTGTAATCCCAGCACTTTGGGAGGCCGAGACGGGCGGATCACGAGGTCAGGAGTTCGAGACCATCCTGGCTAACACGGTGAAACCCCGTCTCTACTAAAAAATACAAAAAACTAGCCGGGCGAGGTGGCGGGCGCCTGTAGTCCCAGGTACTCAGGAGGCTGAGGCAGGAGAATGGCGTGGACCCGGGAGGCGGAGCTTGCAGTGAGCTGAGATCCGGCCACTGCACTCCAGCCTGGGTGATACAGCGAGACTCCGTCTCAAAAAAAACAAAAAAAAACAAAAAAAACAAATACCACTTTGTTACAATGTGCTTTGTAAATAAGATGAGCAGCTGGTCTGTGACTTGGCAGTCCCTGCTGTGTGCGTAGGGCTGGGGCCTGGGAGCTGTGCCCAGGCGCCCGGCGGTTTTCTGTGCTCAGACCACGGCCATGCTTTCCAGGAGGCAGGTGGGAGGGCAGCGCTGGGATTCAGAGGCCGTTTTGCGTTGTCTGCCTATCTGTGGAAAAAGTCTGAAATCCTAGAAAAGGGAGCCTAAGTTGGAAAACGTACTTAATTTCTTAGGGAAATTCCACGTCAAGGCCTTGAGTCTCTGATGGGAAAAGCCTTTAGGAGAGCTGTCAGTCTGTGGCTCGGCCCCGCCCCGCTGTGGACCCAGGACTTAGGTTGTCTCTGTGGCTCGGCCCCGTCCTCCTGCAGACCCAGGACTTAGGTTGTCTCTGTTGTGCTGTGGTTTTGTGCCTTAGGAATAAAGGTGTTTCCTCAGCCAGCTATTCTGGAGCTCTGGGACTGCTGTGCTGTCACGGCAGCCGGGACGGTCCCCTTCCCAGAGGCCCCACGTCCACCCACTGGGGGGCCGTCTGCCACAATGCTGTGCTAGTGAGACCGACGCGAGGGGGGGCGGCGGGAAAGCTGATCATGTGCTTTTCCAAACAGAGAAAGGAGCCAAAAGGCGAGGCCAGCTCTTCCAACCCTGCCACGCCCATCAAGATCCCCGACTGCCCGGTTCCCGCCTCGCTGCTGGAGGAGCTGCTGAAGCCACCGCCTGCCGTGAGCAAGGAGCCCCTCAAGAACCTGAACAGCTGCCTCCAGCAGCTCAAGTACGACCATATTCTGTGCTGCACTTCAGCTAGTCTTAAAGATTAATGCCCTCTTTAGCTGGGAGGACACTCCTGGTGCCAGCAGTCAATGAGTGCCCAGCAGAGTTTGAGCGGGTTTATGTAAAGGTGGGGGGACTCATGCACACAGCCTCTGAGGTTTATATAAGTGGGGGGACTCACACAGCCTCTGAGGTTTATATAAGAGGGGGACTCACACACAGCCTCTGAGGTTTATAAGTAGAGACTACAGCCTCTGAGGTTTATATAAGTAGGGGGACCTCACACAGCCTCCCGGTTTATATAAAGGTGGAGGACTCATTGCACACAGCCTCTGAGGTTTATAAAGGGGGGACTCACAGCCTCTGAGGTTTACTCTATAGAGAGGACTCACACAGCCTCTGAGAGTTTTATATAAGTGGGGGACTCACAGCCTCTGAGAGTTTATATAAGAGGGATACCTCCAGCCTCCCAGGGTTTATATAAGAGAGGGACTCACAGCCTCAGGGGTTTATATAAGAGGGGGACTCATGCACACAGCCTCTGGTTTATATAGAGGGGGGACTCACACCCAGCCTCTGGGGTTTATATAAGAGGGGACTGCACACAGCCTCTGGGTTTATATAAGTGGGGGACTCACACACAGCCTCTGAGGTTTATATAAGAGAGGACTCACACAGCCTCTGAGTTTATATAAGGTAGAGCTCATGGACACAGCCTCTGAGGTTTATATAAGTGAGACTCACACAGCCTCTGAGGTTATATAAGTGAGACTCACACAGCCTCTGAGGATTTATAAGTGGGGGACTCACACAGCCTCAGAGTTTATATAAGTGGGAGACTCCTGCAGCCTCTGAGGATTTATATAAGAGGGGGACTCATGCACACAGCCTCTGAGAGTTTATATGGAGACCACACGAGGCATTTGCTGGGGGTTTATATAAGAGGGGACTCATGCACACCTCTGGGGTTTATATAAGTGGGGGGACTCACACACAGCCTCTGGGAGTTTATATAAGAGGGGGACTCACACAGCCTCTGAGGTTTATATAAAGGTGAGGGACTCATGCACACAGCCTCTGAGGTTTATATAAGAGGGGGGGACTCACACAGCCTCTGAGGTTTATATAAGAGGGGGGACTCACACAGCCTCTGAGGTTTATATAAGTGGGGGGACTCACACACAGCCTCTGAGTTTATATAAGAGGGGAGACTCACACAGCCTCTGAGGTTTATATAAAGGTGGGGGACTCATGGACACAGCCTCTGGGGTTTATGTAAGTGGGGGACTCACACAGCCTCCCCAGGGTTTATGTAGTGAGACTCACAGCCTCCCCAGGTTTATATGGTGGGGACTCACACAGCCTCTGAGAGTTTATATAAGAGGGGGACTCACACAGCCTCTGGGGATTTATAAGTGGAGACTCACACAGCCTCTGAGTTTATAGTCAGAAGACTCACACAGCTACGAGTTTATATAAGTGGGGGGACTCACACAGCCTCTGAGAGTTTATATAAGAGGGGACTCACACAGCCTCTGAGGTTTATATAAGAGAGACTCACACAGCCTCTGAGTTTATATAAGTGGGGGACTCACAGCCTCTGAGGATTTATATAGAAGTGAGAGACTCACCCAGCCTCGAGAGTTTATATAAGAGGGGACTCACACAGCCTCTGGGGTTTATATAAGAGGGGACTCATGCACACAGCCTCTGAGGTTTATATAAGTGGGGGACTCACACACAGCCTCTGAGGTTATATAAGAGAGGACTACAGCCTCTGAGGTTTATATAAGTGGGGGGACTCACACAGCCTCTGAGGTTTATATAAGAGGGGGGACTCACACAGCCTCAGGGAGTTTATATAAGAGGGGGACTCACACACAGCCTCCTGAGAGTTTATATATAGAGGACTCACACAGCCTCTGAGGTTTATATAAGAGAGGACTCACAGCCTCTGATTTATATAAGAGGGGGGGACTCACACAGCCTCTGAGGTTTATATAAGGTGGGGACTCACACAGCCTCTGAACTCATAGGCGGAAACTGCCTGGAGTTAAACTACCGTATAGGCCCTGAGAAGCTGGAAGGCCACACGCAGTGCACCTGGCAACCTGAGGCTGAGTGAAGTGTGTAGGGTGGGGCCAGACGGCACCCCGAGGGAAGGTTACGGAATGGAAGTCGCGTGTGCCAGGCCTCAGTGACAGCTTCCACCCTGCCGCCTGGTCAGGACTGGTCCTTGAGCCTGTGTCCTCTTGCGTACGCCCTCTGCTGTCCTCTGCACAGTGTAGAGAACGGTGCTGAGAATAGCTGAGCTTCTGTGGTCTCGGTTGGTTTGTGGGTCCCCAAAGCTGCCCAGCTCCACTCAGGTGCTAGCGAGCGAGGCTGCCCACGGGTGGCACGTTCTGCCTGGCACGTGTGTGATCTGGGCCGCCTTCCTTCTTCTGTCCCAGGCAGGAGATGGACAGCCTGCAGCGCCAGATGGAGGAGCACACCCTCACGGTGCACGAGTCTCTGTCCTCGTGGACTCCGGTGGAACCAGCCACTGCCAGCCCTGCGGCCCCTGGGGGTCATGCCAACCCACGTGGCAATGCCCAGAGACACAGTCAGAGCAGGGCTTCCAAAGAAGGGCCGGGACAGTGACTGCTGCGGACTTGCCTCCGTGTACCACTGTCCGGAATGCTGTCTTATCAATGTTATTTATTCGATTGTGTGGCTGATGTTTTTCTAAGACATGAAATTTAAATTTTGTTTTGCCTTTAACAAGGAGTAAAATATATAACAGAATGAAAGCCAAGGATTAGAAAAACATTCGAAGATTACAATTAGCTTTTCCCATGGAATGACCAAATCTTAAAAGCCTAATAGGCTCTTGGCGAGGAGCTTCGAACGTGTCTGAAGGGTTACTTGTAGGACATGTCTACTGAGCGGTCACCGGTGCTGCTTTCTGCAGGTGACAGGGAGAGGCTGCATGACGGGGTGTGCGGCACCAGCGCCCGGCCAGGCCGGCTGCAGTCTCGGTTCCCTGTTCCGTTCAGTAAGAGCTTTACTTTTCTGCAGAAATGAAATTTTATTTGCACCTTTGGCTTTTTGCTTGTTTTTTTGGGTAGCCATCCCACCATAGGATGTGTACGTAGACAATGAAGATCATAACCCAATCTTTTTTTTTTTTTTTTGGAGATGGAGTCTCGCTCTGTCGCCCAGGCTGGAGTGCGGTGGCACCATCTTGGCTCACTGCAAGCTCCGCCTCCCGGGTTCACGCCATTCTCCTGCCTCAGCTTCTCGAGTAGCTGGGATTACAGACGCTCACCACTATGCCAGGCTAATGTTTGTATTTTTAGTAGAGATGGGGTTTCACCGTGTTGGTCAGGCTGGTTACGAACTCCTGACCTCAAGTGAGCCGCCCGCCTCAGCCTCCCAAAGTGCTGGAATTACAGGCATGAGCCACCGCGCTCAGCCTGTAACCCAATCTTTAATAAGCGTATGCTCATATTATTTAAGAAGAACCTATTTGTCTTATTATTGATTGCCTTTTGAAAATTTGTTGGGAATAATTTACCTGTAGGATTTAGGAATGTCAGAAAATTCTGCTCTAAGAAATATAATTTTTTTATTTACCTTCTAAAGCCAAATATTCTTACACAGAAAGGTCCTCTGTTCTGGTTTTACTTTGTTGCTAAGGGTCTTTCCTTCCTGCCAGTCTCTTCCTCTCAGGCCACTGGTCCTGTGTGATTCCACCATGGCTGGCCACCGGGAAGGGGCAGCTTGGACCCTTGGTCAGGCCTGAAGGCCATCAGGAGGCACAAGGACACTGAGGCCCCGTATCTGATCCGACCTTTGTGGGGTACAGGGAGAGGCCAGAGGGAGAGGAAGGAAGGTGGAGGAGGAGGAGGAGAGCAGGCCAGGGGCTCCCTGCAGCGACTCCTGCCGTTTCTCCTGGAGCCACAGCCAGGTGTAGATAGCAGGTGGTAACAAGCCTCACACTTCTATGCCCAAGAGAAAATCTTTACCAGTGTCTGAGGGAGCACCTGTACTCGTGCAGTCACCAAGAGAAGTCCTGGGTCCTTTGTGCTTACACCAGCATCATGTGGAGAGCAGAGGCGATTTCTGAGAGAGACAGGCCAGCACCGTGAGGAAGGTGGCTGTGCTCTCCCCAGGTGTCTCAGAAACAGATGCCTTATTTAAAATCAGCACTACGTGTGTGAGATCTTCCGTTTCCCACCCCAACTCCTGAAACATTGCAGACACTGCGAGAGTTGGGGTCTGTAAGTTGTCCCCTAGTTTGTTAAGAAAATCTAAAATAATATTTATTGTATGAGGAGAGAGAGAGAATGGGTCCGTGTGGCCTCCTTTGCAGAGATATGGGTCTGAAACGAGGTTCTGAGTGTCACTGGCCAGGCCAGATGTGCTCATGTCCGTATCTTGTGTCTGTTTTGTGGAGAAAACAGTATGGTATGTTTATGCTACTTGTGTTCTGTTGTAATATACTTTTAGAAGGTTAATTGGTAAGGTTAAGGTAGCATTAACCACAAAGATGTTTGGTATTTAAAAAATATTCTCTAGCAAGTATTAGAACTTCCAAAATATATATATCATTTGTACAGGGTTAATTTTGAAATAATACTTGAAAATTTCATTATAAATATATCCTTTTTATCTTAAGTTGAAGATGTTATTTACTAAATTGTTCTTGTACCATTAGAAAAGAAAAATACAGTAATTTACATTCTTATTTATTGGGGCTGCACTACCCCTTTGTTTTAATATTAAAATCAAGAAATCGGGCCGGGCGTGGTGACTCATGCCTGTAATCCCAGTACTTTGGGAGGCTGAGGCGGGTGGATCACCTGAGATCAAGAGTTCCAGACCACTCTGGCCAACATGGCAAAACCCTGTCTTTACTAAAAATATAAAACTTAGCTGGGTGTGGTGGTGCGTGCCTATAATCCCAGCTACTCAGGAGGCTGAGGCAGGAGAATCACTTGAACCTGGGAGGTGGAGCTTGCAGTGAGCCGAGATCGCGCCATTGCACTCCAGCCTGGGCAACAGAGCGAGACTCCCGTCTCAAAAAAATAAGAAAAATTTTAAAAATTAAAATCAAGAAATCACACACATTCGATGGGGAGTGACTTCTCATAGAAAGTCCTCGAGTGAGCAATGTTCACCGTGTATTTTTTTTTCTCTTAGGACAAACTAATTGTGAAAATACTCAAGGGAAGGTAGCTCTGCGTTTCTCACCCCGCTTTTCCTGTGTGTGCCCTCGGGCGTGATACCTCCCCGGTGCTCTGTGGCCGCTGGTGCCAGGGCCCCCTCTGGTTTGGCAGGGCCTGGCTGCCCTCGCTCTCCGCGGTGAGTCTTCTGGTGTTTTCATGCACGGCTTGTGCTTCTGGATCTGAGACCTCTTGTGTTCACACGGACACTGCCTTCAGGCTTCCTTTCTTAAGAAGATGCCTAAAAGAGGAAGTTGGGTTTTTTGTTTGTTTGTTTTTTGAGACAGAGTCTCGCTCTGTCGCCCAGGCTGGAGTGCAGTGGTGTGACCTCGGCTCACTGCAAGCTCCACCTTCCGGGTTCAAGCCATTCTCCTGCCTCATTCTCCCGAGTAGCTGGGACTACAGTGCCCGCCACCACACTGGGCTAATTTTTGTATTTTTATGGGGGTGGAGTTTCACCATTTTGGCCAGGCTGGTCTCGAACTCCTGACCTCAGGTGATCTGCCCGCCTCAGCCTCCCAAAGTGCTGGGTTTAAAGGCGTGAACCACCACCCCCAACTGAAGTTGAAGTTTTAAATTGCCAGCTTTTTCTTTATTGTCGAGGTTTTTTTCTTATCTCCAAGGGACTCTCCCGGCACTTCTACCTCCCAGAGTGACTTCAGTGCGTACAGTTTGAATTATTTTCTTCTTGTGGGCAGCAGTGGGAATGATGGAATATCCTCATGGAAAAGGCAGTGAAGTCGGGAGTATTGCTTAGAAAACAGGGTCCCCAGAGCATTATGCTGCGTGTTTGTCCCCACGCTGTGTCACAACAGGCTTGGGCACTTCACGATGTCACTGCTTTTCTGATGCTCCCAAAACAATGTAACTTGGTTTTCATGTGTTTTTTTCCATGGTGTGTGTGAGATTGATGCTACGGGTCTTACGGACTCACACCCCTGTTCCCAACCTCTGCAATATGGATCAGGCAGTGATTTTGATAGGATGTGAAACGGACTCTCCTCAGGTGGGTCCAGCAGGGCCCTGCCCCCCAGAACATAGTCCATGCCGCACTGTGCTGTGCTAGGGAGTTTGCCCTCAACTCTCCTTGGTGTAGGGTGCCCACAACATAGAGTTCTAGTTCCCTGAGGTCTTTAAAAACAAAAACAGAATGTTGTATGTGAAGATTCTCAGAGGGGAGGGGACCAGCAAATCTGAGAGAGAACCGTTCTGGAGCCTCCCTTCGAGGAGCCCTCTGACGTGAGGACTTGAGCGATGCTGTGGTGTGAGGCGTTCTCAGCTCACTGACCAGAAGGTCCAGGCAAATCTCCATCATACAGTGATCTCAGGCTCTCACAGGATCCTGAGGGAAATGTTAGAGGGTCTGGAAAATTCAGTGCTTTTGAGTTACTCATTTTTATTAAAAATTTCCTCACAAAAGAGAGCCCTCAAGTTGTGGCTGTTCTGGGGAAAGGGGTCACCTTGTCTGACAAAGTGTAACTTTAAAAAGCACGTTGATTTTTTACAAATGTAAGTGTGCTTGGGAATTCCTTAAATTTTGTGCAATAAACTATTTTTTGGTAAAGATTTTCATATTCATTGGAAGCTTCATTTTAATATTTATATTTTGTTGTTTGGAGAGTAACTTTTTAATCTCATGTTATTACACACTCTGTTCAACACATGCTTTAAAAGAGAATTCTAGTGCCCTGCCGGTTTCAGGCAGGAGTGAAGCCAACTTCTGTGGCTTGTGACAACAGCAGACGCATGGCACGGCCTCCTCCGCGCTTGGCCCACACTTCGCCCATTGCCATTTGCCAGGAATACAGGAGAGGGAGTGAGCTTCCCGGTGGACCAGGGGAAGGATGGTGGCCACTGTGTGCGGCGCCTCCTCAGCTGGGCTTCATCATGCAGGTGCTGCCCTCTGCTGGGCCTCCGCGGTGATGGTGGGGTCATGACTCTCAGACCTCAGCAATGTGACTTCCCAGATTCTGTCTTTTCCATCCGTACTTTGGTTTTGATCATTAAGAGTTAACCAGGCGTAAACTGGGTGCGGTTGCTCACGCCTGTAATGCCAGCACTTTGGGAGGCTGAGCGGGGGTGGGTCACCTAAGGTCAGTAGTTCAAGACCAGCCCTGCCAACATGGTGAAACCTCACCTCTACTAAACCCAAAAATTAGCCTGGCGTGGTGGTGTGTGCCTGTAATCCCCACTAGTCAGGAGGCTGAGGCAGAAGAATTGCTTGAACTCGGGGGGCGGAGGTTGCAGTGAGCCAAGATCGCGCCACTGCACTCCAGCTTGGATGACAGAGTGCGACTCTAGCTCAAAAAAAAAAAAAAAAAAAAAAAAAACAGTTAACCAGGTATAGAGTTTTCAGTGTAGACGTTAGTAGACGCCACCATGGTTTAAAAAGTACAGAAAAGGGACAGGAAGTGGTAGTCGCCAGGCTTGGCCCTGTGGGATTAATGCACTTTTTCCTGTGACTGCTTTACCCGCTTCTGTACCCAGGGAATTACTACACAGATCGGAGTAAAAATTCCCTGACCACCTTCTGTGGCCTTAACTTTCTGAAATATTAAGGACATAACTTTTTTTTGTTTATAGTAACCCTTAAGGGAACATGTTTATATCTGAACTTTTTCCTTTTCTCCACGGAGTTGCTACGTGTTTGCAGGCACTGCACTGACTGGCTGACAGGTGTATTTTCAGCTGTGTCTGTCTCAGCAGCTCAAAGCTCCACGCTGCATCCTGCTACAGAGCTCAGCAGTGGGTGTCAGCGGTTTTGGCAGACACCGATGGGTCACTTCTTCCTGGCTTAAGAGTGGCATCAGGTATTGTCAGGAATTTGGGTTATCACTGATGGGAGGCTCAGGATTTAAAAATCACCAGGTCACTTGGAAATCTGAGACCTCAGGTAGTATTAGGAAGCAGGCTGGGCACGGTGGCTCATGCCTGTAATCCCAGCGCTTTGGGAGGCCGAGGCGGGTGGATCACTCAAGGTCAGGAGTTTGAATCCAGCCTGACCAACATGGCGAAACCCCATCTCTACTAAAAATACAAAAATTAGCCGGGTATGGTGGCGGGTTCCTGTAACCCCAGCTACTCAGGAGGCTGAGGCAGGAGAATCGCTTGAACCTGGGAGGCGGAGGTTGCAGTGAGTGAAGTTCGTGCCACTGCCTTCCAGCCTGGGTGACAGAGGGAGACTCGAGGAAAAAAAAAAAAAAAAAAAGCAGGAAGCAGATGATGGGGGAAGCTAAGCTGGTGATTTACACTCCTGCCGTCTAGCTCGATGGATAAACGTGACAATTGCTGGCAGCGTCCCCAAGCCTTTCCTAGATGATGAGAAGAATTCCCAGACTCGGTGGCGTCTACAGTCAGAAGCATTTGTTGGAACTTGGTGGCCTCTACACATGCTTCTGTCTGAGGGTGAATGTTGCAGGTTGCGATAAAAAGTGTACTTGGGCCGGGCGCGGTGGCTCAAGCCTGTAATCCCAGCACTTTGGGAGGCCGAGACGGGCGGATCACGAGGTCAGGAGATCGAGACCATCCTGGCCAACACGGTGAAACCCCGTCTCTACTAAAAAAATACAAAAAAAAAAAAAAAAAAACTAGCCGGGCGAGGTGGCGGGCACCTGTAGTCCCAGCTACTCAGGAGACTGAGGCAGGAGAATGGCGTGAACCCGGGAGGCGGAGCTTGCAGTGAGCTGAGATCCGGCCACTGCACTCCAGCCTGGGCGACAGAGCGAGACTCTGTCTCAAAAACAAAAAAAAAAAGTGTACTTGGGCAGTGGCCTCTCTCCTGGACACAGGGCGATGTTAAACTGCCGCTGGGCCGCTTCTGCCAATGTTTGCAACGCCCTCTGCTCGCCTGTGTGTGTGGGGTCCTACAGCCATCCCCCGGCAGTGCCCTCTGCTCGCCTGTGTGTGTGGGGGCATCCTACAGCCCTCCACCGGCAGTGCCCTCTGCTCGCCTGTGTGTGGGGGCATCCTACAGCCGTCCCCCTGGCTCTACCACTTGCTGCCAGCGACCTTCGAAGTGTCCACGTCTCTAAGGTCTGGACTCCAGTTGAAATGGTGGAGCCTCTGGGAGTCGTGAAGGCCGATCGGGGGCTCCCGAGGCAGCTGAGGGCTGGCGATGCGTCCGTTACTGATGAGGTGGGAACCTCTAGCTTCGAAGGCAGCGTGTCCTTGGCATTACCAGGATGCTCATCTCCGTAGCCCTCAGCTCAGGAATTTGTGTAGGAGATTTTTGGGCTTTTCTACACATTGTCGGGGTTGGATTCCACCTTCACATGAAATACTTATATTTTTGAGATGGAGTTTCACTCTTGTTGCCCAGGCTGGAGTGCAGTGTCTCGATCTCAGCTCACTGCATCCTCTACCTCCTGGGTTCAAGCAACTCTCCTGCCTCAGACTCCCGGGTAGCTGGGATTACAGGCGCCCGCCACCACACCCGGCTAATTTTTGTATTTTGGTAGAGATGGGGTTTCACCATTTTGGTCAGACTGGTCTCGAACCCCTGACCTCAGGTGATTCACCTGCCTCTGCCTCCCAAAGTGCTGGGATTACAGGCGTGAACCACCGTGCCTGGCCCACAGTGAAATATTTTTGAGTGTCACGTCTAAATGTCCTGAAACACACAGGACAGTCTTAATCTCTGCTCACAGAGCCTCCCAACAGCACTTCAATTGTTGCAAGTTTTCCTTCTGAGCGTTAAATGTGCATTTCTGGAGACTGGATGGACACGTCAGGTTTATCTTCCCAATGCTTTCAAAATGCCCCATCTTCACCCAGAAAACAGACGCCCCCACCCCCACCCCCACTGCCGCCGCCTGTCTGCATCAGGCAGTCCCTGCGGCTGGGCGTCTGATGGTCACGGCCGCAGCTCCCCTGCCGCCCTCATTCCCCGGCATTAGCCCCGGTTCCACCAGGTTCTGGAGTCTGCATTTCCCCTATGGGCCGTTATCTCCACCTGAAGGCCTCTGGCGTCCTGCAATTGCTGTCCCTGCCCCTGCATTTTCTCTGCTGAACCACCTGGCCTGGACTGTTCTCCTGACTAAACCCTACTGTATGTAACACATGGCTGGGTTTCCACAAGTGCTAAATAGCCATTGATAACAGACTTAATGGACACGGCCTTTAAGGAAATCCAATTAATATTGAAAAAGAAGGGGAAGAAAAAATTACCTACTCCCTGCTCATCTAGGGCTTATCCCAGCCCGTTGGGAGTAAATCCTCGAGCTATGAGACTGCAGCTTCCACTGAGTCCCTGGGGCTCACACGGCCCCTTTGTGATCTGGGATCAGAAACAAAGTAGAAGTTAAACTACAACTAGGAATAAAATCAGAATGGCTCTCAGAAAAGGCTGTTGATTCTAGTAAGTTTCATTTTGTTAACTGACGAGAAATCCACTTCTACCTGCAGGAGTTTACATCTCAAATTTTTTCATTTCTACCTAAAGTTAAATAGTGGCTAATACAGGGTTGGCTTTGGAACAGTGGAGTTGTTCTCCATGTTTTCCTGTGATTATTCCGTTCTCATTTAACTGGGAGTGGATGCATTAGATGGGGGTGAGGGCATGGCCCTACCAGGACCCTAGCTGCTTACCTGGATTCCACAGAAGTCCTGGTGTCAAGGATGGTGGAGCTGCTGCACCACAGACACTCAAGCATGGAAACAGGACTGACCAGGACAGCTTCACGGTGCCAAGACCAAAAGTGCCTTCCATCTCCGCTGATCGCAGCGTCCACCAGCCTGAGAACAGCTCTCCCAGTCCCACCTTCATCCCCCTCTGAGGTGAGTAGGGAGAGAAAGGACAGGGATGTGCATTGTAGGCGCTTGCAGAAGGCCGCTGCGTGGCCGCGTCCATCACCGTCCATTCCTCTCCGCTGCCTTTGCTTAGTCACATGGCCGCTGGATGTGTTTAGGAGACGGAGCGTCTCCACTGCCCACTGGGAGCTTCTGTTGTTAAGGCTGGAGAGTGCGTGCTGGGTGGCAACAGTCGACTACAGCTGACCATTTAACAAATGAGCTCTCAGTTCTCCCAGAGCTGCCTGGGTTTATGATTCAGATGACAAGATCCCTGTGACGGGCGAGAACCCGGCCATCCCTATAAGGCATGCATATACGTCAAACTTAAATTTATAGTTTATAAAAGTGCATAACAACTCGTTATTAAAGTCCTTCATGTATGGAGGCTCCGTAGCAAGGACTTATGTAATTACCTTTTTATGTATGTATGTATGTATGTATGTGTTTGTTTATTTTTGAGACAGGGTCTCTCTCCCCCAGGCTGGAGTGCAATGGCGCAATCTTGGCTCACTGCAGCCTTGACCTCCCAGGCTCAAGTGATCCTCCCTCCTCAAGGCATGTGCCACCACATCCAGCTCATTTTTAAAAATTTTTAGTACAGACAGTGTATCGCCATATTGCCCAGGCTGGTCTCCACCTCCTGGGCTCAAGCGATCCTCCTGCCTTGGCCTCCCAAGGTGCTGGGATGATAGGCGTGAGCCATTGTGCCCAGTCAGATAGATACTATGATTGTCCTCATTTTACCCATGAGGAACCTGAGGCACAGGGAAATGATTCACCCACAGTTACCCAGAGGCAGGCAGCAGACCGGACACCCACCCAGGTGGCAGCCCAGAGCCTGTGCTCTTGTCACCACACGATGGCACATGTTCATAAAGGGTCAAAACTGGGAGGCGCTGAGCACAGAGATCTGTCCTCACAGTACCTAGAAATCAAAAACAACAATGGCAGATTTCATTCTAACAAGGTACTCCTTATTCTTTTTTTTTAAACTTAGGCATATTTTAAGCATACAGTTTGATGAGTTTTTCTTCCCATTTATGAACCTTGTAGCCAAAACTTTGATGAGTTTTAACAAATATGTGCCTTTATTATCAACCCAGACGAGATAGAGTATTTCCTTCACAGGAGAAAGCTCCTCGTGCCCCTTTCCATTTAACCACCCCAGTTAGTCAGCTGCTGTTCTGAGTTCTCTCACCATAAGCTTTGCTGTTAAGACATAAATCACAGCTGGGCGGGGAGTCTCACGCCTGTAATCCCAGCACTTTGGGAGGCCGAGATGGGCAGATCACCCACGGTGGTGAGTTGGAGACCAGCCTGGCCAACATGGCAAAACCCTGTCTCTACTAAAAATACAAAAATTAGCTGGGCGTGGTGGTGCGCACCTATAATCCCAGCTACTCAGGAGGCTGAGGCAGGAGAATTGCTTTTACTGGTGTGGGTGGTAGGGTGCAGGTGAGCGGTGAGGTTTGCAGTGAGCCGAGATCACACCACTGCACTCCAGCCTGGGACACAGAGTGAGACTCCATCTCAAAAAAAAAAAAAAAAAAAAAAAAAAAATAAGACATAAATGGAATTATATAGTATGCACTCTTGAGTTTGGTTTCTTTGTCGTGGTGTACTTTTGAGACTCAGCCATGTCGTTCCTGAATAGTATATAACCATGTGATAATGATAGTATGTGCCTATGACAATTTCACAATCTATCTACCCACCTACTGACATACTTTTGGGGTGTTCCTAGTTTGAAGCACCATACTTTTTTTTTTTTGAGACAGAGTCTTGCTCTGTTGCCAGGCTGGAGTGCAGAGGTGCGATCTCAGCTTACTGCAACCTCTGCCTCCCTGGTTCAAGCGATTCTGTTGCCTCAGCCTCCTGAGTAGCCGCGGTTACAGGCGTGCGCCACTACACCCAGCAGTAGAGATGGAGTTTCACATGTTGGCCAGGATGGTCTCCATCTCTTGACCTTGTGATCCTCCTGCCTTGGCCTCCCAAAGTCAAGTGGCCTCCCAAAGTGCTGGGATTACAGGCGTGAGTCACCGCGCCCAGCCCTCTTGGGCCTCTTCTAAGGGAAGTATATAAGGCTCTGCCCCCTGACCTATCACCTCCCACAGGCCCCACATCCTAATACCATTACCTTGGGGGTTACGGTTTCAACATACGAACACTGGGGAGAGACACTCAGAATACAGCAGAGGTATACGTTTAACTTTGTAAGAAACTGCCTCACTATTTTCCAAAGTGGTTAACTCAGTGTTCGCTCTTGCCAGCAAAATTTGATATTGCCAATTTTTAAATTTTAGCCATTCTGGTGGATTTAAAGCAGCATCTCATCGTGGTTTAAATTTCCATTTCACCCATCTTCAAATGTACTGACCCTTTATTCTGTAGTGCCCAACCAACCATTAGTACCATCCAATGATATTTTTTAAGAGATGGGGTCTTGCTATGTTGGTCAGGCTGGCTTGGAGTGGCTATTCACAGGCGAGATCACGCTCACGGCAGCCTCGAACTCCCGAACTGAAACTACCCTCGCCCCTCACCCTCCAGAGTTGCTAGAACTACAGACCTGAGCCACCTTGCTCAGATCAATTATGTTTTTAACCAAGGATATCAATTATATTTTTCAGGTCTTTCATTTTCATTTCATAATATCGAAAGTAGGCGGGGTGCGGTGGCTCACGCCTGTAATCCCAGCACTTTGGGAGGCCAATCACTTGACGTCAGGAGTTCGAGACCAGCCTGGCCAACATGATGAAACCCCGTCTCTACTAAACATGCAAAAATTAGCCGGGCGGGGTGGCGGGCGCCTGTAATCCCAGCTACTTGGGAGGGAAGGCAGAAGAATCGCTTGAGCACAGGAGACGGAGGCTGCAGTGAGCAGAGATCGTGCCATTACACTCCAGCCTGGGCAACAGAGCAAGACTCCGCATCAAAAAAAAAAAAAAAAAAATCTAAATTGTATACAGGAAAATCCTCCTCCCTTTTTCGGGACAGGGTCTCCCAATTATGTTGGTGCAAAAGTAACTGCGGCTTTTACCATGACTTTCAAAATATTTGCCCAGGCTGGTCTCGAACTCCTGGGCCGAGGGGATCGTCCCGCCTCGCCTCCCAAGGCGCTGGGACTCCGGACGCAGCCGCCGCGCCCGGCAAAATCCAAGCTTTCGACTGCGCGTCAGGGTCGCTTGGTGAAGAAGCGGGAAGCTCCGGGGGCCTCCCCAGCGCCGCCCGTTCTGCGGGTTCGCAGGAAAGTGAGAAGCGCCTCCTCACTCCAGCTCTAGGACGGGGCGGCGGCCGCAAACGGTCCTGGGGCCCGGAGCTCACGAACCCGGTGGAGCCCGCTTCCTACTGGAAGAGGCGCAGCGCCCCGCGGAGGCCAGGCCCGGACCGGGGAGGCAGTAAACAAGCCCCGCCCCGGGCCCCGCCCACACATTACCCTCTCCGCGCCGCGCAGTTCTCAGGACCCCGCGCCGGGCTGCCCGCGCCCCGCCTGCCACGCCCGCCCGTCCGCGCGCCCGTCCCCGCCAGCTTGGGGTCCAGGGCCGGGGCCACCGCGGCGCCCTCGCCGGACCTTCGTGGGCGGGGCCGCCGCCCGTGTCCCCTGCGCCACCCCGGCCGCCTCTAGCGTGGCGCCGTCAGGCAGGGCGCGGGCAGCCCGGCGCGGGGCCCTGGAACGGGCGCGGCGCAGGGTGCGGGCTCCTACGCGGCTGCGGCCCGGGCTGCGGCGATGCTGTGGCCGCGGCTGGCGGCGGCCGAGTGGGCGGCGCTGGCCTGGGAGCTGCTGGGCGCCTCGGTGCTGCTGATCGCTGTGCGGTGGCTGGTGCGGCGGCTGGGCCCGCGGCCTGGGGGTCTCGGCCGCAGTGGGACCCCAGTCCCTCCGCCGCCCGCGGCCGCCGCCCCCGCCCCAGGTAAGGCCCAGGCGGTCGCTGGGCCCCCGCATCCCGGTCCCTTCCCCGCCCCGACGCCCTCCCCGGACCCCTGTCCTGGGCCGCGCCCCTCGAGCTCCCGGTGCCGGCAGCAGTTGGGCGAGGCCGCCGGGAGAAAGGCCATTCCGGCCGCGGAAAGGGCAGTTGCGGGGAACCTGGCTTCCCGGGGCGGGGGCGGCAGGGGCCACGCCGGGTTCGGGGATGAGAGCTTTCGGGGCTCGGGAGCGGCCTCCGGGGAAGGCGGGAGCCCGGCGGGGCGTTAGCGGAGAACCTTGCCGCGGTCGACGGAGACCTGGGGAGGGATGGCCCAAAGGAGGGCGGCGCGGCTAGGAAGCCCTGGGTCCCGGATGTGTTTGGAATGTGAAACCCCTGCGGTTACTGGTCTTTGAACATGAGGCAGAGACGGAAAAGGCATATGTGACTTAGGGGTTTGGGGCTGGAGGAAACGGGAGAAGGTGTCCATTTATTGCTTTGGGGTAGACTGTCGGGTCTGGGTGATGTGGAGAGCAGAGGTGGGTTTTGGTCGTTTTAAGTTTGAGGTAACTGATACTGTGAACTGTGTCTTTCACCTCCATCCGCTTTTCATGGCATACAACTCCTGAAATCCCGGGGACCTCCAATGTGATGTCTTTTGTAGGCTGAGTGGACTGGTGGCCGGCAGCCCTTAGGGAGCTTCTGGATGGGACTGGTCGCAGGAAAGACCAAGGCTGAGTTAGAGGTTCTGGGGACTTTCAGCCCCACCCGCAACCTCCGGGGAGGGGAGAGGGCTGAAGGTTGAGCCGATCACCAATGCCTGTGAAATGAAGTTTCTGTAAAAACCCAGAAGGGCTGGAGCTTCCAGATAGTACGTGGGGATTCCTGGAGGCGGTGCCCAGAGAGGCCTTGAATTTCCAAGCCTTTCCCCCCGGTTTTACCTCACGCATCTCTTCACCTGTATTCTTTGTAATCTTTATCCTATGCTGGTAAATGTAAGTAAAACATGTCTCTGAGTTCGGGAGCCACTCTAGCAAATTAACACGACCTGAGGAGGTTACCCAGTTACACCCAGTCGGTCCGAAGCGCAGGTCAAACAACCTGGGCACTGAAGTGGGGGGCAGTCTTGTGGGTCTGAGCCCTTAACCTGTGGGGTCTGCTGGTATGTCCAGGAAGATGCTGTCAGAATAGATGACTGAGTTAGGATGGAACTGCACAGACGACACCCAGCCTGTGTCCACTGCAGAACTGATGACCTGCGTGATTCGTGGCGAGAAAACCCCCACATATCTGGCGTCTGAAGCATGTTGCGGGAGTCTAGTGGGAGAAACTGAGTTTGTTTTTACTCTAAATTGTCAGACTGTTAGTCACTGAGAAGCGGTGCTTTCTAATGATTGAGTGGGGATTCCTGTCGGATTGTGTGAGTTTGTGTCCTGGCCCTACCCGCTTTCTTTTTTTGTTTTTTTTTGAAATGAAGTCTTGCTCTGTCGCCCAGGCTGGAGTGCAGTGGCAGGATCTCTGCTCACTGGAAGCTCCGCCTCCCGGGTTCAAGCGATTTTCCTGCCCCAGCCTCCCGAGTAGCTGGGATTAAACGCAAATGCCAACAAGCCCGGCTAATTTTCTATTTTTGTTGCTGTTGTTGTTGTTTGTTTTTTGAGACGGAGTCTCGCTCTGTCGCCCAGGCTGGAGTACAGTGGCGTGATCTGGGCTCACTGCAAGCTCCATCTCCCGGGTTCACACCATTCTCCTGCCTCAGCCTCCCGAGTAGCTGGGATTACAGGTGTGAGCCATCGCGCCCGGCCCTACCACTTATTGCTGTGGGCTTAACCTCTCTGTTTTCAGCCTGCTCGTTTAGGAATAGGGATTATAGTAGTATCTAGTTAAGATTTTTTGGGAGTTGGGTAAGTGCAGCACTTGGTAGGTGTTAAGCACCTCTGAGTGCTCTGTTACCGTCGCCACCAGCATCATCCAAGCAGAGCTATGGACAAGGTGGCTGGGGGTGGTGTTTTGAGAGGGGCTGAAATAAAAAAAAATACTGGTATTACCACAAGTCAACAGAGATTTAGAGAAACTGGGTCTCGTGCATTGCGAGTGGGGATGGTAAGTGGTGCAGCTACTCTGGGAATCAGCCTGGCAGGTTTTTAGGAAGTTAAATCTGCTCTGCATTCCTGAGCTTTTATTAGAGAAATGAAAACGATTTTCACACAAAAACCCGTATTTGATGTTCATAGCGACTTTATTTGTAATTGCCAGAAACTGAAATAACTCAAATGTCCCTCTAGAGGTGGATGGTTAAACTTAAACATTGATACCCCGGGTGCCACTCCGCAGCAGTCCACTCTGCCACGTAGGTGGATCTCAAGGGCATTATGCTGACTAGGAAAAGCCAATCTCAAAAGTTGCATACTCGGCTGGGTGCCGTGTCTCACGCCTGTAATCCCAGCACTTTGGGAGGCCGAGGCAGGTGGATCACGAGGTCAGGAGTTCAAGATCAGCCTGGCCAATGTGGTGAGGCAGTCTCTACTAAAAATACAAAAAATTAGCTGGGCGTGGTGGCAGGTGCCTGTAGTTGCAGCTACTCGGAAGGCTGAGGCAGGAGAATTGCTTGAACCCGGGAGGTGGAGGTTGCAGTGAGCAGAGATCGTGCCATTGCACTCCAGCCTGGGTGACAGAGCAAGACTCTATCTCAAAAAAAAAAAAATTGTTAATGTAACATTACCCAGTCTTCAGACCTAGCTGTTCCTCACATCTTTACCCATCGATATGTCAAAGACCATGTGATCATACTGATACGTCCAATTTCAGTGCAACGTCTGTGGGTTTATTCTTTTTTTTTTTTTTTTTTTAAGATGGAGTCTCACTTTGTTGTCCAGGCCAAGGCTCACTACAACCTCTGCCTGCCCAGTTCAAGCGATTCTCCTGCTTGGCCTTCTGAGTAGCTGGGATGACAGGTGCACGCCACCACGCCTGGCTGATTTTTGTATTTTTAGTAGAGACGGGGTTTCACCATGTTGGCCAGGCTGGTCTCAAATTCCTGACCTCAAATGATCTACCCACCTTGGCCTCCCAAAGTGCTGGGATTACCGGCATAAGCCACCATGCCCGGGCCCCTGGGTTTATTCTAATACAAGAGTCAGGAAACTGATCCAAACTGGCCCCCATCTATTTTCCTAAGTATAGTAAAGTTTTATTGGAATACAACCATACCCTTTTGTTTGTGTATATCTGTGGCTGTTCTTTTTTTTTTTTTTTTGGAGACAGGGTCTTGCTCTGTTACCCAGGTTGGAGTGCAGTGGCACAAACAGGGCTCACTGCATCCTCAAACTCTTGGGCTTAATTTATCCTCCTGCCTCAGCTCCCCAAGTAGTTGGAAGCACAGGTGCACATCACCACACTCAGCTAATTTTTAAAGTTTTTGTAGAGAGGGTCTCGCCGCATTGCCCAGGCTGGTCTTGAACTCCTGGACTCAAGTGATCTTCCCGCCTCAGCCTCCCCAAGCGCTGGGATGACAGGTGTGAGCTGTCACACCCTGCCTGTGGCTGTTCTTGAGCACTTACACAGCCTTTGGCTCATAGAGTCTGAGGTGCTTACTCTCTTGCCCTTTACAGGAATCATTTGATGAAACCCTGTTATCACTCCCACTTTCCTTTCTGTCATTGAGAGTCCTGGCTCTCATCAGCCACCGTGTATTCAAATTATTTGCTTTGCCCTAGAGTCCACAGAAAATAGCTGTAGGTGTGCTAACTTATAGCATTGTGAAAACACCTACTGCTTAGAGGCTGTTCACACTGTAATGGCCACCGTTCTTTTTGTCTTTCTCCTTAGAGCACTTTAGTCACTCAGTTTTCCAAAGTTATGTGGGTTAGCTTCCTGTGTGTTACTCACTTGTAAACCAGTTAGGTTCGTTTCTCCTGGCTGGTATTCCATTTGGGTGTCCCCCATCTTTTTGTGTATTTACTTATTTGTTTCTTTTTTTTTTTTTTTGAGACGGAGTCTCGCTCTGTCGCCCAGGCTAGGGTGCAGTGGGGCGATCTCCGCTCACTGCAACCTCTGCCTCCTGGGTTCTAGTGATTCTTCTGCCTCAGGCTCCCAAGTAGCTGGTATTACAGGAGCCTGCCACCGCGCCTGGCTAATTTTTGTATTGTTTTTAGTAGAGACAGGGTTTCACCATCTTGGCCGGGCTGGTCTCGAACTGCTGACCTCGTGATCCACCCACCTTGGTCTCCCAAAGTGCTGCGATTACAGGTGTGAGCCACCTTGCCCGGCTTTACTTGTTTCTTGAGTATGTCAATCACGAACATGTTTTTAAAAGTCAGAACCCCATGGAAACTTAAATTCAGAAATATTACTCCCCCCTATCCTTTTATTTGTTGTTGAGACAGGGTCTGATTCTGTCGCCCAGGCTGGAGTGCAGGGGTGCCATCTCGGCTCACAGTGGCCTCCACCTCCCAGGCTCAAGTGATCCTCCTGCTTCAGCCCCCTGAGTAGCTGGGGCCATAGGCGTGCACCACTATGCTTGGGTAATTTTTTTTTGAGATGAGGTCTTGTCCCCTATGCTGGAGTACAGTGGTGCGATCTTGGCTCACTGCAACCTCCACCTCCCAAGTTCAAGCAATTCTCTTACCTCAGCCTCCCGAGTAGCTGGGATTACAGGCATGTGCCGCCACGCCCGGCTAATTTTTGTTTTTAGTAGAGACGAGATTTCATTGTGTTGGCCAGGCTGGTCTCGAATTCCTGAGGTGATCGGCCCGCCTTGGCCTCCGAAAATGCTGGGATTACAGGCATGAGCCACCGTGCCTGGACTTTTTTTTTTTTTTTTTTTTTAAGAATATAATGGGCTGGGCACGGTGGCTCATGCCTGTAATCCCAGCACTTTGGGAGGCCAAAGCAGGCGGATCACCTGAGGTCGGGAGTTCAAGACCAGCCTGACCAACATGGAGAAACCCTGTCTCTGCTAAAAATACAAAATTGACTGGGCATGGTGGCACATACCTGTAATCCTAGCTACTCAGGAGGCTGAGGCAGGAGAATCGCTTGAACCCGGGAGGTGGAGGTTGCAGTGAGCCGAGATTGCGCCATTGCACTCTAGCCTGCCTGGAGACATAGTGAGACTCCGTCTCAAAAAAAAAAAAAAAAAAAAAAAAAGGGCTCACGCCTGTAGTTCCAACACTTTGGGAGGCCAAGGCAGGCAGATCGCCTAAGGTCAGGAGTGCAAGACCGACCTGGCCAACATGGTGAAACCCCATCTCTACTAAAAATACAAAAATTAGCTCGGCGTGATGCCGGGCGCCTGTAATCCCAGCTGTTTGGGAGGCTGGGGCATGAGAATCGCTTGAACCCAAGAGGCGGAGGTTGCAGTGAGCTGAGATGGTGCCACTGCACTCCAGGCTGGGTGACAGAGCAAGACTCTGCCTCAAAAAAAAAAAAAAAAAAAAATGGTGGCATTATAGTAAGGAGAGAATTTGTATGAAAAGTGGAATCCTGCCCAGGAAAAAAGAAAGAAATTTTTTTTGTTTTTTTTTTTGATCTGGAGTCTCGCTCTTGTTGTCTAAGCTGGAGCGCTATCTCGGCTCACTGCAGCCTCCGCCTCCTGGGTTCATGCCATTCTCCTGCCTCAACCTCCCGAGTAGCTGGGATTACAGGTGTCTGCCACTGCACCCAGCTAATTTTTTGTATTTTTGGTAGAAATGGGGTTTCACCATGTTGACCAGGCTGGTTTCGAACTCCTGACCTCAGGTGATCCGCCCACCTCGGCCTCCCAAAGTGCTGGGATTATAGGCATGAGCCACTGCACCCAGCCAAGAAAAAAGTTTTTAGTGAAATAAACTGATGCCATTAAATAATGAACCCTGGTACCTGCTACCCAGCTTCAGCAGGTGTTAGTATTTTGTGACTGTATTTGATTTTTTTGTCTTGGGCCTAGGTGAAATGACAATGGATGCTGTGTTGGCTCGATTGAAACTTCTGAACCCAGATGACCTTAGAGAAGAAATCGTCAAAGCTGGATTGAAATGTGGACCCATTACGTCAACTACAAGGTTCATTTTTGAGAAAAAATTGGCTCAGGCTTTACTGGAGCAAGGAGGAAGTCTGCCTTCTTTCGACCACCATGAGGCAGGTGCCACAGCTCTCAGCCAAGACACACAAAGGATTTTGAAGTCAGCTGAAGGGAACCCAACTGATCAGGCTGGTTTTTCTGAAGACAGAGATTTTGGTTATAGTGTGGGCCTGAATCCTCCAGAAGAGGAAGCTGTGACATCTAAGACCTGCTCAGTGCCCCCCAGTGCCGTTGACACCTACGGAACTGGAGTGACTGCGTCTAAGGAACCGCCCTTGTACTATGGGGTGTGTCCAGTATATGAGGACGTCCCAGCGAGAAATGGTAATGGGGATGTGTGTAGGATTTCCTCACACAGATAGCATATGTGCAGAGGGCGGGATGACATATGAAAATGGAAAAGTACAGATAAAAACAGAAAAAATCCAGTCACCACCATCTCATCACCCCAGTTAACCGTTGTTAGTATTTGTATGTAGAACTTTCCTGAAATACTTGTGAGTCTGCGTGAGAACTGTTAGAATTGGTTAGGTAAATTGGGTTCTGTGAGATATGTTGGACTGAGATACTAATATTAGCTGGCTGCTGCTCTTGGTTAGGAGCTTTGTTGATTAGTCGCCTCCCCCTTTTTAAAATGCATTGTAACCTGCACAGCTTTTATGTTAATGCATGCAAATGGCCAATGAATGCATAAATTTTCAGCATCAAAGTTTTGTAATTTTATTTTATTATTTATTTAGTTATTTATTGTTTGAGACAGAGTCTCACTCTGTTGCCCAGGCCAGAGTGCAGTGGCGCAATCTTGGCTCACTGTAACCTCCGCCCTCTGAGTTCAAGTGATTCTCCTGCCTCAGCCTCGTGAGTAACTGGAATTACAGGCACCTGCCACCGCGCCTGGCTAATTTTTTGTATTTTCAGTAGGGACGGGGTTTCACCATCTTGGCCAGGCTGGTCTTGAACTCCTGACCTTGTGATCCACCTGCCTCGTCCTCCCAAAGTGCTAAGATTACAGGCGTGAGCCTCTGCCCCCAGCCATTTTATTTTTTTAATTTATTCATCTGAGACATGGTCTTACTCTGCCACCTAGGCTGCATTGCGGTGGTACAGTGACGGCTCGCTGCAGCCTCAACCTTTCTGGCTCAGGTGATCCTTCTGCCTCAGCCACTTGAGTAGCTGGGACCCAGGCATGCGCCACCACACCCAGCTGTTTTTGTATTTTTTTTTGTTTTTTTGAGACAGAGTCTCGCACTGTTGCCTGGGCTGGAGTGCAATAGCATGATCTCAGCTAACTGTAACTTCTGCGTCCCGGGTTCAAGTGATTCTCCTCCCTCAGCCTCCCAAGCAGCTGGGAACTGCAGGCACCTGCCACCACACCCAGCTAATTTTTGTATTTTTGGTAGAGACAGGGTTTCACCATTTTGGCCAAGCTGGTCTGGAACCCCTGACCTCGGGATCCGCCCACCTCGGGATCCGCCCACCTCGGGATCCACCCGCCTCGGCCTCCCAAAGTTCTGGGATTACAGGTGTTAGCCATTGTGCCCGGCCGATTTTTGTATTTTTTATAGAGAGAGGGTTTTGCCATGTTGCCCAGACTGCTCTCGAACTGCCCTCAAGCGATCCACCCACCTTGGTCTCCCAGCGTGCTGAGGTTACAGGCACATACCAGCACGCCTAGCTAATTGGGTTTTTTTTGATGTTTGGTTTTTTTTTTTTTTGAGTCTGGGTTCTGTCTCTTACCCAGGTTGGGGTGTAGTGATGTGATCTCAACAACTCATTGCAATGTCTGCCTACCAGGCTCAAGCACTTCTCCCACTTCAGCTTGGGATTGCTGGCATCACGGGCATGTGCCAGTGTGCAGTCATTCTTTTGTATTTTTGGTAGAGATGAGATTTCCCCACTTTGCCCAGGCTGGTCTCCAACTTCTGGGTTCAAGTGGTCCACGAGGCTCGGCCTCCTGAAGTGCTGGGATTATAGGCGTGAGCCACCTCGCCTGCGCACACCTAGGTAATTAATTATTATTATTATTTTTTTTTAAGAGAGTGGGTCTCGCTTTATTGCCCAGGCTGGTCTTGAACTCCTGGCTTCAAGCAATCCTCCCACATGAGCCTCCCAAAGTGCTGAGATTACAGGTGTGAGCCACTGTGCCCAGCCCAAGAATTGTAATTTTAAACAAGATTTAGCATTGGGAAAAAAAAAAAACCTCAATATTGACTGGAATGCCAGAAATTGCACACTGTCATTAGTATTGTTGTTACTGTGATATCATTTGTGGTGATACCTGTGAGTAGATAATTGGTTAAACACCGTGAATAGAATGGAATATTATTCTTCCATAAGATCTTTTTAAAGAATACTTAGTGGCCAGGCCAGTGGCTCACGCCTGTAATCCCAGCACTTTGGGAGGCTGAGGCAGTCAGATTACAAGATCAGGGGTTCGAGACCATCCTGACTGACATGGTGAAACCCCGTCTCTACTAAAAATACAAAAAATTAGCAGGGCGTGGTGACGGGCGCCTGTAGTCCCAGCTTCTCAGGAGGCTGAGGTTTCAATGAGCTGAGATTGTGCCACTGCATTCCAGTCTGGGCGACAGAGCTAGATTCCGTCTCAAAAAAAAAAAAAGAATAGTGACTCTGGGAAATGGTCATAGTGCAGTTTTTATTTTTGTCATTTATTATTTATTTATTTGTTTACTTATTTTTTGGTACAGAGTCTCGGTCTTTCACCAGGCTGGAGTGCAGTGGTGCGATCTTGGCTCACTCCAACCTCTGCCTTTTGGGTTCTAGTGATTTTCCTGCCTCAGCCTCCCGAGTCGCTGAGTGTGCCACCATGCCCGGCTAATTCTTATATTTTTAAAATAGAGACGGGGTTTTACCACATTGGCTAGGATGGTCTCTATATCTTGACCTCGTGATTCGCTTGCCTCGGCCTCCCAAAGTTCTGGGATTACAGATGTGAGCCACCGCGTCCGGCCTTATTTTTAATCTTTATTATTGTAAAGGTTGCTCGTTACAATCACTTATAATGTGTATGTTCTATAAGTGGCATCTAAAGTAAAAGCCAGATTCTCTCCTCTGGTCTCAGATCTCACTGCTGAGAAGTAACTACTTCGCTGCTTTTGTCATGATTGATCATGTTATTATTTATATACATGAACATTGTTTTTATTTTTAAGATGTTTTAGAACATGATATATAACATGTGTTTTTGAATGTAATATAAGTGCACCTTTTTTTTTTTTTTTTTGGAGACAGAGTCTCGCTCTGTCACCCAGGGTGGAGCACAGTGGCGCGATGTTGGCTCACTGCAAGCTCCGCCTCCCGGGTTCAAGCGATTCTTCTGCCTCAGCCTCCCAAGTAGCTGGGACTACAGGCGCCGCCACCACACCCGGCTATTTTTTGTATTTTTAGTAGAGACAGGGTTTTACCGTATTAGCCAGGATGGTCTCGATCTCCTGACCTCGTGATCCGCCTGTCTCGGCCTCCCAAAGTGCTGGGATTACAGGCGTGAGCCGCCATGCCTGGCCTGTTTTCATTTTTATAAAAACGAAAGTAGAAGTACAGAGTCACAAGGTAGACTTTGTTTTTCTTTTTTTCTTTCTTTTTTAATGAGATGGAGTTTTGTTCTTGTTGCCCAGGCTGGAATGCGGTGGCGCGATCTCGGCTCACTGCAACCTCCGCCTCCCGGGTTCAAGCAGTTCTCCTGCCTCAGCCTTCCGAGTAGCTGGGATTACAGGCGCCCGCCACCACGCCCGGCTGATTTTGTATTTTTAGTAGAGACGGGGTTTCTCCATGTTGGTCAGGCTGGTGTTGAGCTCCCAACCTCAGGTGATCCGTCCGCCTCAGCCTCCCAAAGTGCTGGGATTATAGGCGTGAGCCACTATGCCTGGACCATGGCCATTTTTATCTAGTAGTGGACAGTAACCATTCCTCTCTTACATTGCTCAGAAATTTTTGTCTCCTGGCTAATAGTTTGTATCTTATGTATTTACGATGGTCTCATACAAAACTTGATTGTGATAGTTCCACTACAGAGCTTTCATATTTTTATATAATCAGAATTATCTTGTTTTGGATGGTTTCTTGGCATGTTTAAAAAGGCATTCCCGGCCGGGCGCGGTGGCTCAAGCCTGTAATCCCAGCACTTTGGGAGGCCGAGACGGGTGGATCACGAGGTCAGGAGATCGAGACCATCCTGGGGGAACACGGTGAAACCCCGTCTCTATTAAAAATACAAAAAAACTAGCTGGGCGAGGTGGCAGGCGCCTGTAGTCCCAGCTACTCGGGAGGCTGAGGCAGGAGAATGGCGTGAACCCAGGAGGCGGAGCTTGCAGTGAGCTGAGATCCGGCCACTGCACTCCAGCCTGGGTAGAGCGAGACTCCGTCTCAAAAAAAAAAAAAAAAAAAAAGGCATTCCCAGCCGGGTACAGTGGCTCATGCCTGTAGTCCCAGCACTTTGGGAGGCTGAGGTGGGCGGATCACCAGAGGTCGGGAGGTCAACACCGGCCTGACCAACATGGAGAAACCCCGTCTCTACTAAAAATACAAAGTTAACCGGGCGTGGTGGCAGGTGCATTGTAATCCCAGCTACTCGGGAGGCTGAGGCAGGAGAATCGCTTGAACCCGGGAGACCGAGGTTGCAGAGAGCCAAGATTGCACCACTGCATTTGAGCTTGGGCAACAGAGCGAGACTCCGTCTCCAAAAAAAAAAAAAATAGGCGTTTCCCATTCAAAATTGTGTTTAAAGTTCTCTTTTGTTCTTGACTGACATCATTATAGTTTTTTTAATTTGTCTTTTAATAATTTTTATTTAGATCTTTATATGAAATTTAGTTTTTAGGATAGAATCTTGCCATATAGAATTACATATGTGAACATAATATGTATCATGTTACTCCCATGCATATATGCACACAATTGAGCTTGTTAACTGTGTTATTTTGGCTAGCTAAGGCCCTATTTCTTCAAGATTAAAGATCTGAACTAAGCCGGGCGACTGGGTAGCAGACATGGAAGCTGATGATGAAGCCCAGGGTGGACCAGGTGACAGCTGCTCCAGTCACTCATCTGATTTTCCTTTGTTACTTTTCCTACCCAGAAAGGATCCATGTTTATGAAAATAAAAAAGAAGCATTGCAAGCTGTCAAGATGATCAAAGGGTCCCGATTTAAAGCTTTTTCTACCAGGGAAGACGCTGAGAAATTTGCTAGAGGAATTTGTGATTATTTCCCTTCTCCAAGCAGAACGTCCTTACCACTTTCTCCTGTGAAAACAGCGCCGCTCTTTAGCAATGACGGGTTGAAAGGTAAATCATGCAGCAGTTCACATCTTGATGTTCCTGTCACGTGGATCCCACCCTGTTTTGTGCCTTCTTTCCTCGTATGTGGTAACTTGTTTTCTCCATGGGGGTAGAGTCGATGGCGTCTCAGTGGACCAGGAAGCCACGCTAGCTCTGATGCTGACATGCCAGTAATTAGCATCTTGAGTGGAGAAGCTGAAAAGAACGCTGTGGCTGCTTCCATCTGTCCCCACGTCTCTCCCTGCTGCTTGTTGGATTTTTTCTTTTCTTTTTGTAAAGAGACAGGGTCTTCTTGTTTTGCCAGCCTGGAGTGGAGTATGGTGCTATCATGGCCCACTGCAGCCTCAAACTCCTGGGCTCAAGCAATCCACCTGCTTTACCCTCCCAAATAGGGAGAGAAATAGGCGTGCGCCACCACACCCAGCTAATTTAAACTTTTTTTTTTTTTTTTTTTTTAGACGGAGTCTTGCTCTGTTGCCCAGGCTGGAGTGCAGTGGTGCGATCTCGGCTCACTGCAACCTCTGCCTCATGGGTTCAAGTGATTCTCCTGCCTCAGCCTCCCGAGTAGCTGGGATTACAGGTGCCCGCCACTGTGCCCAACTAATGTTTGTATTTTTAGTCACCATGTTGGCCAGGCTAGAATTTAAATTTTTTTATGGAGATAGGGTCTTGCCATGTTGCCGAGGCTGGTCGAATTGCTGGCATCAAGTGACCCTCCCGTCTCAGCCTCCCAAAGTGCTGGGATGACAGGCGTGAGCCACTGTGCCTTTTTGGATCCTGAGAACAGTCTCCTTCCCCACCTGAAGCTATACCTACTTCTAAGACTAGGGCATCTGCAAAAGTCAGGCTCATCTGTAGGAGATGTCCAGCCCGAAGTCTGCCTCCTCTCCACCTCCTAGCTCAGAACTCGGGTTTTGTGTGAAGAGGCTCTTCACAGTCAGTGTGAGGTAGAGCCTCTGCCTTTACCTTTCGTCTGGCCTCAGCTCCTGCTCCCTCTCCCAGCTCACAGTTGTCTGGGCTTCTCTGGCGGGTTGGTACTCCAGAGGAATGGCGCCCCCTCTCCCTCCAGTCATCTGCCTGTCCTCAGTCAGCCTTATACAGGTGCTTCCTGGATGGAAACCAGAGTGGCTTCTAACAGGTACAGATTTCCTTCTTTGCAATTTGTGAGAATTCCTCAGAAGGAAATCACTTTAAGACAGAAATCAGGCCGGGCGCGGTGGCTCAAGCCTGTAATCCCAGCACTTTGGGAGGCCGAGATGGGCGGATCACGAGGTCAGGAGATCAAGACCATCCTGGCTAACACGGTGAAACCCCGTCTCTACTAAAAAATACAAAAAACTAGCCGGGCGAGGTGGCGGGCGCCTGTAGTCCCAGCTACTCGGGAGGCTGAGGCAGGAGAATGGCATGAACCCGGGAGGCGGAGCCTGCAGTGAGCTGAGATCCGGCCACTGTACTCCAGCCTGGGTGGCAGAGCGAGACTCCGTCTCAAAAAAAAAAAAAAAAAAAAAAAAAAAAAGACAGAAATAATGCCGGGCACGGTGGCTGATGCCTGTAATTCCAGCACTTTGGGAGGCCAAGGTGGGTGGATCACTTGAGGTCAGGAGTTGGAGACCAGCGTAGCCTACATGGTGAAACCCTGCTTCTACCAAAAATATAAAAAACTGGCCAGGCGCAGTGACTCACACCTGTAATTCCAGCATTTGGGGAGGCTGACGTGGGTGGATAATCTCAGGTCAGGAGTTTCCGACTAGCCTGGCCAACATGGTGAAACCTTTCTCTACTAAAAATACAAAAATTAGCTGGCCGTGGTGGCAGGTGCCTGTAATCCCAGCTACTTGGGATGCTGAGGCAGGAGAATTGCTTGAAACCAGAAGGCGGAGGTTGCGGTGAGCCACGATCGCACCACTGCACTCCAGCCTGGGTGAAAGAGCAAAACTCTGTCCCCACAAAAAAATGAGCAGGGCGTGGCGGCTCCTTGATCCTGTGATCCTTTGCAGCCACTCCGTGCACATCGAAGGTCTTGTGTGATTGCTGGAAGTGTTCCCTTGCCCACAACTGCCGTCATTCCTCCTCCACCTACTGACCCAGCTTTCAGAGTTCACTGGCCGGGTGTGGTGACTCATGCTTGTAATTCCAACATTTTTGGGAGCTGAGGCAGAAGGATCCCTTGAAGCCAGGAGTTGGAGACCAGCCTGGGCAACATAGTGAGACCCCATCTTTAAAAATACATTTATATATACACGGATATAAGCCAGGCGTGGTGGCACACAACTGTAGTCCCAGCTACTTGGGGGGCTGAGATCACTGGAGCCCAGGAGGTTGAGGCTGCAGTGAGCTGTGATCGTGCCACTGCACTCCAGCCTGAGTGACAGAGCCAGACCCTGTCTCTGAAAAAACACAAAGTTCACCAAACTTGGCCTCATTCACAGAGCGTTTCCCAGCAAGCTTGTGGCAGAGTCTGGCTGCTCTCCTCCACTTGCTCTGCTCACAGGGGTGTGCTGGCTGCCGTTACATGCTGGGGCTGGTGGCCGCAGGCCCATCTCGTCGTTTCTCACCTGTGCCTCCCAGTTGGCCCAGAAGCCTGTGTGGAAAGCTCCTTATCCCTCATCATAGGGTGCATGAGTGACTTGGTGAAACTAATCTTTCTTAAATTCTGTCTCTTACTGACAGATGGTTTGTGCTTGTCTGAATCAGAAACAGTCAACAAAGAGCGAGCAAACAGCTATAAAAATCCCCGCACGCAGGACCTCACTGCCAAGCTTCGGAAAGCTGTGGAGAAGGGAGAGGAAGACACCTTTTCTGACCTCATCTGGAGCAACCCCCGGTATCTGATTGGCTCAGGGGACAACCCAACTATTGTGCAGGTAGGTGCCAACTATTGTGCAGGCAGGTGCACAGCCTGGCCGGGTTCCACTGGTAAGCGCCCGCCGTTCCATCGGTGGGTGCGCGCCTCGCTGGTTCCATCGGTGGTGCGCCGGCCTGGCCGTCTCCATCGGGTGGGTGCGCCGCCTGGCCGGTTCCATCGGTGGGTGCGCGCCTCGCTGGTTCCATCGGTGGGTGCGCCGGGCCTGGCCGTTCCATCGGGTGGGTGCGGTTCCATCGGGTGGTGCGGTTCCATCGGGTGGGTACGCGGCCTGGCCGGTTCCATCGGGTGGGTGCGGTTCCATCGGTGGTGCGCCGCCTGGCCGGTTCCATCGGGTAGGTGCGGTTCCATCGGTGGGTGCGCGGCCCGCCGCGTTCCATCGGGTGGGTGCGCCGCCTCGCTGGTTCCATCGGGTGGGTGCGCCGCCTGGCCGTTCCATCGGGTGGGTGCGCGCCTGGCCGGGTTCCATCGGGTGGGTGCGCCGCCTCGGTTCCATCGTGGTGCGCTGCCTGGCTGTTCCATCGGGTGGGTGCGGTTCCATCGGTGGGTGCGGTTCCATCGGTGGGCACGCCTGGCCGGGTTCCATCGGGTGGGTGCGGTCTCCATCGGGTGGTGCGCTGCCTGGCCGGTTCCATCGGGCAGGTGCGGTTCCATCGGGTGGGTGTGCGGCCTGGCTAACCGCATCGGTGGTGCGCCTGCATGGTCCCATCGGTGGGTGCGCGGCCTGGCCGGTTCCATCGGTAAGGTCGGCCGGGTCTCCATCGCGGGTGCCTGGCCGGTTCCATCGGGTAGGTGCGTGTTCCATCGGTGGGTGTGCGGCCTGGCGGGTTCCATCGGTGGTGCGCCGCCTGGCCGGGTTCCATCGTGGGTGCCGCCTGGCCGGGTTCCATCGGTGGGTGCGCCGGCCTGGCCGGTTCCATCGGGTAGGTGCGGTTCCATCGGGTGGGTGCGGCCTGGCTGGTTCCATCGGGTGGGTGCGCCTGGCCGGGTTCCATCGGGTGGGTGCGGTTCCACCGGTGGGTGCGCCGCCTGGCCGGTTCCATCGGGCAGGTGTGTCTCCATCGCGGTGCGCGTCTGGCCGTTCCATCGGGTGGGTGCGCGTCTCGCCGGTTCCATCGGGTGGTGCGCGTCTGGCCGGTTCCATCGGGTGGGTGCGCGGCCTGGCCGGTTCCATCGGGTGGGTGCGCGGCCTGGCCGGTTCCATCGGGTGGGTGTGCGGCCTGGCCGGTTCCATCGCAGCACTCGCGACAGGCATGTCCACGTGTCCCAGATGGAGCTCAGAGCATGCGCGTCTCTTTCAGGAGGGGTGCAGGTACAACGTGATGCATGTTGCTGCCAAAGAGAACCAGGCTTCCATCTGCCAGCTGACTCTGGATGTCCTGGAGAACCCCGACTTCATGAGGCTGATGTACCCCGATGACGATGAGGCCATGCTGCAGAAGCGCATCCGCTACGTGGTTGACCTGTATCTGAACACCCCCGACAAGATGGTGCGTGCCCACCCTCCACTGACGCTTTCTTTTTTTAATTGTCTAAAATTTCTTCCCCAGAAGAATGCTTTATTGACCAGTTACTCGTTGGTGTAATAACTTTGGGGAAAAGACACATCAGTTACACCCCTGCAGCCTGCCTTGTCACCACGTCCCACGGGACAAAGGGCACCGAGTGCTGGGCTTCCCTAGCCCCGGCATCTTTGTCGTGTGTGCAGTGCTGTCCCCAAGGGTGTCTGAACTGTTGGGGACACGGTTGTCGGAGGACATTTGCTCTACTGAACAGGATACCTTGAGCTGAGCAGCCTTTCTCCCCCTGGGAGTGGCAGAGCTGGGCACACCACAGGCAGGCCCTCAGGTCCTGCCAAGAGCCACTGAGGCACAGAGCTGCCCCTGCAGACCATGGCGCCTAACACGCAGGACTGTGTGAGAAAGAGACTGCTGGGGTGTGACTGCTTAGAAATAGGAACGATCTTCCTCGCTCTTGAGAAAAGGCGACAGCAGTCCTGGCCGATGCCCACACCCCACCCTCCACCTGACCTGTGGGATTGTTTCATCCCAAGTGCAGCAAGCAGGCGAGTTGGAGTCACTGATGAGTGCCCCCCGGGCTAGGCCCATGCAAGGCAGCACTGTGAAGGGGGCACAGCTCTTCTAAAGGGTGCTAAAGATAGGCTTTTCCTTCTCTTGGCCCCTCCCACCCCCAGGAGCCCAAGAGTCCTTCAGGGCAGAGTAGGGAGCCAGGGGAGCTGCTCTGCTTGAGAAGGGAAGCAAGTTTTATACACTGGGATGAAGTGTATTAGTCAAATCAACACCCCAACTGGAACAAGCGGTCACGCAGGCCGGGTGTAAAATCCCACACGGTGCTCACAGCTGTTAAGCAACCCTTATTTATGTATTTATCATAAACAAAGCATAAGGCAATGTGAGGCTTGAATTTGAGCTTGAGTCTGAACAAATAATATTCTCTCATTAGGAGGCTTAAGCTGCTTTGCCTAATTTCAATTTTTGAAAAGTCCATTGCTTAAAAAAACGAATTTGCTTTTCGTTAAAGCTAGATTAGTGCAACAATTAAGCAGTTGTTGATAATCAGTTTACTTTCTGGGGGGTCTCAGAAAATGGACAGTTTTCTTGTTCAACATTTCAAGATAAGAAGCCCGTGGAACAGATAGGGTTTTCTGGGCGACTGCACTCCTTCTGCGAGGTAGGGAAGGAGGCGGCCAGAAGCGCCACTTCTGCGTGCAGCTCTTCAATCCTTCAACATTCTGACGGGCTAACCTTATTTTTTTTTTTCTTTTTTCTTGAGTCAGAGTCTTGCTCTGCCTCCCAGGCTGGAGTGCAGTGGCACAATCTCGGCTCACTGCAAGCTCCTCCTCCCGGGTTCAACCGAGTCTCCTGCCTCAGCCTCTTGAGTAGCTGGGACTACGGGCACCTGCCACCATGCCTGGCAAATTTTTTTTGTATTTTTAGTAGAGACGGGGTTTCACCGTGTTAGCCAGGATGGTCTCAATCTCCTGACCTCGTGATCCGCCCGCCTCGGGCTCCCAAAGTGCTAGGATTACAGGTGTGAGCCACCGCACCCAGCCACTAACATGATTCTTAAAGGCTTTGGCTCAGTGTTTCAAATCCTCCGCCCTGTCCACTTCCTGTACCCCTAGGAAGGACAGCACAGTTATCTGTTTCAACTACAAACTTTAGTGTAAAACTGGGTACACGACTGTTTAAATTCATGTGGATGGCCTCCCAGCACTTAGGGAGGCTGAGGTGGGCAGATCGCTTGAGCCCAGGAGTTTGAGACCAGCCTGGGCAACATGGCAAAACTCTGTCTCTACAAAAAATTTTAAAAAACAAATTAGCCAGGGGTGGTGGCACATGCCTGTAGCCCCAGCTACTCAGGAGGCTGAGGTGAGAGGATCCCCTGAGCCCAGGATGCAGAGGCTGCAATGAGCCGAGATGGCACTACTATACTGCAGTCTGGATGACAGAGCAAGACCCTGTCCCCACCACCGAAAGAGGCATGGTTTTCAGTGGTTGAACAATGCATAAGTAAGAATTCTTAAAGAATTGATGTATTTTTGTGAGGGAAAGCCCAGTGACAGCTTAGAGCCAGGAATTATAAACTCTTAGTAAAACCCGGGAGTTCGGAATGTCATGTTGTGGTGGGTAGAAGAGAGTGTCACAGAAGCATATTGTGGGGAGGCATAATTTTGTTATTTGGATAACACAGTGAATATGATATATTGAGCTGCAAAAAAAATTTTTTTTTGTGACGGCGTCTTGCTCTGTGCCCCAGGCTGGAGTGCAGTGGCACGATCTCAGCTCACTGCAACCTCTGCCTCCCGGGCTCAAGGGATGCTCCTGACTCAGCCTCCTGAGTAGTGGGACTGCTGGCACGCAGTACCACACCCGGCTGATTTTCGTACTTTTAGTAGAGACAGGGTTTCATCATATTTGCCCGGCTGGTCTTGAGCTCCTGACCTCAAGTGGTCCGTCCGTGTTGGCCTCCCAAAGTGTTGGGATTACAGGCGTGAGCCATTGCGCCCGACTGAGCTGCAAAATTGAAAAGCAAGAATAATTTTTAAATCAACAAGAGAGAAAAGGGGGAGTGTTGACATTTTGTCAGGCCAGCAAAGTTATAGAGAGGGGTGAAAGTGAAAACAGTGGCTACTGGAAAAGCGAATCGTGTACATGAACGAGGAGGGGGTAACGTCACAGTGCGCCAGTTATGCTGGGTGTGAGCAAACTGAGCAAGGAAATGAGGTTCGACTAGGACAGTCAGCAAGCGAGGGTTTGTAGCGATGATACAGCACTCTGTGCCCTGCAGAAAATACATGTTCTTATTTTCACGCAGTATTCACAGAAAATGTGCATGTGTGTGTCCAGAAAGAAAACTTAGTAAATTACTGAAATTAGGTATTTTAGGTTACATTTGTTTATTATAACCCCCGAAAGTAGGAATCGTTAAAGTGTGGACCAAAAATAACTACTGAGAAAGTACCAGGGTTTTTGGAGAGATCACATCCCAAGATTACGGTGTGTGAGAAGCAGGGCTGGAGAGAAGGTCAGCCAGAACTACAGGAGGTTACCCAGCAAGAACAGGCAGAAATCGGGGTGGTGAGGTTTGCCGAGGACAGAACAGGCAGAAGTCGGGGTGGTGAGGTTGCAGGGACAGACATGAGCAGAAGCTCGGGGTGGTGAGGTTTGCAGATGCAGATGGCAGTAAAGGTGGTGAGGTTTGCAGGACCAGACAGGCAGTGGGGTGGTGAGGTTTGCAAGGACAGAACAGGCAGAAATCGGGGTGGTGAGGTTTGCGAGGACAGAGACAGCAGGCAGAAGTCGGGGTGGTGAGGTTTGCAGGGACAAGACAGGTTGGAAAGGGCGTGAACAGGCAGAAGTCGGGGTGGTGAGGTTTGCCGAGGACAGAACAGGTTGGAAAGGGCCGTTGTGTAGTGGGGAGAGTGGTGGGCCGGAAGGAAGCCGGTCTGTTGCGGGTCCTTTCTGTGTAGACCATCTGCCCAGATGCACGGCAGAGGGCCTGGGAAGCGGCAGGGGGGCGGTCATGTTTCTGAAGCAGAGGACCCGGGACCTCAGTCCTGTAAAGTAGAATGTGGACCAAGAAAGGCCTGAGGGCCGGGTGCCGTGGCTCACGTCTGTAATCACAGCACTTTGGGAGGCTGAGGCGGGTGAATCACCTGAGGTCAAGAGTTTGAGACCAGCCTGGCCAGCATGGCAGAACCCTGTCTCTATTAAAAATACTAAAATTAGGGCCGGGCGCGGTGGCTCACGCCTGTAATCCCAGCACTTTGGGAGGCCGAGACAGGGGTATCACGAGGTCGGGAGATCGAGACCATCCTGGCTAACACGGTGAAACCCCGTCTCTACTAAAAATACAAAAAATTAGCCGAGTACGGTGGTGGGCACCTGCAGTCCCAGCTACTCGGGAGGCTGAGGCAGGAGAATGGTGTGAACCTGGGAGGCGGAGCTTGCAGTGAGCCAAGATCACGCCACCACACTCCAGCCTGGGTAACAGAGCGAGACTCCGTCTCAAAAAAAAAAAAAAAAAACTAAAATTATCCTCACCTGTAATCCCAGCTACTAGGGAGGCTGAGGCGGGAGAATCACTTGAACCTGGGAGGTGAAGGTTGCAATGAGCCGAGATTGCGCCCCTGCACTCCAACCTGGGTGACAAAGTAAGACTTCTTTATCTCCAAAAAAAAGAAAAGAAGAAGGGCCTGAGGGTTGGAGAACACAGAGCAATCATTGCACTGGAGGAGGGGCCAGCAAACTGCAGCCCAGGAGCCAGCTCAGCTGCCATCTGTGTGTGTAAATAAGGCTTTATTGGAACATAGCCACACTCATTTGTGGATTTGTCTGTGGCTGCTTTCCTGCTACAAGAGTGGAGTTGGGTAGCCGTGGCAGAGACAGGATGGCCTCAAAAGTCTATAATGCTTACTGTCTGGTCCTTGTCCAAGAAAGCTTACCGGCCCCTGGACAGAAGGATGGGGTGCAGGCAGCGTGGTAGTGTATTCAAACGTCCAGACCTTTTTGGGGTCGTGTGAGCGAGTCGTAAGGTTATTACCTCTAGTGGGTGATGGTGGGAGGGAGCTGGAGAAGGACATTTGCGGATGACCTAGGCTGTGTTGCCAAGGAGTGGAGGCGGGGTGTCAGTGCAGGCCGCAGGGTCCATGATGAGTTTTTGTTCCCTGTGCAGAAGCTTAGGGGTAGCCGCCATGGCATACGATGCCACCAGACACTTTTACAGCGAGAATCTTGGTAATCAGAGGTGACGTGAGGAGGCGTTTCTGGCTCTGCTAGGTGTAAATGAATTCTGTTTTCTACACGGTGCAGTGGAGCTGCCTGTAGGATGTCCAAGTGAGGTGCCTGGGAGGCAGTTGGCCCTTCAGGTCTTGGGCTCAGGGGCACTGTTGACCATGAGGCCTACTGATCTATAGGCCACTTTGAAGGTGACATTGAGACTGCCCAGAGCATAAGGAAGGATCAGAGGTGCAGCTGTGGGAGCTCCAGGCAGATGGCGTGGAGACCTGCGACCCCATGGGGGAGGGAGGGCGTGACGCAGCGTCACGGACAGAGACCTGGATCCCAGTCAGGGCGTGACGCAGCGTCATGGACGGAGACCTGGGTCCCAGTCAGGGCGTGACGCAGTGTCATGGACGGAGACCTGGGTTCCCAGTCAGGGCGTGACGCAGCATCGTCAGCAGTGAAAAGAGTTTTGTTTCCTGTGGTGTCACGTGCCACAGAGACTTTCCTTTGAGTACAGGCCAAATTCGTGGGCTTTGCTTTATTCCGATTGTGGTCCTCATCTGTGTATTTCATTTTCTGGGCATGTTTTACATGACATTGTAGCGGGTCCTGTACTGGTTAAAGCTACTGTTCACTGTTTATGGAGAATTTAAGCTCCTCCAGGGCCTGGGCACCCGGGTCAGTGTGCTGAGCTCAAGCCTTGGCATGAAGTGGGTATGTGCTAGAATGCCGGTTATTTTTCTGTTATAAAAGTAGTGTCTTATATGGCCTTTTTGTTTGTGAGTCTTTTTTTTAAAAAAAGTAGAAGCCGGGTGGGGTGACTCACGCCTGTAATCCCAGCACTTTGGGAGGCCAAGGCGGGTGGATCACCTGAGGTCAGGAGTTTGAGATCAGTCTGACCAACATGGTGAAACCCCGTCTCTACTAAAAAAAAAAAAAAAATTGATGTGGTGGCAGGTGCCTGTAGTCCCAGCTACTGGGGAGCCTGAGGCAGCAGAATCGCTTAAACCCAGGAGGCAGAGATTGCAGTGAGCCAAGATCACGCCAGTGCACTCCAGCCTGGGCAACAGAGTGAGACTTTGTCTCAAAAAATAAAATAAATAAATAAATGTATAAATATCTATTTTCATCTTAGAGCAACCTTATGAGACACGTGTGAATAATTGTGCTTCCTCTGCACCTTTTTTCAGGGCTATGACACACCGTTGCATTTTGCTTGTAAGTTTGGAAGTGCAGATGTAGTCAACGTGCTTTCGTCACACCATTTGATTGTAAAAAACCCAAGGAATAAATATGATAAAACACCTGAAGATGTAAGTACTTATTAAAATGCAGTTACTATCTGGAGTTAGAAATGAAAATACATAAATTGACAGTCTGTTATCACAGGCACAGGGAAGCCACAGGGAGCTCTGTATGAGTGTGTTTGCCTTATGGGACATGTTAGAATCCTGGCTGTTGGGTCAGATGCACTTTGTGAAGATGATGCATCTGTAGAACCAGGAGGGAAGGAACTGACCCAGTTTGCTGATTTTATTTTCCTAAAACTGGCAGTCAGTTGCTTTGAACAGCTCACAGTCTTTTATCAAGTTCCCTTTCTGAACACGTCAGTTGACCAGAGTCAAAGAGAACAGAGGTAATGATGGTGGTGGTGATGGTGATAGTGATGATGGTGATTATGAGAATGATGGTGGGGATGGCGATTATGGTGGTGGTGGTGATTGTGGTGGTGATGGTGGTGGTGATGGTGATGACGGTGGTAGTGAGAATGATGGTGATGGTGGTGGTGATGGGGATGGCGGTGAGGATGTGATGGTTGTGGTGGTGGTGGTGCTGGTGAGAATGATGGTGGTGGTGATGATGGTCTATGGTAGGGAATGATGGTGGTGGTGATGATGGTGCTAGTGAGAATGATGGTGGTGGTATTAGTGGTGCTGGTGAGAATGATGGTGGGGATGGTGATTGTGGTGGTGGTGGTGGTGATGGTGATGGTGATGTGGGTGGTAGTGAGAATGATAGTAGTGGTGGGCGGTGGTGATGGGGATGGCAGTGAGGATGTGGTGGTTGTGGTGGTGAGTGATTATGGTGGTGATGGTGGTGATGGGGATGGCAGTGAGGATGTGATGGTTGTGATGGTAATGATTATGGTGGTGATGGTGAATGGTGGTGGTAGTGAGGAAGTGATGGTGGTGGTGATGGGGATGGCAGTGAGGATGTGATGGTTGTGATGGTAATGATTATGGTGGTGATGGTGATGGTGGTGGTAGTGAGAATGATGGTGGTGATGGTGAAGATGGTAATGGTGGTGATGATGGTAGTGGTGAGGATTGTGGGAATGGTGACGGTGAGGATGATGGTGGTGGTGATGGTGATGGTGCTGATTATGGTGTGATGGTGGTGATGGTGATTATGGTGATGACGGTGGTAGTGAGAATGGTGGTGATGCTGGTGATGGTGAAGGTGGTGATGGTGGTAGTGGTGAGGATTGTGGGAATGGTGACAGTGAGGATGATGATGGTGGTGATGGTGATGAGGTGATGATGGTGATGGTTGTGGTGATGAGGATGACGACGGTGGTGAGGATGGTGATGAAGATAGTGATGGTGATGATGTGATGGTGAGGATGAAGATCGCAATGATGATGGTGGTGTTGGCAGAGGTGATGGTGATGGTGACGATGGTGGTGATGATGACGATGCTGAAAGCAGCTAAATTGTATTCAGCTCATTGTGCATCAGGCGCTGTGCTAAGCTTCTCACACATACGTATTCATCTGACCCAGAAAAGCGTGGTCATTCAGGCCTCATCATGACCCTGAGCTGCTGAGCAAAGTGCACCTTGCAGAGGGCAGAAGTACGTTCTGTGCCCGCAAAGTGCCAGACGTATCTGGACCTTCTGAGAACTGAAAGACAAGTTTGATGTTTCTGTGTATTACAGCTGTGAGCTGTCCACGGTCTAGCAGCCCTTTAGAAATAAAAGCTGTAAGAATCTTCTGGTGGCAGTGGCCTCTCCTACACCCTCTCTGTAACTGCTGTTATTGCATAAGCAATACATCCACTTGCCATAGAAAATTTAAAATACTGCTTGACCAAAAAGAATAAAATTCACCAGAAAATTCTACAACTGAGAAATTGCCATTATTTTGCATATGTATGATTTAATGTGTGTGTGTGTGTGTGAGAATATCTGTACTTATTCAACATGAGAATGGCATTTGGTAACTAAAAACTCCTGGCATTTTATTTTAATTTTTAATTTTTATTTATTTATTTATTTTTTGAGACGGAGTCTCACTCTGTCTCCCAGGCTGGAGTGCAGTAGCACGATCTCGGCTTTCTGCAAGCTCCGCCTCCCAGGTTCACACCATTCTCCTGCCTCAGCCTCCCGAGTAGCAGGGACTACAGGCCCAACACACCTGGCTAATTTTTTGTATTTTTAGTAGAGACGGGGTTTCACCATGTTGACCAGGATGGTCTCGATCTCCTGACCTCGTGATCTGTCCGCCTCTGCCTCCCAAAGTGCTGGGATTACAGGTGTGAGCCACCGCACCCGGCCTAACTCCTGGCATTTTAAAAAGCATTTGACTTTTTAAAGCTTAGAATCCGGTACAGACTCAAAAATGTGGTTGTTTTCCTAGTTTTAGTCAGTTTCTCTCACAGGCTGGCTCCTTTCCTTCCTTTTATTTGAAGGTTGTTGGTTTTTCTGTAGTTTCTAGCACAAGTTTGTATTTTGCTGTAGTTCTCCAAGGCTGAGAAATTTGATTTCTGTAGTGGAAAAATAGAACGTTCTTGTTCCGTGTTAGTTAGGAGCTCCACCTTGACCTAGCCTCACAACAAAAAGCTTATGTATGATGAGGCTTCTTGTAAGTGAAACTCAGACACCTGAGAAAGTTAGAAACATGTTCACGTGCTCCTGCTTTTACTTGACGGTGTGCTTGTATGTTTTCCTCTCCTTGCAGACAGTTAGAAAATGCAGAATAGCACGAAGAAAAAGTAAATTTACCCATAATCCCAGAGGGTGTTCTCTTAGCTGTCCCCTTAGACTTTTAGAAAGACTACACTCTTCACACATTTTTTGATTGTGAGCTTTATTAAATCTTTAGCACTAAGATACTATTCTACTTTACTGACTTTAAAACTTACTTTTCTAAAATCATTGTAATGATAAGGAAATATTGCAATCAAATAAGATTTAGACACACTTTTTATTCAATAGGTGATTTGTGAAAGAAGCAAAAATAAATCTGTGGAACTGAAGGAGCGGATCAGAGAGTATTTAAAGGGTAAGATGGGGAGTTGGTGCCTGGATCGTGGGGTCTGCACCGGGAAGGGCGTTGGAGTGTTGGGGGAACACAGCAGAGCTTCGCTTTCCTTAGCCCCCGGGGCGTAAAGGGTAAGATGGGGAGTTGGTGCCTGGATCGTGGGGTCCGTGGTGGGAAGGGCGTTGGAGTGTTGGGGGAACAGAGCAGAGCTTTGCTTTTCTGAGCTCCCCGGGCGTGTGCCGGCTCCCCGCGGAAGCCTCTTCTCGGGATCATCCTTTCTTCTGAGCTCTCCCAGCTCACTTGCCCCCTCTTTTCCTATTATCCCTTCTCTGAAGTCTTGTATCTGTTCCTTGAGCTTTCTGTGAGAGAACTTTTTTGAGGTTGTGTGTCGCTGCCTGTTGCCCGTGGCCTCGCCCCTGGATCCACAGGTCTCTCCCATAGCAGCTTCATTGTGATGGCTTCTCTTCAGGTAGAGCCTGCAGTTGACAAAGAACAGCTCAGGGAGAGGCAGGGCCCAGAGCTCCTTGGTTGGGTGGCTGGCCTGGCTTTTGTGTGTCTGCCTGTGTTGGGATGGGGGTCGTCCCTGGGGTCGCCCCATCACTCTCTGCCTGTGTTGGGGTGGGGGTCGTCCCTGGGGTCACCCCGTCACTCTCTGCCTGTGTTGGGGTGGGGGTCACTCCCTGGGGTCGCCCCATCACTTTTTGCCTGTGTTGGGATGGGGGTCATCCCTGGGGTCACTCCCTGGGGTCGCCCCATCACTTTCTGCCTGTGTTGGGGTGGGGGTCACTCCCTGGGGTCGCCCCGTCACTTTCTGCCTGTGTTGGGGTGGGGGTCATCCATCCCTGGGATCACTCCCTGTGGTCACCCCGTCACCCTCTGCCTGTGTTGGGGTGGGGGTCATCCCTAGGGTCACTCCCTGGGGTCGCCCCGTCACTCTCTGCCTGTGTTGGGGTGGGGGTCGTCCCTGGGGTCGCCCTGTCACTCCTTTGATTCCGAAGCTGCCGCCTTCCTCCTTCTGCACCTCCTGGTGCACATCCAGCACGGCTCCTGCCTTGGCTCTGGGATGTTTCCTCCCCACTCGCCTCTGGGAGAGAGGCTTTACTTTCTGGACCGCCCTCCTGTAGTCAGCAGCTTCCAGTTGTTGGCCACTGTGCCTCGCGGTTTGTAGGTGCCAGGCGTGTGAAAATGGCTGGTTTCAGAGATGGCTTTTCCCTGCCGTCTTCCTCTGTTTTCGTGAATTTTGGAAGATGACACGTCTAGAAGCGCCTCTTCTTTGCTGTCTCAGCTAGAAGTCTGGAGCTTCTGCTTGCTGGTGAGATTGAAGCAGACGCTGAGGTCCTTTCGCCCTCCTGCCTGTTTTTCTCTGTCTCAGATTCCATTCCTGTGTAAAACTCTGTCTCCATTTAAAGCAGGGTCTGCAAATGACTGCTTTTAAAAATAAAATTGTGGCCGGGCGCGGTGGCTCACGCCTGTAATCCCAGCACTTTGGGAGGCTGAGGCGGGCGGATCACAAGGTCAGGAGATCAAGACCATCCTGGCTAACACGGTGAAACCCCGTCTCTACTAAAACTACAAAAAATTAGCCGGGCGTGGTGGCGGGCACCTGTGGTCCCAGCTACTCGGGAGGCTGAGGCAGGAGAATGGTGTGGGCCCGGGAGGCGGAGCTTGCAGTGAGCCGAGATCGCGCCACTGCACTCCAGCCTGGGCGACAGAGCGAGACTCTGCCTCAAAAAAAAAAAAAAAAAAAATTGTATTGGCACAAAGCTATGACCACCATTTGTACACTGTCCGGGTTCTTTCCCAGCACACAGTGACTTGTGGCCTACTGAGCCTAATTATTTACTGTCTGACCTTGTATGCAAGTTTACCAACCCCACTCTAAGGTATCAAGAGCCTCTGCTTGTCCCCTGATCTCTTCCCATCCTAAGTGTAATTTGTTAATTATACTTCTGCATGTGTAGCTGTGCACAGGACATGAATCCTGCATGCTGCTAGCGGTGAGAGTTCCTCCTCAGGGCCATTGAGGCCTCGCTCCAGAGGCCCAGCTGGAACTTTTGGAGGCCCTTGGAACACACGGCTGTGTTGCCAGAACATCCTGAAGAACTGAGAGTCTGCTCTGGATTTTCAAACCACACTGTCAGAAATGCTTTGCAACCCTGACATTAGGCATCACTTCACGATGGTATCGAGGAAGCACTTCTGTCTGAGAAGTCCTTGCCTATGTGTGATAGTAAAACACTGTTGCCTCTAAGATCTGCCCCAGCAGCTGTTTGCTGAGGAGAAGGCAGCACTGTGAGATCCATGTTCCTATGGGCTGAGCTACACAGCACCTCCAGAGTGCCTGCACCTCCTTCCTGGTCCTTCTGAGGCTCGTGCGAAGCCCAGGCATGGTCAGCGTCTGTGGTCACGCTGGGGCGTCGGTCACTAGCTTCACATGCCACAGAGCCTGCTGTAGGGCTGGCTGCGTCCTGCATCCCACCCTTCCTGCCACTCAGAGAGACCCACGCTTGTGTGAAGATGAGGGGCTCTAAAGTGTTATGAGGGACAAATAGGATCAGAAAGCCAGGCACAAAACCGTGCAGAGACCGTGAGTTCCATCTGTAGATATAAATTGTTAAAAGGGACTCAAATCAATATGCCAAAAAAGTAAACGTTAGTATTTTATGAGTAAATTATAGGTAAATTCTACCGTATACTTACCATGCACCGTATACTGTATATACTGTATGTCTTCTTTTCATGTACCACTAAAAGAGGGAAAAAACTGCCATTACCTGTAAAATGCCAACGTACATATGATGCATTCAAATATAAGGTATTAAAGTGTAAGATAGAGTATTTGAGTTACCCTAATTTTCAGTATGGAAAATTAGTACTCTTGAGTGGAAATTCTTCAGTACCTTCAGTACTCTTGAATGGAAATTATCGTACTTTTTCTTAACTTCCGTTTTAGGTTCGGGGTGCACATGCAGGTTTGTTATATCGGTAACTTGCATGTCACCGGGGTGTAGGGGGTGGATTATTTCACTAGGTGATCAGTGTAGGTTCGATCCTGTCCCTCCTCCTCCCTCCCTACACCCTCAAGCAGGCCCTGCTGACTGTTGTTCCTTCTTTGCGTCCATGTTTGGCTTCCTCTCATAAGCGAGAGCTGTGTTTGGTTTTGTTGCCTGTGTCAGTTCCCTTAGGGTCACAGCTCCAGCTCCATCCATGTGGCTGCAGAGGACGTGATCTTGTTCTTAATATCCTGTGGTCGATATGTACCACATTTTCTTTATCCAGTCGACTGTTGATGGGCATACAGCACTTTTACAATTAGAAAAAAATTAAAAGCATAAAAACTATGATAAGCGCCGGGCACAGTGGCTCATGCCTGTAATCCCAGCACTTTGGGAGGCCGAGGTGGGCAGATCACGAGGTCAGGAGATCGAGACCATCCTGACTAACGTGGTGAAACCCCGTCTCTACTAAAAATACAAAAAAATTAGCCAGGCGTGGTGGCGGTGCCTGTAGTCCCAGCTACTCGGGAGGCTGAGGCAGGAGAATGGCGTGAACCCGGGAGGCAGAGCTTGCAGCCAGCCGAGATCGCGCCACTGCACTCCAGCCTGGGTGACAGAGCGAGACTCCGTCTCCAAAAAAAAAAAAAAAAAAACTATAATAAGCCTTTAACATAAGAAATTTCCAGGCGTTCCTGAGCAGCGTGACTGACTGTAAACGAAGCCTCTTGAGTCTGGGTCTCCAGGGTCTGTGTTTGAAAGCAGGACGAGGTGGTGTGTGGCCTCCATGCAACCTACAGAACCTCATGACACTATCCTGTGTGACTTTACTGCACTGTCCCGTGGGACCTGAGCACACTGCTTTTCCTCGTGCTTTCCATACTTCACATCCAAGTGTCGTGTGATGCCAGATCTGTTGAGAGATGCGTATTCAGTGATGCAAACTGTAAACTAGAACAGAGGCAGGACTGAGAAGCGAGGAGGCCGGGCACGGCGGCCCACACCTGTGATAAAATACCACAGAGGCAGGACTGAGAAGCGAGGAGGCCGGGCACGGCAGCCCACACCTGTGATAAAATACCACAGAGGCAGAATTGAGAAGCGAGGAGGCCGGGCACGGCGGCCCACACCTGTAATCCCAGAACTTTTGGAGGTGGAGGTGGGATGATCGCTGGCATCCAGGCATTCGAGACCAGTCTGGGCAACAGAGCAAGACCCCATCTCTACAAAAAGTAAAAGATTAGCCAGGTGTGGTGGCACCTGTCGTCCCAGCCACTCAAGAGTATGAGGTGGGAGGATCACTGGAGCCTGGGAGTTGGAGGCTGCATAAGCCGTGATCATACCACAGCACTCCTGCCTGGGTGATGGAGACTGTCTGAAACTAAGAGGGGAAAAAAGGAGAGAAGGAATAAAATAAAACTTTTTTTTGTTTTTTGAAACAGATTCTCACTCTGTTGCTCAGGCTGGCGTGCAGTGGCGTGATCTCGGCTCACTGCAACTTCCACCTCCTGAGTTCAAGTGATTCTCTTGTCTCAGCCTCCTGAGTAGCTGGAATTACAGGCGTGTGCCACCACACCCAGCTAGTTTTTGTATTTTTAGTAGAGATGGTGTTTCATCATGTTGGCTAGGCTGGTCTTGAACTCCTGACCTCAAGTGATCCGTGCACCTCAGCCTCCCAAAGTGGTGGGATTACAGATGTGAACCACCGTACCTGGCTGGAATGAAATATAACTTTTTTTTTTTTTTTTTTTTTGAGACGGAGTCTGGCTCTGTCGCCCAGGCTGGAGTGCAGTGGCCGGATCTCAGCTCACTGCAAGCTCACGCCTCTCAGTTCGCCCTTCTCCTGCCTCAACTCCCGAGCGCTGAGACCCAGCGCCCGCCACCTCGCCCGGCACTATTTTTGTATTTTTGAGACGAGTCTTGCTCTGTCACCCAGGCTGGAGTGCAGTGGCCAGATCTCAGCTCACTGCAAGCTCCGCCTCCCGGGTTCACGCCATTCTCCTGCCTCAGCCTCCCGAGTAACTGGGACTACAGGCACCGCCACCTCGCCCGGCTAGTTTTTGTATTTTTAGTAGAGACGGGGTTTCACCGTGTTGGCCAGGATGGTCTCGATCTCCTGACCTCGTGATCCGCCCGTCTCGCTCTACAAAGTGCTGGGATTACAGGCTTGAGCCACCGCGCCCGGCCTTTTTGTATTTTTAGTAGAGACGGGGTTTCACCTTGTTAGCCAGGATGGTCGCGATCTCCTGACCTTGTGATCCGCCCGTCTCGGCCTCCCAAAGTGCTGGGATTACAGGCTTGAGCCACCACGCAATATAACTTATTTTTAAAATGTATTAAGCACCTACTGTGTGCTAATCTTATTCACTCAGGGGCTATTTTTTTGTATTTTTTTTTTTTTTTTGAGACGGAGTCTTGCTCTGTCACCCAGGCTGGAGTGCAGTGGCCAGATCTCAGCTCACTGCAAGCTCCGCCTCCCGGGTTCACGCCATTCTCCTGCCTCAGCCTCCCGAGTAGCTGGGACTACAGGCACCCGCCACCTCGCCCGGCTAGTTTTTTGTATTTTTTAGTAGAGACGGGGTTTCACCGTGTTAGCCAGGATGGTCTCGATCTCCTGACCTCGTGATCCGCCCGTCTCGGCCTCCCAAAGTGCTGGGATTACAGGCTTGAGCCACCGCGCCTGGCCTTTTTTGTATTTTTTAGTAGAGACGGGGTTTCACCGTGTTAGCCAGGATGGTCTCGATCTCCTGACCTTGTGATCCGCCCGTCTCGGCCTCCCAAAGTGCTGGGATTACAGGCTTGAGCCACCACGCAATATAACTTATTTTTAAAATGTATTAAGCACCTACTGTGTGCTAATCTTATTCACTCAGGTCTGACCCCTCAGTCCTTTAACTACCTGGGGCTTCCTTTTCTTTTCTTTCTTGTAGCAGTGGAGGAAAGTGAGGCTGGTTAAGTGAAGTGAGCTCTGAGACCTCATGTGACTTTGTTTCCATTGCATCCATTTGCATTAAGTGAAGGGAGCTCTGGCGCAAACCAGCCTGTGCCCTGTCCGTTGGATCCATTTGCAGAGGCCTTGGCAAGGGCTTGTGTGATCCCCATGATGATCACCCAGACCTGACCTGTGGAGCGGGCAGAAGCCTGCAGCCAGTTCTTGTCTCTTCCCTCAGGTCACTACTACGTGCCTCTCCTGAGAGCAGAAGACACTTCTTCTCCAGTCATTGGGGAGCTGTGGTCCCCAGACCAGACGGCTGAGGCCTCTCACGTCAGCCGCCATGGAGGCAGCCCCAGAGACCCAGTGCTGACCCTGAGAGCCTTCGCGGGGCCCCTGAGTCCGGCCAAGGTGAGCTGCTGTAGAAGCTTCTGGAAGCGGTGCCTGGCTGTCCCTATACTGCAGTTCTGAGTGTTCCAGCCTGTTGCCTTGTGCGTAGTCTCAGGGGCCATGTCCTGTGGAGCCCCAGGGTTGTCCTCATCTCAAACCATCCACCAGTGAGTGGTGGTGAGAACACTGGCCAGAGAAATGTGTGTTCTTGGCTCTGTGGCTTGCTCACCAGGGCCGATGTGCTGGGAGCCACATGTCTCAACAAAGCAGATATTCCCTGGGCCAGCCGCGTCCTGTGCGCTCGTCACCCTGTTCTTTCTGTGTCGATGGCCCATCTCAGGGCACCTTGCTGGTATAGCGAGGCTGCCCATTGTGACTAGGAAAGCTCCATCTGCACGTCCACCTGACCACATTTCCCCATGGCTGCAGCCCCCACTGGCTTCCTCTCAGATGAAATGCTCCAGGCCAGTCCCTCTCCTGGAAGCCTCAGCCCCCGGGTTCATCCCCGATGTTCGGAGAAATCCTTGATGATGGTGTTGGTGGGCCAAAGGTTGTACACATTTTTTTATTTATAATTGACAATTCAATTCTTTCTCCTATTGAAATATTTCACATACTGACTTGTACATATAATCCTGTGCTGAAAACTTTCTAAATAAGTTATGATGAAAATGGCTCCAGGCCGGGCGCGGTGGCTCACGCCTGTAATCCCAGCACTTTGGGAGGCTGAGGCGGGCAGATCACGAGGTCAGGAGATGGAGACCATCCTGGCTAACACGGTGAAACCCTGTCTCTACTAAAAATACAAAAAATTAGCCAGGCGAGGTGGTGGCGCCTGTAGTCCCAGCTACTCGGGAGGCTGAGGCAGGAGAATGGCGTGAACCCGGGAGACGGAGCTAGGAATGAGCCAAGATCACACCACTGCCCTCCAGCCTGGGCAACAGAGCGAGACTCTGTCTCAAAAGAAAAAAAAAGAAAATGGCTCCAAAATTAGGTGGCACCAGGTAGGATTAGGTCAGATCCATAAAGCATAAAGCCCTAGGAAGAGTGACTAAGAAAGATCAACGCTGGTTTCTTCTCCTGCGATGGGAGCAGTGTTAGATGTGTGTTGGTGTGGCAGCTCCACGCCGTCTGCTGTCCTCAGGGTGAGGCCTCACGCTTGGGCCCTCCCGGTTCTGAACCTCACAGCCCAGACTGGGCTGCAAAAACGGAGATCGCCTCCCCTCCCCCAGGACAGAGTGCAGCCATGCGGCCACTCAGCCATGCCACAGGTGGGCATGTGGCCCAGGGCTCTGCTAGTGAAGGGGAGAGAAGGAGGGGCGTCAGGAGACAGGCAGCTGCTGCGGCACGGCTCAAATGGCTCTTAAATTTCCCCAGCTGAGGGGCGCGGTGCCTGGCACGGCTCAAATGGCTCTTCAGGTTTCCGCGGCTGAGGGGCGTGGTGCCTGGCATGGCTCAATACATTTTTTTTTCTTCATAGGCAGAAGATTTTCGCAAACTCTGGAAAACTCCACCTCGAGAGAAAGCAGGCTTCCTTCACCACGTCAAGAAATCAGACCCAGAAAGAGGCTTTGAGAGAGTGGGAAGGTACTGAAAGGCTGAGCCGTGGCACCGTGGGGCACGCAGTTGGTCGTGTTTTCATTAATGACGGAAAATCAAATCACAGCTTCTAAGTACCGATTCCCAGGAAGCCTTTACTGGGAGACTTGGTTCTTTTCATGAAGGTCTAATTCCTTGTGGATGATGGACGCGCTGCAGTTGTTGTTGCAGAATTCTAGCTTAAGCCAGTTCCATCCCACACCTGGGGGATGTCTGCAGTGCCTTCTTTCCTTTTCTAGTTGGAGTTCCTTATTGATTCTGGGACATGTTTCTAAGGAGCCTTAATATTTTATAGAAGGTACCGCATAATGGTATGGATTCCTTGGGGAAAAGAAGTGCACAGCCACAAAGCTAAATTATGTTGTAATCAAAGCTTCGTGGTACTGTTTAGAATATTTTTGCAAAATATGTGCCCGTTGTCAGGTGTACAAGTGGAACCCAGAAAGGACCTCCAGGCTTTCGTGTGCCTGGCCATGACTAGAACCATGGGCAAGTTCACAGGGCTGTTCCATGATCATGAACACGTCCGTCTGTGGGAGTTGAACTGTGTGACCTGGGTTGCTGGCGTGAGGGTCTGTCGGGCTGAGGCCTCCTTCCTTCCTGCGGCCGGTTCACAGCTCGTGAGAGCTCTGCCGGGTCCTGCTTACCCTGTGAGGAGGAGTGCGGTTTCAGAAAATGCGAAGTGTGATTTTAGCCGCCAGTTAAGGATAAAGTAAAATTATAGCCATGATTGCAGACATTGCTCTGGTACTTGAAGCTTTAGTGACTTTTTTCTGTGTAGTTCTGAGTATTTTTTCTGTTGTCGTAATTGGTTAATTGTGTTTTATTTCTTACAGAGAGCTAGCTCATGAGCTGGGGTATCCCTGGGTTGAATACTGGGAATTTCTGGGCTGTTTTGTTGATCTGTCTTCCCAGGAAGGCCTGCAAAGACTAGAAGAATATCTTACACAGCAGGAAACAGGCAAAAAGGCTCAACAAGAAACAGGAGAAAGGGAAGCCTCCTGCCGAGATAAAGCCACCATGTCTGGTAAGCACCTGCAGGCGTGGCCGTGGCGGCTGGGACAGGTCCCCCCATGGCCGGGGTCTAAACACCTGCAGACGTGGCCATGGCAGCTGGGACGGGTCCCCCTGTGGCCGGGGTCTAAACACGTACAGACGTGGCCGTGGCAGCTGGGACGGGTCCCCCCATGGCCAGGGTCTAAACACCTGCAGGCGTGGCCATGGCAGCTGGGACGGGTCCCCCTGTGGCTGGGGTCTAAACGTGCAGACGTGGCCGTGGCAGCTGGGACGGGTCCCCCTGTGGCCGGGGTCTAAACACATGCAGGTGCAGCCGTGGCAGCTGGGACGGGTCCCCTGTGGCTGGGGTCTAAACACGTGCAGACGTGGCCGTGGCAGCTGGGACGGTCCCCCTGTGGCCGGGGTCTAAACACGTGCAGGTGCCGCCGTGGCAGCTGAGACGGGTACCCCCGTGGCTGGGGTCTAAACACCTGCAGGCGTGGCCATGGCAGCTGGGATGGGTCCCCCGTGGCCGGGGTCTAAACACGTGCAGACGTGGCCGTGGCACCTGGGACGGGCCCCCCGTGGCCGGGGTCTAAACACATGCAGGCGTGGCCATGGCAGCTGGGACGGGCCCCCCGTGGCCGGGGTCTAAGCACCCGCAGGTGTGGCCGTGGCATCTGGGATGGGCCCCCCGTGGCCGGGGTCTAAGCACGTGCAGGCGTGGCCATGGCAGCTGGGACGGGCCCCCCGTGGCCGGGGTCTGACAGGATACACACATCTGTTTCTCATTTCTGTCGGTGTTTTTAATGTAGAGGTCTGTCTGGTACTTTCCTTTAGGTTAATGTTTTTTGAGACGGAATCTTGCTTTGTCACCGAGGCTGGAGTGCAGTGGCACAATCTTGGCTTACTGCAAGCTCCACCTCCTGGGTTCAAGCGAGTCTTCTGCTTCAGCCTCCTGAGTAGCTGGGACTATAGGCGCCTGCCACCACACTCGGCTAATTTTCGTATTTTGTTTTAGTAGAGACGGGGTTTCACCATATTGACCAGGCTGGTCTTGAATTCCTGACCTCGGCCTCCCAGAGTGCTGGGAACGTTAATGTTAAATGGGGTGTGTGTTGGGGAGGATATTTGAAAAATAATGACATCGCTTTCAGCAGTATTGCTATTTCTGCTTGTTTTTTCATTACCTAAAATCTAATATGTTTCATTCTGTGCCATTTTCTCAAAACTCATAATAGCTGAACTCCACTGGCTGAGACTATGATATTTTAGATTTGGCATATTTTCAGGAAAAAGACAAAGAGGAGTGCACACCAGAATACCGGTGCATATCAGACACCGGGACGCTAAGCACTTCACGCGGTGCATATCAGACACCGGGATGCAAAGCGCTTCACGCGGTGCATTTCAGACACCGGGACACTAAGCGCTTCCCGCGGTGCATTTCAGACACCGGGATGCAAAGCGCTTCCAAAGCACGGATGCAGTGAATGGAAAGATCATGATGGAAGAGGTTAATCTACACAAAATCTAAAAGTGATTCATAAAATCATCAATGATGGCCAGGTGTGGCGGCTCACGCCTGTAATCCCAGCACTTTGGGAGGCCGAGGTGGGTGGATTGCTGAAGGCCAGGAGTTCGAAAGCAGCCTGAGCAACATAGTGAGACTCCGTCTCTATTTTTTAAAAAAACAAATTTACTAATAGAGATTTGAATCTGCTAAAATAAAAAAGCAGATATACAGTTTAAACTGTGTGAGTGTGTGTGCATAAGTGTGAGTGTGTGAGTGTGAGAGAGTGTGTGTGTGTGTGAGAGTGTGTGTGAGTGTGTGAGTGTGTGTGAGTGTGTGTGTGTAAGGTCAGAATAGAGCCATTAGCCCACAAGACACTTCATTTATAAAACAAACTCCCTGGAATGATAGAAAATGAAAATGAAAATGACTGACATACATTAAACTAAGAAGCAATGAATCTTGGAAAGTCACCTGTGACTCTCAACCATAGAACCATAGAAGTCAGTGCAGTGGTTATACGGGAAGCACTGAAATCTGACCTTGCTGTGCTGCAGCTGACGGTGGCACAGAACTCCCTTCTATGAAGTGGCCTCACTTCCTGTGTTGTCTTGTGACTATGTACATTTTAATTAATAACTATTACATAAAGTTGACTCATTTCCTAAGTAGCACGAGCCACAGCTCAAGTGTTCTGGACCCCCTTGTGGCCAGGGTCGTCATCGTGAACACCAAATGGGACATTTCTGTTGCCTATCGGACAGTGCTGCGCCCAGGGCTGCGCCCAGGAGCTCTTCTGTGTTATCTTCACAGCTAAAGCGCAGCAGTGCGACTTCATGGTGTTGTTCTGGACAATCTTCTGGGATCCCGTGGGGCTCTGTGACACTCGGAGCCCCTGGGGTTGCAGTAGATCAGAGCTGGAGTGAGGGCTGGAGGGCAGCTGGGGGTGCAGGGCGGTCATCTCACCCATCACCTGGGCTGCCCTTGGCCTTTCATTTCCCTTCCTTTGAAAGAAAAGAAGTCAGCCTGGCAGCTTTTTTTTTTCCCTCTTTCCCTGAAGTAGGGTCTCACTCTGTGGCACAGGCTGGGGGATCACAGCCCACTGCAGCCCCCACCTCCTGGGCTCAAACGATCCTCCCACTCGAGCCTCCCAAATAGCTGAGACTACAGGTGAGTGCCACCATGGCAGCTAATTTTTCTATAGAGAACGGGGTTTCGCTATGCTGCCCAGGCAGTCTTGAACTCCTGGGGTCCGGCGACCCCCCTGCCGTGGCCTCCCAGAGTGCTGGGATTGCAGGTGTGAGCTTCCGCGCCTGGCCCAGCAGCCTGATTGCATCTGCAGGGTCCTGTTTGCCCTTTTCCAGGGAGTCGTGTGGGTGGTTTTCCATTGTGAAATCTGATGAGTAGGATTTGAATGTAAGAGTTGCGGTTGCTGGGGTCATGGCGGTTGGTCACGGATGGAGCGGAGCAGCTCCATGGCTTCCTGTCATTCCTGTCACTGAAGGGCTCCTTGTCCTCCTTACAGGCAGCAACTCCATTTCCGTGAGGGCATTTCTAGATGAAGATGACATGAGCTTGGAAGAAATAAAAAATCGGCAAAATGCAGCTCGAAATAACAGCCCGCCTACAGTTGGTGCTTTTGGATACGCGAGGTGCAGCATCTTCCCCTTGGAGCAGGAGGCAGACCTCATAGAAGCCGCCGAGCCAGGCGGTCCACACAGCAGCAGAAATGGGCTCTGCCATCCTCTGAGTCACAGCAGGACCCTGGTGGACAAGAGACCAAAGGCGCCCCGTGGGGAGGAAGCCCATCTGCCACCTGTCTCCGATTTGACTGTTGAGTTTGATAAACTGAATTTGCAAAATGTAGGAAGTAGCGTTTCTAAGACACCAGATGAAAATACGAAAACTAAAGATAAGATCCTGACTTCAAGAATCGATGCAGTAGAAAGAGACTTGTTAGAGCCTCCTCCTCCCGCAGACCAGCTCGGGACGGGCCGCAGGACGGAAAGTGAAATGTCAGCCAGGATCGCTAAAATGTCCTTGAGTCCCAGCAGCCCCGGGCACGAGGGTCAGCTGGAGGTCACGAGGGAACCGGCCAGGCGGCTTTTCCTTTTTGGGTAGGCTTGTGTTGCCCTGTGCACGCCTGCGGTGCTGTTTCCGAACCTGCTCCTTTCCCACTCACGCTTGCTTGCTTCCTGTTTTTGAGATGGAGTCTCGCTGCATCGCCCAGGCTGGAGTGCAGTGGCGTGATATCGGTTCACTGTAACCTCCACCTCCCGGGTTCAAGTGATTCTCCTGCCTCAGCCTCCCAAGTAGCTGGGACTACAGGTGCCTGCCACCGCACCTGGCTGATTTTTCTTTCTTTTTTTTTTTTTTTTTTTTTTGAGACGGAGTCTCGCTCTGTCGCCCAGGCTGGAGTGCAGTGGCCGGATCTCAGCTCACTGCAAGCTCCGCCTCCCGAGTTTATGCCATTCTCCTGCCTCAGCCTCCTGAGTAGCTGGGACTACAGGCGCCCCGCCACCTCACCCGGTTAGTTTTTTGTATTTTTTTAGTAGAGACGGGGTTTCACTGTGTTAGCCAGGATAGTCTCGATCTCCTGACCTCATGATCTGCCCGTTTCGGCCTCCCAAAGTGCTGGGATTACAGGCTTGAGCCACTGCACCCGGCCTGATTTTTCTATTTTTAGTAGAGACGGGGTTTCGCCATGTTGGCCAGGCTGGTCTCGAACTCCTGACCCCGCGATCCACCTCCCTCGGCCTCCCAAAGTGCTGGGATTACAGGCGGGAGCCACTGTGCCGACCCCCACGCAAGCTTTCGTGTGGACTCACCGTGTGCTTTCAGTTCCTGTCTAGCTTCTAGACGTTCTTTCTGGGTCGTCTTCTGGTTGGACTGTGGGTGATCCTAGTGTTTGCTGTTATTTGCTAGGGATGTGCCTGCCACTGGTGTGAATGATCTCTTCTAAGAATTAAATTCTTTTAGGAAGAAAAGCCATCTTGGGGTCAGTCTCAGTCTAACGGGATAAATGTCCCTAACCTTCTGGTACTGAGCACTGAGGGTGCAAATATGCAAAACTGCATTTTAACAGTGGGTGGAGGCCAGGCGCGGTGGCTGAAGCCTGTAGTCCCAGCACTTTAGGAGGCCGTGGTGGGTGGATCACGAGGTCAGGAGTTCAAGACCAGCCTGGCCAAGATGGCGAAACTCCATCTCTACTAAAAATACAAAAAATTAGCCGGGGGTGGTGGCGGGCACCTGTAGTCCCAATTACTTGGGAGGCTGAGGCAGAGAATGAGCCGAGATGGCGCCACTGCACTCCAGCCTGGGCAACAGAGCGAGACTCCGTCTCAAAATAAAAAAAAAAATGTAGTGCTGTTTTAGAAGTCTTCGTGTTTTTACCAAAGATGTTTTTGCTTCTTGTATTGTGGTTTCTAGAGAGGAGCCGTCAAAACTCGATCAGGATGTTTTGGCTGCTCTTGAGTGTGCAGATGTCGACCCCCATCGGTTCCCGGCCGTGCACAGATGGAAGACTGCTGTCCTGTGCTACTCACCCTCGGACAGACAGAGGTACACAGGGCCTGGACAGCCTGTTATCCGCAGGGCAGCTGTTGGAAGCTGGCTTCTGCAGGGTCCAGTTCCAGTTCATGTGGAAGTATCAGTGGCTCTTCCTAACGCTGGCAGGCCCATCAGCCAGGCTGTGGGTTTGGGTGTTGTGGCTCTCTGCACACAGGACAGATCTCCAGTTGGGTGGAAAAGCCGAACGGGTCAGCTGCTGACAAGCTGAGGGCGAGAGGGGTGGAAGCAGCAGGGTTTCTACTCAGATCACACAGGATTCTCCTGGAAACCCCCATGAACTTGACTCTCCCAGTCGGTGCCAGGGTTCAGCAGTGCCTCTCTGCCCGGGTGCATGTGCCTGTGGTGCCAGGGTTCAGCAGTGCCTCTCTGCCCGGGTGCATGTGCCTGTGGTGCCAGGGTTCAGCAGTGCCTCTTCTCCGCCCGGGTGCATGTGCCTGTGGTGCCAGGGTTCAGCAGTGCCTCTCTGCCCGGGCGCGTGTGCCCGCGGTGCCAGGGTTCAGCAGTGCCTCTCCTCCTCCTCTTCGGCCAGGCCCATGGGCCCGCGGTGCCAGGGTTCAGCAGTGCCTCTCCTCTGCCCGGGCGCGTGTGCCAGTGCCCTCCTCCTCCTCTTCTGCCAGGCCCATGGGTCTGGGCGGTGCCAGGTTCAGCAAGTGCTCTCCTCTGCCTCAAGTGTGTGGCCCAAGGTGCCAGGGTTCAGCAGAGGCTTCTCCTCCTCCTCTTTCTGCCAGGCCTATGGGGCCCGCTGCTGTGCCCAGCAGTGCCTCCTCTGCCTCAAGCGCAGGTGCCCATGGTGTGCCAGGCCCGCGCCTCCTCTCCCCGAGCGTAGCCCACAGTGCCAGGCCCAGCAGGCCTCTTCCTCCTGGAGCATGTGTGCCCACGGAAAGAAGGTCCAGCAGTGCCTCTCCTCCTCAGCCGCAGTGCCTGCCAGTGCCAGGGTCCAGCAGTGCCTCTCTCCCCGAAGGTGTGCCCACGGTGCCAGGGGTTCAGTGCCTCCTCCACCCCGAGCGTGTGTGCCCACAGTGCCAGGTCCAGCAGTGCCTTCTCCTCCCGAGCGCAAGCCCACTGTGTGTGCCAGGGTTCAGCAGTGCCTCTCCTCTGCCCGGGCGCGTGTGCCCACGGTGCCAGGGTTCAGCAGTGCCTCTCCTCCCCCTGAGCGTGTACCCCCACGGTGCCAGGGTTCAGCAGTGCCTCTCTGCCCGGGCATATGTGCCCGCGGTGCCAGGGTTCAGCAGTGCCTCTCTGCCCGGGTGTGTGTGCCCACGGTGCCAGGGTTCAGCAGTGCCTCTCTGCCCGGGCGCATGTGCCTGAGTCCTGGGCCATTATTTTCCCACTCTCTGGCTGTTCATCTCCAGGCCTGCCCGTCTGCTAACAGTTCTTTCTTGCTTTCCGCAGTTGGCCCAGTCCCGCGGTGAAAGGAAAGTTCAAGTCTCGGCTGCCAGATCTCAGTGGCCCTCACAGCCACAGTCCGGGGAGAAACGGTGCAGCTGGGAGCAACCCCGCAAGGCCGGGCCCCGGCAGTCCTGGGCGCTACAGCCCCGCACACGGGAACCAGCTCCGCAGGATGGCGCGCCTGGCTGAGCTTGCCGCCCTGTAGGCTTAGTGCTGGGCTCTCGGTTGGTTCTTCAGTTTTTAAGAAGGAAGGGTCATATGTTTGTTGCTAAACTGTCACAAAGGAATATATTCTGATTAAATTATTATTAATCCTCACTTTGAGGGTGTGAGAATTTTAGAAGATTTAAATGTTTTATATAAAACTTAGATTTCTGATATTTTGGAAGTTAGAAGTTAATGAAAGCAAACTCAGATACCAACTTTCTGGAAAATGTCCATGTGGTGGTGGTGGACTTTTTAGGTGGCAGTTTCTAGGTCTGAAATGTGGCAGAGGAAAGGGTGCTGAGGCAGTTGCAGGCAGGCAGCCAGGTACTCACTACAGCACCCAACAAATGCTGTGGACAAGGAGGACTTGGCGGAGGCGTGAGCACTGATGTCCCCGCACTGCCTGCGCTCACCAAGATGAACTGTTTGCCGGTGGAGGCGTGAGCACCGATGTCCCCGCACTGCCTGCGCTCACCAAGATGAACTGTTTGCCGCCTTGTCTTTTCCTGGGCTGGGGCAGGGGGTGGCATGATGCTGGCAGAGTCCCTGTTGGTTCGCCCGTGGGTCTCATGGTTCAGACAGAGTGAGGTGGACGGCTGGGATCAGGGAGCCCGGAGTGCGCCTCAGACTCGCAGCAACCGTTATAATTTGGGTTGTTCGGAATATTTAAATTACTGATCGGAAGATAAAAATAGCTTTTCTCTGTGGGAAGTCTTGCAGCCCGTAGGAGCGGTGCCAGGAGCCATGCAGAGCTCAGCAGCAGTGGAGCCAAGGTGTTCCCTGTCTCCTCAGCACGCGAGCCTTCACTGCCTACTTCGTTCAGGTGCCAGTGTAGTAGTAATACAATCTGTAAATTGTTCTGTTCTGAAGTTTATTCTGAGGCTTTTTTGAGCATAAATGATTATACGATAAAGTTATCCTTTATTTTGGAACTCATTTCAGTGGGGATCTCCTTTATAAAGAGTGTTGCGTTCAGAGGTTTAAGTCCCATTTGGGTTCCTTGCCGTGTTGATTGTAGCCTTCACCTTGGCTTGAATGAAGGTCTGTGGTCAGAATGTGTGAGGAGCTGCCTAGGTGCTCAGGAGGTACTAACTGGAGGTCGGTTTCTTCCTGGGTGTTACGGGCACCTGCTCACACAGTTGTTACTCTGTGAACATTTCCAGTGTTTCATCCAAAATGAAAACCCACCAGTGCTTCTGCTAACTTCAGTGCCTTTTATAAAAATCACTTTTAAATTTCCTGAACTTGCTTTTTGAGAATATAGTGATAGTAAGTAGATACAAGATTGTTTTCGTTTGTAAAAATTCTGAATTGAAACCTTGTTTAAAAAAAAAAAAGGCTTATTTCTTTCATATGACGAGATAGGTGAGGAATACTGGAATCAAGATTTAAATGTTAAAATCTGATTTTGTTACACAGGGTGTCTTCATTTGTTTTGTAGCAGACAAGACCTAGGCACCAGACAACACATGCTCTTCTAAGCAGCAGCATTTTAAAAGGCATCTTGGTTCTCAAAAGAAATCAGAATATGGATATTCATAGTAATGATCTGTTTTCTCTAAAATCTTACCATATTGTCTGTATATGGTTGTAAATTCAAATAGAAAGTAAAAGGTTTTGGCCCTGGCTTTGTGTATAGACCACTGCTCCTGATTTCCCAGGTCTTAGGCCGCCTTTGACTGTTTCTCCGTTTGTTTGTGGGAGGCGATTCCAGACCCAACGAAGGCATTCTCGTGTGTCCCAGGGGGCTTTATGTCCTTCACAAAACACTTAATGAAATGCATTACTTCAGAACCACGTGGTGGTAATACTAAGCTTCTGGAAAGATCCCTCACCTGTGCCCAGGCACATGGCACTGTTTTGGTGGCACGGCTGTCAGCCTGGGCGCCCTCAGATTCGCTTGCTGGTTTTAGGCCCCTTTCTGGACTAAGTTGTGAAAGACTTTCTGGCGTCCGTTAAAGGAGCACAGATTTTCTTGTTGCTCTTGGCAAGTGGGAACCTTGGTGACATTAACAGTTGCTGTGTTGGCTTTGGTTGGAAAGTGCCCTGCTTCAGCGTGGTGGCAGCTGTGAGGAAGGCGCCCGGGGAGTCTGGTGCTCGTTTCTGGGGTAAAAGCAGCCATGGTGCTGCATACCAGCCGTGGGCATGCCAGCGGTGCCATGGCAGGGACCACAGCTGGGTCCTCCAGAGTCATCTGGATGTTTCCAGAAGCTTGCAGAGCTTTTCCAGGAAGGGCTGATGGCAGAACCCTGGTTGGGGCCTGGCTGTGCGTGCAGGGCGCAGGCGTCTGCTTGTCGTGGTTGGAAACCCTGTGACTGCTCCAGCTGCAGATTGCCCTGCCAATGCTCCTTCCTCAGCTGTCTCAAGAAAAGGCTTCGGGATAAATGTTGGCATGACGGCCCCTGGCAGCTGGCTGCCATTTGGTGGCATGCCATTCCCACCAGTCTCACTGAGGCTTCTTGTGTGCAGTTTTCACTTTGGCCAGAGTGAGGGTATCGTTACTAACATTTGAGAAGTCTTCAGTCTGTCTTCAGCCTGTCCCACACCGGGGGACAGTATCCATCATTGACGTCACTGGGCCCCTGTAACTGGCCCAGTCCAAAGCCCCCAGCCTTCCCCTCACACGGCTCCCTCCATGCGGGCGTTCACAACATGCACACTCGTGCGCCGAAGATCCCTGGGGTCTTCAGATCCCTCACTCCCCAGTCTCCTGCCTGCCCCTGCCTGCCTTCTCCCCAGCCATGCCTGCCCTGAGTCCAGCATTCAGAAATTAGACCCCCACCAGCAACCAGCCAAACCGGGAGCTGGCCTCACTTGGCTAATCTACGTCTGTCCCAAATGAAGAAGACTGGAAAAGGCCAAGTAAGAGCCACTTAAACAGCAGGTATTGTAGAAGGGAAAAGTCTACCAGGCACAGTGGCTCATGCGCTTTGGGAGGCCAAGGTGGGCGGATCACTGAGGCCAGGGAGCTCCAGACCAGTCTAGCCAGCATAGTGAAACCCATCTCTACTAAAAATGCAAAAATGAGCCAGGTGCAGTGATGCACGCCTGTAGAACGAGCCACTTGGGAGGCTGAGACATGAGAATCGCTTCAGCCTGGAAAGCAGAGGTTGTAGTGAGCCAAGATCATGGCACTGCACTCCAGCCTGGGTGACAGAGCAAGACTATGTCTCAAAAAAAAAGGTTTGCTGGGAATTTACTCTAGAAAAAGAAACTAAAAGTTATTTAAAGTTTCATATTCAAGAAACTTCGGTAATCATCTATGGCCATACTACCCTGAACACATCCAGAGTCTCTGATCTTGGCAGATAAGCAGGGCCTGGTTAGGACTTGGATTGGAGGCTGCCTGGGAATACCAAGGGCTGTAGACTTGAAAAACAAGAATACAGGTTATCATTGCCGTGTGCTCTTAAAGAATGAGTCACACACTGAATTTGTGGCTTAACTTTTCAAAATCCTTGACTTCAAATCTGACTTAAGCAGCATCATCAGGTTTTCTTTCCTTTTAGGTTTTTTTTTTTTTTTTTTTTTTTGCGTAAGCATTTCGAAGACTTCTGGGTCACTGGTTTCTTGTGATGCACTGAAAACTGCTCACGGTCTCCCTTCCGCTTCCCCCTTTAGACCTGGGAGTCTGTCCAGATCTTCACGTGGGTGGGACTCAGGTCTGTGATGTGAGTGACGGGAGTAGCCGCGGGCTGGGTGGGGGTCAGGGCCAGCTGATATGTGGTCATTCCACATTGCGATGAGCTTCTCCGCCCAGCAACCCTGTGCCTGCTCTGAGCACCGCCTTGGTGCCAGGCGTGCTGGCCCCGCTCCCACCTCCAAGCTTTCCCACTTTACAGAGGAGCCGGGGCCCCAAGCAAAACAAAGGCTTAGCCTGGCAGCGCCGCCCCGTCCCCAGAGGCCCCGCCTGGGACGCCTGTGCAGCTGACCGAGAGCATCCCGGACTCCTTCCCGGAGGCCCCGCCTGGGACTGTGGCGTGGGCGCCTGTGCAGCTGACTGAGAGCATCCCGGACTCCTTCCGCGAGACCCTTGCTCCTGTCTGAGGTCAAGCGTGAGCGTGCCTGGTATTTGTTTTTGAAGTTGGCGCAGCCCTGGCTTATCAAACTGTTTCTAGACAATGGCATTTGGTTGCTGTGGCTGTTGTCTCCACAGCCATTGGTCAGTCTTGCCATCCTGGTCAGGGATTCGGAGAGGGCCCAGGCCGCTGGCGGAAGTCCTCTGAGCAGGCAGCTGGTGTGACACAGGCAGAGGTGTCAAAACTATGGGGAGACGGGACCCTCTGCAAAGGGTTCTGGTGGCACCATCGTTTCTCACACTGCACAAGTTTCCTTTTTTTTCCTTTTTAGATGGTGTCTCGCTCCGTTGCCCAGGCTGGAGTGCAATGGCGTGATCTCGGCTCCCTGCAAGTTCTGCCTCCCGGGTTCAAGCGATTCTCCTGCCTCAGCTTCCCGAGTAGCTGGGATTACAGGCGCCCCCCACGCCTGGCTAATTTTTGTATTTTTAGTAGAGACGGGGTTTCACCATGTTGGTCAGGCTGGTCTTGAACTTCCACCTCATGATCTGCCCACCTTGGCCTCCCAAAGTGCTGGGATTACAGGTTTGAACCACCGTGACCGGCCGAAGTTTCCTGTTTTTAACACAGTCACTAGTCCTTTTAAGAAAAACAGTAAAATTTTATTATGCAATCATTTCCAAAGTAGACAGAGAAACAGATCAGATATCCCAATTGTATCGACTACAGAAAATAGTCACAACCACTTCATAGAAATTTTAGTTTTTCCTAAATTAACACAATATCTGGGTACACACAACACGTTTAAATGTTTTAATCCCCGGCCAGGTGCGGTGGCTCACGCCTGTAATCCCAGCACTTTGGGAGGCCGAGGCGGGCGGATCACGAGGTCAGGAGTTCGAGACCAGCCTGGCCAACGTGGTGAAACCCCATCTCTACTAAAAATACAAAAATTAGCCGGTCATGGTGGCGGGCGCCTGTAATCCCAGCTACTTGGGAGGCTGCGGCAGGAGAATCACTTGAACCCAGGAGGCCAGAGGTTGCAGTGAGCCAGGATCCCGCCACTGCACTCCAGCTTGGGCAATAAAAGTAAAACTCCATTTCAAAAAAAAAAAAAAAAAATTGCTTTAAGTCTCCCTTGGTTGCCCAGGCTGGAGGGTAGTGACACAAATCACAGCTCACTGCAGCCTCCAACTCCTGGGCCCAAGTAATCCACCCACCTCAGCCTCCCAAGTAGCTGGGACTATAGATGCCCACCACCACGCCCAGCTAACTTTTGTATTTTTAGTAGAGACAGGGTCTCGCTATGTTGCCTTGTCCAGGCTGGTCTTAAAACTCCTGGGCTCAAGAGATCCTCCCACCTTGGCCTCCCGAGTAGCTGGGAATACAGTGTGAGCCACTGTGCCCATCCAGAAAATCTTTAATCGACAAATATTTAAATGACAAGAGGGTTTTAAGAAATTAAAAGGATGTATGAGGTGAAGTGAGTTGTGAACAGAACCTGGGTGCCCTCATCCGTGTGCCTCAGTCACCTTCGTGCCTGACTGGCTTTGCCAACGGAGCATGGACCCTCGGCACGGGTCAGCTGCGGCTGCAAACGTGGTGGTCTGGGTCAGGCCTCATTCAGGTCCCCACAACAGGCCTGACTTCTGCATGAGAGGTCTTCGCCTTAAACCCCACACCATCCTGGGGGTTCCTTGGTCAGGTATGAAACCCTGTATAGAAGTCAGGCTGTCTGATCCCAACTCTCCCCTTCTCAGCCTGGCCACAAGTCACTCGCCAGATGCAGCATTGTAGGTTTCTACTTTTCCACCTGTCTCCTCGGGAACAAAACGTAAGTGTGTGCGGCCTCTGCAGGGAGGACAGAGGGAAGGAGAGGCCAGAGCCACGCGGTGCCCTCACGACCGGGTGATCTTGTCGGGAGGCATGAACCCCGTGTCCCCGAGGGTCCTGAGCGCAACTCGGCCATTGGGTCGGATCACCAGGTGGGTGATGCTGCCGTTGTTAAGGGATAGCCGGAGCCAGCCTTCGGGAGGGAACTGCAGCGCTCTGGGGAGAGACGGGGGGAGAGAGAGAGAGAGAGAGCGAGCACGTTAGAGCCGGGGGCTCTGTCCTTAAAACAGGCTGGGCTGGGCTAGGCCGGGTGTGGTGGCTCACGCCTGTAACCCCAGCACTTTGGGAGTCTGAGGTGGGCAGATCAGGAGGTCAAGAGATCGAGACCATACTGGCCAACACAGTGAAACCTCGTCTCTACTAAAAATACAAAAAATTGGCCATCTGTGGTGGCGGACACCTGTAGTCCCAGCTACTCGGGAGGCTGAGGAAGAAGGACAATGGCGTGAACCCGGGAGACGGAGCTTGCAGCGAGCCGAGATCACGCCACTGCACTCCAGCCTGGGCAACAGAGCGAGACTCCGTCTCAATAAATAAATACATACATACATACATACATACATACATACAAACAAATGGGCTGGGCCAGAGCCAGGGGACTATGTTCTTAAAACGGGCCAGGCTGGGGCAGGGGGGTCTGTCCTTAAAACAGGCTGGACTAGAGCCAGGGGGCTCTGTCCTTAAAAGAGGCTGGGCCGGGGGGCTCTGTTTTACAAA